TGGAATACCAAACAAGTAATAAAGGGAATCAACAAGGGCATCTGATCAATCAGATGCATGTCAATTGCATAGTCTCATGTTGATTCCATGTACAAAATGAAAAGGATCAACCATTGGTGGTTCTATCGATTTCTTCTGAAGTACTCTCCATCGTCCTCCAGGCTCTCGACACCAAAAGGTACACCTGAAACAGGCACGGCACCCCACTCGCGACACCGCTGGAAACGCTGGAAACGCTGGAAACTGTGGAAAGTACCGGGTCCGTCTCCATGCCCCCTTAACTGAGCCCGCTCATTGGGTGCCCCTTTAACCTCGCGCGGAAACACGACGGGCTTCTGGACGTGCCCAAGCCCCCACTGCCCAGTCCGTTGAAGTATCCACAGCCCAGAGCCCCGGCCACAGACCAGCCTGCGGTCCCACGGTACACTAAACTGCTGGTCGTGTCCTCCCACTTTCCTCTTCTCCATCTTCTTCCTTTATCATCCTCCCTCCTTCTCCCCTCCCTCTCTCTTCGCCAGTGTCTCGCAGTTTCTCTGCTGCTACGGCTTTCTCTTATGCTGAACATCGCTCGCCGAACTTTTAAACGCGTGCCCAGCTTCCAGGACCTCCTTCAAGGCAGGATGACCCACCCCGACATGTAAGGATTCCTCGTCTCGTCTCCCAAGACATCCCCTCCGCCTCCATTGAACATCACCAAACTGACTGCGCAACTTAGTACTGTTGACGTTCTCGTCATTGGTGCTGGCCCGACTGGTTTGGGTGCGGCCAAGCGTCTCAACCAGATCGTAAGTCTTTTTCCTCTCGTCGTGAACTCGGCGGTGAAAGGCTCCCCCTCTCCGTCCCCGGAAAAAAAAAAATAAAGGGGTAGATGGAGGGGTAGCGCGTGAATCACACCCAACTGACACAATTGAATAGGATGGCCCCTCTTGGTTGATCATCGACTCCAACGAGATCCCCGGTGGTCTGGCTTCCACTGATGTGACCCCTGAGGGCTTCGTATGTTTACTTCCCCGTCCCTGGGCGACAGCTCCGCTTGTGCTCCGCAAATCGAAACATCCACTGACTTGAGCCTCTTTCGTTCCCTCCAGCTGTACGATGTCGGTGGCCACGTTATCTTCTCCCACTACAAGTACTTCGATGACTGCATCGATGAGGCCCTCCCCGAGGAGGATGACTGGTACACCCACGAGCGTATCTCCTACGTCCGCTGCCAGGAGCAATGGGTCCCCTACCCCTTCCAGAACAACATCTCCATGCTTCCCAAGGCGGAGCAGGTCAAGTGCATTGACGGCATGATCGATGCTGCTCTGGAAGCGCGCGTTGCCAGCACCAAGCCCAAGAACTTCGACGAGTGGATCGTCCGTATGATGGGTACTGGTATTGCCGACCTGTTCATGCGCCCTTACAACTACAAGGTCTGGGCCGTTCCCACCACCAAGGTAAGCGACAACAATGGAATCCCCCTCAGGATTATTCTGGCCTCCCTCCGTCTTGCCCAATTTCGCAGGCTAATGACCCTTCCCTCACTTTCAGATGCAATGTGCTTGGCTTGGTGAGCGTGTCGCTGCCCCCAACCTCAAAGCCGTGACCACCAACGTTATCCTTAACAAGACCGCCGGTAACTGGGGTCCCAACGCTACCTTCCGTTTCCCCGCCCGCGACGGTACTGGTGGTATCTGGATCGCCGTTGCCAACACCATCCCCAAGGAGAAGACTCGCTTCGGCGAGAAGGGCAAGGTCACCAAGGTGAACGCCAACAACAAGACCGTCACTTTGGCCGATGGCACCACCATTGGCTACTCCAAGCTGGTCTCCACCATGGCTGTCGACTTCCTGGCTGAGGCCATGGACGACAAGGAGCTGATGCCCCTGACCAAGCAGCTCTTCTACTCCTCTACCCACGTCATCGGTGTTGGTATCCGTGGCTCTCGTCCCGAGCGCATCGGTGACAAGTGCTGGCTGTACTTCCCCGAGGACAACTGCCCCTTCTACCGTGCCACCATCTTCTCCAACTACTCCCCCTACAACCAGCCCGATGCCTCCAAGAAGCTGCCTACCCTCCAGCTGGCTGATGGCTCCAAGCCCAGCAGCAACGAGGCCAAGGAGGGCCCTTACTGGTCCATCATGCTGGAGATTTCTGAGTCTTCCATGAAGCCCGTCAACCACGAGACTCTCTTGGCCGACTCCATCCAGGGTCTGGTCAACACCGACATGCTCAAGCCCGGCGACGAGATCGTCTCTACCTACCACCGCCGCTTCGACCACGGCTACCCCACTCCCTCTTTGGAGCGTGAGGGTGCCCTCACTCAGATCCTGCCCAAGCTGCAGGAGAAGGGTATCTGGTCCCGTGGTCGCTTCGGTAGCTGGCGCTACGAGGTCGGCAACCAGGACCACTCCTTCATGCTGGGTGTCGAGGCTGTCGATAACATTGTCAACGGTGCTGTTGAGCTGACCCTCAACTACCCCGACTTTGTCAACGGTCGCCAGAACACCGAGCGCCGCCTGGTCGATGGTGCCCAGGTCTTCGCCAAGAAGGCTCAGCAGTAGATATTTTGTCGCTTTCTTCTCCATCTCACTGTCTTCTTTTTTCTTCTTTCATTTTTTGGTACACTTGCACGAGATCACACTGTCACGGGAAAAATACACATGCAAAGGGAGCATCTGAAGCGACATCTGGGAGATGATCTTTGTTGGCGTTTCATGTGATTCTATCCTATATCTCTCTCTCCTTCCATTTCTTCCCACGCTCTATTCACCTTTCTTCTCCACATCTTTTTCTCCGCCTCATCTTTTTCCCTTGTCACCTAGAGCTGGACGTTGCTTGTGAACCTCTTTTCTCGATACACACTTTTTTAGACTTGCTTGATATGGTGATATTGCTCTAATTGAAGCCTGTTGATGAACATGGATGTCATGTCTCCTATTTAATTTCTTGTAGGTAACAACTACTCCGTCCTCGGTGACCACTTTTCCATATGACATGTATACCGAGCGTCAACGTCGCATTCAGTATTTTGTGTACGGCGAGGCATTTTATCTCCCATCTCACTGGTCCCAATTGACGCGACCTCCACTTTATCTCGCTGAAACATGTCTCGCCACGCAGCAAAGGACGAAAGATCAGCACGAACTACTGTATCATCGCATCCTGCAGCCATCAACGACCACAACCAGCTCCTCTCCACAAGGATCAATACACCTACATACTGTAGCCATTAGCCACCAATTAACCTCCCCTTCACACTCCCCACTAACGCTTATCACACTCTCCTGGTCTCCCCTCCCCAAGCCAACCAAAACAGACGAAGACGTGGCCAGCCCGCGCCATGGTTCGACTGGTTCGACGGGAGATTGGGGTGGCGTGTACTATGTGGACCCCCACGAGAAAACTAGCGGTGGAGCTGAGGTACCCTCCAATCGTCTGGCAGGCCTGAAAATGTGGCTGGCCCTCAAGACAGGATGGGAGTCTGTGAGGGGATAAGGGCTGAGAATGGCGTTGGTACGACCGCGTTTGAGGGTGGATTTGGGACATAATCTTGAATTGAGAGTTTGGAAAGGGACGGGGACCTGCGAACGCTACCGTGGCTTTTGTTGGGTAAGTAGGGGTTTGTTGCTATCTATAGATTACAGTTGCACTCTTGAGAGGACTTTTGAGTGGAGGGATGTGGACGGTTTTTTCCTGCTTGAATTTTGGGTATGTCGGTCATCATTAGTGTTGCAGTTGCAGATTAAGGTGAAATTTTTTGGCGTAACGGCTTGATCCAGGACGCGTGGTAAATGGCAAAGTGGCAATGAAGTATGACTTGCTTAACCGAAACGAGGAGCCTCGCTTGTACGTAGTACGGCTAGATTATTAAATGAAAGTTCTTGTCGTCGGCATGCCGGAATCTTAAAGGCTGTAACCTTAAGGATTATTCTCCGTACTCCGTGCAAAGCAGTAGCTTAGCGGTTGCCACTATTTCCAGGATGGTCTTGTATCCCGTCGAGTAACATGCCCTGGTGGCTTTCAATACTGCTGTATTCATCAGTATTTTATCAGTCTGCCATGAAAAGTTTCAGCCACTGGCTTTGGAGCTTACGTTGCGGGCGGCAATTAAAGATAAAGTTACCGACGGCTAATCCCCTTCCTTGTTAGTGATGGATATCGTTCAATACGTTGCTTCCTCGGCCCTTAATTATTCGCTGTCGTTAATTCCAAGGTGCATCGTCATGCCGCAGGACAATAGCAAGCCTCAATGATTTCCGACGAGAGGCATAGAGGCATCATGATCTCACTGTTGCCTCTTGTTGTGTCAAATAATCCTTGGAATCTCATAACCTCTGCATTCGATTTGCGGGAGTGCAAGGATGGGTGATATGGCACGCTTAATTGATGATGGATTTAGCTAAGTTTTTCAGGAGAGCCTTAAGATATAGTCTTCTTCTCTAGATACCAGAAGCAATCATGAGCTGTCACCCCAGTATGCCACAGACTTGAAATCCCTCGTCGACCAGACATAACCTTCCCTTGGTGATGACCTGATCTCCGGCGAACAGATCTTATTCACTTGCGAGAAGAAATTTTCGATATAGGTATGAGCGACCAATTATGGTGGAGAACTTCGAAAGGAACTTGTAACATTCTGTTGAGGGTCCTGCCGAAGTGACCGCTCAGATTATAGTTGACTAAATGTACAGTTCTTGTAAGATTCTCCTAATGCGGGAAGGCAAGCACAGGAGTCTGATCAGGTAAGAATGTCTGGTAGTAGAACTATTTTTAAATAAACTTGAATCACATTCGTGTTTGACCGGAACGACATTCCTTTCGACTTGGATGACAATCTTGTGCGAGGCTGCGAAAAACGATACTCGGTAACAAACGACACCATTAATCCCCTACCAAAAGAGTCTCGAAGAAGGAAGAAAAAGCCACAAGCCTAGAAGATTCCTGCAGACCAAGATCCACTATTCGCTCGTATACCTTAATGGTCCGGCGTGATAGGCAACGGAGACGGCTGGTATCAAACTTGAGTGTGCTCGCCATTAACGGCTGGTGCACGTTCCGTGCGAGTGCCTGTAGCAGTTCCATAATCATTTTCTTGTCCGGGTTGATTCGGTTTCTCGGGGTGGGTAATTGCAGGTGTTGCCCAAGAATCTCGGCTATAGAGATATATATTCAGGGTTTCCAGACACAAGCCACAGAAGGTCCAGAAGCTATTTGAGAAGATATGAGGATGTCTGCTCATAAAATTGGAAAGGAAGATAGGGACTCGAGTGGTAACTCACAACGTCAGGAACGTGAAGGCTTCAACAGAATTCCTCCTCCTGCATGCATTGCTTACGGTCCAACTGAAGTAAGCACACCCAGAAGCACCGAAGGCATTATCCGTTTGGGCAACAAAGATGAATGCTGTTAGCCATCTAAATATTTCAGAAGAGAATCAGTTTCAAGTAGCCCGAGTAGCTATTACCAGAGATTAAAAAGGTAATAGAAAGAAGGGTCTGACATACAGCGCATAAAAGACTATGTCCAAAGGAAGCATGTAACCACGGTTACGATGCATGCATGAGGTGAAGAGGGAGGGAATATAAAACGCTGTAGTGAGAACCGCCTATGCGAGCAGAGTCAGGGTTACTCAAGTAGTCAAAGAGTATCTATCAAGGCTCAAATACTCACAATAACCAGAGTGAAGACGGCCCGATAGCCCTTCACGTGAGAGACCACCCATGCAGTAAGGGCCATAGTGATTACTGCACAGAGCCATAGCAGCAGGCGAATCGAAAAGAGAAACGGCCGAAGAATTTCTGCGTGATCCGACATGATTGAGTATACTAGACAGTATTGTCTGAAAGGATGAAACTTGTTGCGAGAAAAGGATCGTTTTAAAAACATCGCTTTAAAACAATCTACACTATCAAGTGAGAAGTCCCAAGTCAATGACGCTATTAAGACGCTCTATATCCGGGATAAGCTAAGTGTACCTGTTCCCAAGTTTTGAGCTACCTGGTGATAGGTAGTTGATAGTCAGAATTCTGGTACACCCTGTAGTTGACCAAGTTCGGCCTAGCTGTTGTATATCAGCTGATTGATCGCTTCGAGAGCTAGAGACATTGGATGGCCTGTCTTTGGCAAATTGAATTCTAAAATACATCGGCTGCTTGTGGGCCTTTGGAATTGGAAACTAATATATTCCTCTTCGATCTTTATTTCAAACTGAACATACAAATCAGAGGGCGCTTATCCGGGAAATTTAACATTCATCACTGGTCAGTACAAAGTCACTGAGATACACATCCAATAGACCAAACACTATCGCATTTCTTTAGAGAAAACGACAAATTTTACTGATACCCTCAGAATTACCTTGAGCTTTGGCCAGATTCCTATCGACATTTTCCACCAGTACGATCGCTCATCCAGATAATTGAGCTCTCCAGTGGCGGTTTGTTTGCTACCAAGGCACCATGCCGACCAATGAGCATAATGAGCCCGATAATCATGATTCAGTGGCTAAAGCTCATCAATTGGCTCCAATGGCTAATCTAACTAGAAGCGGGGTATGTTCGCTTCGTAGACAAAGGTCGAGCTCTTCCTCCATTTTCCTAACTTCTTTGGAGAGGGAGTCGTGATGGCGACTCTCACCACGCCGGAAGCGTCGGGAACACGGAAGCCCGTCACTATATTCCCAGTCTTCCTTCTTGATAGCATGTACTACTACTGAAGTTATTTCTTAGAATAATTAGAATAATTATCAATCAATTTTATCTGAGAGGTTTTGAACTCAATCAAGGTCTTTCACGGCGTGCTAGCCCCTAATTTCAGAAAGACCGTTATACATGTACAATCATATTACCATTCCCCCTGCACCAACTTCCGCTCGTTTTAGCTAAAACGGTTGACATACTTGTTAATGAATCATCTTAGGTTCACGATCCTATTAATTTTCCCAGAGAAACACCACAAGTTCAATCATATCTACGCGTGTCCGAGGCAGATCAGCTCACCCACTCTCGAGAGATTCATCCTACCGTACAATATTTTCTCCGCATGCTTCGGCCGAGCAAAGGTGTTGATGATTCTTGCTGGTTTTTAGCCACCAGACTTGTGTCCGCAGAGGATGAATGTAACTATGAGCATAGTCATGAAATTGATCCAGAGCAGGTATCTTCTTTTCATTCCCTTTTCGCCTCAGATATGTGCCTTTCATGACTAGGGGATTTCGCAGCTTTTTACGGGGTGTCATCTGCAAATTGCGCCACAACTCTGAATATTTTGGTACCCCCCAAGGGGCTAGGACGGAACGCGGGGTTTAGACCAGCAGAGGCGTCAGATCACTCGGATGGAGGGGTGGTTAGACCTTCAGCATCTACTGTAGAGCATTGGTGGTACCGTCAATGACATCATCACTGACCGCGAGGCAGTCAAATGTTCTACCTATATTCCAATGTATGTCGACGGACAGTTTCATGTAATAACATCTTGAATAATCATATCCTCGATAAGGTCAACATGTTAACCGGTTCGTGTCTCTGCGCCGTGAACAAATATACGGTCACGAATGAGGATGTTGCTGCAGCCAGGAAGGTGAAGAATCCATACTTCCGAAAGAAGGTGATGAGATTCCTTTCTTATCTAATCATTTGTCTTTCCACTAGATAACATGTCACTGTGCCCGCTGCCGCAAGATCAGCGGCGGATACACTACTACCAACCTTATCCTGCCAAAGACGAGCTTCAAATTGACGAGCGCATCGACGTGGCGCTCTGTGGTTCCGGGTCTATCAAACAATTGCACCAGCACTTTCAACGCAGTCCTGCCAGGTGATAAACATGGACACATCTGCTTTTGCCGCCATTGTGGGTCGGTGATCTATCGCGAATCTGAAATGCAGGGATTCAGTGGCCTTGTTTTTGTACCAGTGGGTACGCTCGATGACATTGACTCGGTCAGTAATTTGCGAGAGGAAGAATGGTACTGAAACACTATTGAGAGCACTTGTATGGAGCTCTTTCTTGACTATACCATCTGTTCCATTTACATCAGGGAATTATCGTGGTCAACAGACTAAGCTTGACAAATTCAATGGTTATCGCAATCAGATACTTCACCAATCATTTATCTGTTGTTGATCATGTCTTAAATTGTCGGTTGTAACTCGGTCCAAAACAGCTCAGCGCACTTACTGGTCTATCTTTGTAGATTATTCATGATCTATTCAGAACGATACAGAATATGCGGTGTCTTTTGAACTGAAGGTCTCCAACACTTTGGAATCACTAGATCTATTTATAGAGAGTGACCACAGCTGTGTAACTAGACATTCTCAGCCTCAAGTAATCGCTAATTGTATACTCGACCAGGTCAACATAGATGTGCTACACTGCGTGACGTATGTTTTTTATTCCCAAATGGAATACTGTGATACAAGATAGACAGCGAGATCAACCCGAGGTTGATAATAACGATTCTGAAGAAGGGAAAGTACGAGGTACAGGATGCCGCCGCAAGGAGAAGCGTTGCTGTGGAATTTGTGGAGCAGAATAACCATGGATATGTCAATGCCGGTTATGGATAAATTTGAAGCCACGCACAGAAACAGGGACTGCCCTCATTGCTTTCATAGGACTATGAAGTTTTGGCGATGAGACCAAGGCATTCGTGGCAAGAGTGGGGAGATGTAGCTAATTTCGAACACTGCTATATTTTCAATTTTTCCATATACTTGGCTATGATTGGTGTCGTATGGTTCCAACCAGTGAGATGCTCCTTCTCATCTCCCGGTCTCCCATGCATCATCCGCTAGGATGTTTTGATGCCCAAGAGATATAACGTCCACGGTGGCGAGTAACAAGGTTTCTGTCAATGGAAATTTCATTTCAGCAGCCAGACTAAGCGCCAAATGAACCGCATTCTTAATTTGTCTTCCATTCAGTTGCTGCTCTGCAAGTCTGTGATAGTCGATATCTGAGGATACCTGAGTAGGAAGTCTCTCGATATGACTTCTCCAGATCTGCGCCCACGCATCACGGTCAAGCGCCTCGTAGCGAAGAGCAACGGCGATCCGACTCTCGAATGCCGGGTCAATCGTTCGAACGCGGTTGGTCGTGAGAAACAATATTCCGGGGTGGTACTCGAGAATGCGGAGCACAACGCAGACCATCGCATTACGGATTAGGTCAGAGTTGCTGCGAGTCTCCAAAAAGACATCTGCTTCATCCAGCACGGCCAAGGCGTCCCACTCTGCACATAGTTCGAGAACATCTGATAGTCTGCGCTCTAGGTCTTCCGGTGTCACGCCGAGCTCACCCATAGTGACGTAGTATAGTGGGCGATGAAGGACATCTGCAATGGCTTCAGCCGTCAGAGTCTTTCCAACACCTGGAGGCCCATGGAGAAGGAATATTTTCCCGCCCTGCTTCCCGCTAATGACATCTGGTGCTTGAACGGCCGTTCCATGGCGAACAACAGCGCGGATAAGTTCCTTGCACTCCTGCTTGAGGACCAAGTGGTCAAAAGCCTGATCCTGAAATTCGATAGTCGATAAACCGTCAACGAGGACGCGGCCCCAAGCCGTGGCTGTAAAACTAAAGCCGACAAGCGCGGGCCAGCAGTAGATGACGAACTCGGGAGGCACAGAGTCCCACAAGATGAGCTGATCAGTCTCAAGAGTATCAAACCGGGAGCGCTTAGAGAGCCATTGCCTGTAGCGTCCCGCAAGCTGTATGATAGACAGGGTTGTCTCGTCAACTCCCTGGCAAGGGTAGTGACCTAGTGATGAACCTCGAGCCACGTCAATCATGATACGGCCTCTGATCAGAGAGAGTGAATGATTTGTAGCCTGCGCCGTCCCGGGCGTATCTCGTCTGGATCGACTCGTATGGACATGGAAGGAGTTGGTGCCATAACCAAGGTACTTCGCCCCTCCGCTCGCTTCCCACGTGCTTGAAACATTGGGATCTCGCTCTCAGTGACGCGCTGGTAGGAGAAGTCGGCCAGACTGCGACAACGTACTCCGCTCCAAGCAGGTAGAACTTCCGAGAATGATGCCACCGAGAAATGGTCGCCCACAAGAACCCCAACCTCCATAGTGACGTGAAAGTGTTTTTGTGATCCAAATAGCGTACGACACTCTTCGTAGAATGAGTCCGTCACACAGTATACGCAAGGCGGAGAGCCAGGAACAGCCGTACATTTCACAGGAGTCTCCGGCTTGAAAATCTCTCCCAGTCCATCAAAGGCTACCATTCCACTTGCGATCAGCTTTTGGGCTGCATGAATGTCTTTCTGGAAGATCGATTCAAGTTGACAGATTAGCAGTGAGTATGACAACGTGGATTGTCTCAGATTCAGCATCCGGACGGAATCCAAAGCCAGATTACAAGCTCAAGGTATGACGACGCCAGTATTGGAGGAACTCATCGGTATGGGACAGCATGCCCGAGTTGTAACGCTCTATCGCGTGGCGCAGGCATCTAAAGCGCCCAAGTATTAGGAAAAGCTTGTTGGCAGCAACCTTGCGAGACTGAAGAGCTCCAACATATTGAGTGATAACAGTTCGAAGCCAAACGCTTCCCTTTTTCTCTTCCAGCCTTGAGAAATCGAACTCTATTGTCTCCGGGTAATCTCCAGTCGATGAAAAGATCGTCACATTGTTGCTCTTGAAATCAGTTTGTTCAAGTGTTTGCCCGCCAGAGAGACTATTGGGAGCAGGAGGAGAGTGTACAGGAACGGAGGTAGAAGAAGAGTGAGAGGTTGATTGGAGAGAAGCAGGCGGAGGAGGTGGTGGAGGAGGAGGTGCAACTGGTTTGGAGGGTTGCGTAGTAGAGCTCATTTTGATATCTCGATGACCCGATGACCGGGCTTGACTTTCTCAATTGTGTTGATACCGAAAGTCTCAAGATATGAGAAGTAAAGTATCTTTATATAATTGCACAAGGTCATGGCCGGATCTTGTAGACTTCCAGCTGCCTAATCTGGCATATCAACCGATATTTCACCGCTAGAGTGGTCACATACAGCATGATGCGGTTAGAACGACCGTTATGGAAAGGGAAACCTTCTCCGAAGGCTTCCAACTCGTTGAAGGGATGTTGATATCTTGTTGTCAAGCCAAATACAGGAACCTGAAGGCTTGGCATTCACGGAGCCGGAGGCTTTTATCTTCCGCCTCGCTGGAAAAGGATAACCAATCAACATCTCAAAACTACAAGCATCGCGAGAAACAAAAGCTGGAAGAGACTGTCTACAGTATTATATCGACGTATGTAGCCACTGAGCGACCACATGAATACACTGTCCAGATCACTGAGCATAAGCCCGTATTGACCTTCACTCGATGAGCCTAAGTCTAATCGGCGGCCAGACAGGGGAGCTCTTCCTGGCGAATATGAACCGGTGTATAACTGTATAGAGATGCATAATTCTGTCTAATCATGTGATCCAACCCTTTCCATGCGGAAGAACCTGAATGCCTAATAAATTCAGGCATCGGGCAGGCTCAGTCGTGGACATGTTAAAAATAGGGTCGTGACAATTGTGAGGCCGCGTCAGTCGCTGCGGCGGCAAATTGTGGGCCAAGGCGGTTGTCCTCCGCCCGCGAACTATACATAGCTTGGACTGGTTGGATCAATGTTTCAGCCTAAATCTAGATTCACAGAGACGCAAGACGCACGTACAGAGGACTATGCATAGTATCTAGGCAGCCTGAGACAATCAAGTATCGGATCAGTTTTGTCGTTGTAGAAGCGGGGAGGAGATGGTTGTAGCACATGGGGAATTGAGCCTGAGGCTTGCTTACCTGACCAACTACGTTCCTATTCCAGGAGTCCTTCTTATATGGAATGGCTCCATGATTTGATTGGTCAACTCTTTCATATTCTATCTACAGCTTTCTCAACTAACATTATCATTGTCGAGACGAGCGACTGCTCATCTTTATCCTCACACGATGCAGCTCAACGGAGCGGGCACCGAATAGGGAAAGTCCATCGCGGATATCGGGACTCGTACCCCTCCGTCACAAACGACTCCATCTTGATATAAGATTCAGTCGCTCCCAAACTTCAAGCTTCACATCCAAAGCTACTGCGATACCCCGGAACCACTTGACCTCAAGATGCATTCCGGTACCCAGAATATCTATGATGACCCCGGATTCTTCGCGGAATACAGTACACTGCAGCGATCCCAGCAAGGGCTCGCGGGTGCTCCAGAATGGCCATCCCTACGCCAAATGATCCTCAGCTCATCCAGCAACACCCTCCCACAATCCCGAGTTCTTGATCTGGGTTGTGGATACGGCTGGTTTGTCCGCTGGGCCCGCGAAAACGGGGCCAGCTACGTCAAGGGCGTGGACATTTCAGAGAAGATGATCTCGAAAGCAAAGTCATTCGACACGGATGCCACGGACGCACCTACGGCTGAAGTCTGCTACGAAAGACAGGATCTTGAAACCATCATTCTCGATGAGGATGCTCATCGCGAGTCCTACGATCTCGTGTACAGTTCGTTGACATTTCACTATATCGACGATCTGGGTCTGCTGCTTCGGCAGATCCACTCTTCTTTGAAGAAAGGGAATGGGTCTGCGAATGGGAAATTGGTTTTCTCTGTGGAGCATCCGATCTATTCTGCGCCCGTCCGGCCTGCGGCGGATTGGATTGATGTCAAGGTTGGTGAGGAAGAGAGCAAACTGTGGCCGTTGAATTCGTATAGCGAGGAAGGATTGCGGGTTACGAGTTGGCTGGGTACGGATGGGGTGAGGAAGTATCATCGGACGACGGAGACATATGTCTCGTTATTGTTGGAGAATGGGTTTGTCTTGACTGGGTTGAAGGACTGGGCCCCTTCGAAGGAGGATATTGCTGCGCATCCCGAGTGGAGTGTCGAGCGTCACCGGCCCTTCTTTTTACTGCTCGCGGCGGAGGCTCGATGAAAGATATTTACTTTTCCGAATGGATGATCCTAATGAGCAAGTGAACAATTGAGCAGTAAGCAAGTGCATGTGAGAATGTTGATATCTTGGCCCAAGCTAAGACTGGTGGTCAGCTCGATCCGCTGTAGAAGGACAAGCTAAAGTATGAGAGTAGCTGAGTCGAGCTCTAATAAAAGAGCAGGAAAAGACATCATCTTTCCCGCAAAATGGTCATTGAATGTCAGCAGGAATGATGCGTGCGTCTCTCAAGCGCAGACCGCGCGTAATCCAGGCCGCCGCGCCACCGCCAGAGAGTTAGACACACTTTTGATCCGCACAGAAAGCTTCGAATACCGATCAGCTGGGAATGGCGTCAAAATATTAGACAGTATCCGCCGCAGGAGGCGAAACCGTGGTGTCGGCCAAGCCTGCCTCGTAACACTCTGTAGACGCTAAAGCTAGGTCCCGCTGCGGAACAGGGTTGATGGTCAGATCTGGAAAGGCACTGGGCGACAGGCGGGAAGACTGGGAGGTGGAAAGCCGCGACTCAACCTTGTTTAGAGTGGTCCATGCATCCTGGGGATGGCCACGACGGTGATTTTCTGCGCGAGGGCCTGGTTAGTGACTTTATGCTTCGCGGAGAGATAATGATCATCACCCTGGAAAGTTTGGCGTCGAGGGATCGCAGAGGACGGACCATTCTTGCGGCTTGGGGATGGGAGAATGCGGCGATCTAGAAATTCTTGCGGTGGAATGGTCAATTCGGTTCTAGGAGACGAGGGCGAGGCCTCTCGAAGCCGGGAAGCTCGAGTCTGCGGGATGTTATGAGATGATATCAGTTGGGCCGTGGCAGCAGCAGTGGGAGCCCGGTTTGGGTCAACAATAGTTCGGTGGGTCGAACCAGTCATCATGGAAGCAGGGAGGGCCGCTGGGTGCATCCGAGCTGCCATCAAAGAGGAGTGTGTCATACCCCCAGTCGAGTCATGTAGAGGACGCTGTTGATCGAGCTGACCGGCAGGTTTGCTCAACGAGGAGTGTTGTTCCTCAGAGGTGGGAGCGGGATCTCGTTCAGCATAGTTCTGGTCCGCGTCCTCCAGGCTCAGGTGGTTGATATTGACTGGGAGGGACCGAGCGAAGGTCCGCTGCAGGTGGAATTGTAGATCATCTTCGGTCAGCGGAATGACAGTTGGCGGACGCCTCAGCATGGTTGCTGGTTTGAACTCTGGTGTCTTGGTGGGTTGGGCCGAAGGTCGATGGGGTTGCACGATCATGGATACAGAGAGGAAGGCAAGGGCGACAGGACCAGAGCATTCGGCCTGCCTTTGCCCTGCGTATTCAGTGATTGACCGGTCAGTCAAAGACGAACGTCTCCAAAGGATATGAGACATTATCCCAGGAAGCACCATGTCATTGCTAAAGGACGAGTCTGGGGTGATCCCGTCTCTCGTATGCATCTTCCTGGAGTAGGTATAGTCGTGATGACGACGCCGAGCAATCTACTACACTCGTCGAACGTTCCCATCATCACCATCTAAATGATGTAGCAGTAAATACTATGCGATAGAATGACATCTTCCCTGAGAATATAGAATTATCGCAGATAGGCCAAGAATTCCTTTTTTGCGTAGCGCAGATATCTCCCTCTCGTCGTCTGTACACTTCGTATTTACTCGGACGGAGTACGGAGCTACTCGCTTCTCCAGGCAGTCTCCATTTCTGCAGGCCAACGAGCTATAATTAACCTCCTGATGCACAGAACAGGTAATCCTAATCCAGTAGCTCCTCGCCATTCTCCCCAAAAGCTGTCCATCGTATGCTCCGCCCCCCTCGAGACTAAACCCGATTTCCACCACGGAGAGCCTCTCCTGTTGATCCTCTTCCTCCTCCGCCCCTCTCTCTTTCTTACTTTCTTACTCTGCTCACGATTGTTCGCTCTTCCTCCCGTCACTCTCTTCACTCGCTGGTCCTTCTTCATCCACTTCATTCCTCCTTTCTCTTACGAATCTCTCGCTGGACCATGCCTCCGCGGTGTCAACGTTCGCCGTCTTAGTCCGTCGGCTGCCTCTCGTTTCTTCCCCTGGCGACGCTCCCTCCCCCCACCCCCAATCTCGACGAGTTCTCTCCTCTCCGACCAACAAACACACCTCCCATCTTCAATCTCACCGGTCGCCCGTCCCCCGCCCGGCATGAACGGAGACCTCAGTCTCTCCCAGTCGCTGGGAGGGCTCCGAATTGCGAACCCGGACGATTCCCCTCTCCAATCTGAGGCCAGTCCCGTTCCAGTGGCTCACCCGGACGGTTCGGTGTCAACACCTCCACAAGTTCCCGGACCGCTCGACGAGCGCCCAACAACCTTTCCTCCGGCGCCTCTCGACAATCCCCCGTTAAACGAGAATCGCTCCTCCGTCATCTATCCAGTCTCTGATCCCTCCCAGTCCACGTCGGCCACCCATCAGCACTACTCTACGCAGCAGTTCGGCACGCCCCCAAATCCGAACCGCCCCCTTTCCTCCGTCTACACCAACGGCTCCGTCTCGTCCCTTCTCCCCCGGGATAACTCCTATCGCATCCGAACCGATTCCGGTGCCTCATCTACATCAACCTCACATTCGCGAGTAGACACCCGCGGCGGGTCGGCAGCTTTGCAAGCGGGGGTTTTGGCGCGCGACAACTCACACAGCGATCGCTCCTACCGGACAGCTCAAATTCCGGCCAATGGGCCGGCAGTGATACGGCAGTCGTCTCGATCGCATGCCCGCGGTGGAACTACACCTCAAATGTCGCGTACGCCCTACGCTATGGAGAACGGTCCCGCGCCCAGCAGTGAGGATTGGCAGGACCGTGGAGCTGCGGTCGCGGTGAGACAGGAAGTCGATGCCAACGGGAAGACGGTCGCGCGGTATATCAAGAAGGGTGTGCGAGATTTCTCATTTGGAAACACGCTCGGCGAGGGATCCTATAGCACGGTGGTATTCGCGACAGACCGTCAGACCTTGAAGGAATACGCCATCAAGATTCTGGATAAACGACACATCATCAAGGAGAAGAAGGTCAAATACGTCAACATCGAGAAGGACACGCTGAACCGCTTGACCGACCACCCAGGTATCGTCCGTCTCTATTATACCTTCCAGGATGAGCGATCACTCTACTTCGTGCTCGATCTATGCAAAGGAGGAGAGCTTCTAGGGGTCTTGAAACGCATGACCACTTTTGATGAAGAATGTACGAGGTTCTACGGTGCCCAGATTCTCGACACGATAGACTATATGCACAAACGCGGCGTGATTCACCGCGATTTGAAACCCGAGAATGTGTTGCTGGATCACCAGATGTATGTGAAGATTACCGACTTTGGAACTGCCAAGATCCTCAAGACGCGACGACCAGACGAGAGCCAGGTCTCTATCCCACAGCTTGACTCGACCGAGGTCCCCGAAGAAGAACGAGCAAGCTCCTTTGTCGGCACTGCCGAGTATGTCAGCCCAGAATTACTGGTCGACAAGAACGCCTGCAAGGCTAGTGATCTGTGGGCGTTTGGGTGTATCATCTACCAACTGTTGGCTGGTCGTCCGCCGTTCAAGGCGGGCAATGAGTACCAGACGTTCCAAAAGATTGTCAACCTGGACTACGAATTCCCTATCGGATTCCCCGCGGTGGCTCGCGACCTCGTTGAGCGTCTTCTTGTCCTCGACCCGGCTCGTCGTCTACAGATTGAGCATATTAAGAACCATGAATTCTTTGACGGTATCTCATGGGGCCCAGAGTTGTGGAAGCAGAAGGCACCTCGATTGAAGGCGTACGTGCCTCCAACACGTGAGCCTATCAAGCTGAATGGCGGCGAAGGGGGTGACAGCTTTCCTCCCGTCATTTCGACTGCGCCCTCAAATGCGACAAGCAATAATTCGCGGGCACTCCCCCGGGTGGTCACTGAGCTGCCACCTCCCAGTCAATTGGATATTGAGTGGTCTCCGGTGTTGAGCAGAACGAACGAAAGGATTTTGAAACTCGGGAACATGACAGTCTTATCCTCACCCGCGTCGCACAGTCCGACATCGAAGAATGGCAGTGGCGAGAGTGAGGCTCCTAAGAAATTCTCACGATTCTTCTCGGGGTCAGCCACAAAGAAAAAGTCGCGATTGGTTATGGTCACTTCCTCTGCGCGGATTATTCTGGCCGCAGCTGGTGGTGATGAGAAAAAGGCAAAGACAGAGATTTCGCTGCTTGCGCCGGGGACGCACTATCGGAGCACAACGGATGCCAAAGGTCACTCCTCATGGATTGTCGACACGGTATGTCATTGACTGAACAGGACCTCAACGCTGAAATTAAATCCACTAACGTGATTACAGAGAGATAAACGCTTTGTCTTCGAAGATCCAAAACCCTCCTCCAGCAACATCGGAGCCACTGCGGTGTCAGCGCAAGAATGGCTGGATGCACTGGACCGGGCTAAGGAGATGGCCTCGATGCATCAAAGTGCCGGTCCTTACTCAGCCGAGGATGCCTTCCGCGACCTGTCATCCGGATTCTCCAGTCATGCCAACACGCTCGATCGGAGTACCGAGCTCCAGAATGAGAGCAATGTGCCCCCTCCAGGACGGAACCATTTGGTGAAGCATCAAGCCAACGATTCGGAATCGGTAAAGGGGAAGAAGAGATTCAGCCGGCGGCATTCGAAGAATGGTCTCGCCGCTGTTTTCTAAACATCGGTATTTACTAATCTCGCTCCGGCTTGTGCTGTAGGATGAGATTTCTGCACACAGTCGTAACGGGTTGAATATGAGTTGAACCTCGTTTTCTCGTCCATTTCCGTCTTAGGCATGCTTACTTTATCCTCGCTGTGTGCTACCATCCATTGACGGATGACTTTTCTTGACCGTCGAGTTCTCCACTCACCTTGCGCTATTTCCCTTTTTTATACTACCTCCACTGGTCTGCCCGTTTTAAGGGTACAGAGATCACGGTGTTTCCTTTGCATATTGGCTGCTCTACCCTTTGCATTTTACAGTGACGAGCGTGTTTTGTTCGTTTTTGGAATATGTTTTCTGCATTTAGAACTGGAAGGGAGCATGCGTGATTCATCTTTACTGTTGCTTTGCGTCTATTCCAAGTCTTCTTTTTCTGCGTCTCTCTTCTGTGTCTTCGCTTCCCTCCACAGTCAATTGTTATATATCCCTGATTTGATCTGAAGCATATTGTCGACAACCTCGCAACGCAGCTGGTCTTTTCCTTTATATTTCTTATCTTCCACCCCCTGTTTCTGCATCTGGCGATCTGGCTTCCTCTTTTATCTTCGAGATGTTGAGTGCTATCGGGTTATGTTGAGGCTACAGTAGAAAGCTGTTTGGCCATTTTACAGCGCAATTGTCTACCTGATGCTCTTTTCTCCCTCGCAGTGTGCCGTGCTCATCAGAGAATCCTAGGCAAATCTTTATCTTCTTTTCTTCCTTGCACTTCAAATTCTCATGTCACTTTCTACCCACCAACTCTCTTGCTTTCTATAGCACATTTTTACCTACTCATCCTTGATTTGGCTGAGCACCTTCATTGTGACTTTATTTCCACTCAACTTTTCAACAACTCTATCTCCTTTCTTTCACACACTTGACTCTTTCCTCATGTTTCCCTTTTTCCATCGTCTATCCTCTCGTCACAGATTATAGTCTGTGTTCAGTTTGGCTGAACTCGAAAATTGATATACCCGGCTTTTTTTTTCTTCTATCAATGAATTCTAGCGCTGTTGAACTGGTCGAATGGTCGTCTGGTCATTTGATTAAAAGCTAAATTTTTCCTGGCTAAGAAAAGGGAGCTTCCTGCTTTGATAGTATCCCATGGACTCTGCAAATTAAATCAGACATGCTGATCCGACGCTTAGGAAAGGCCGTTGAAAAGGGTGGGTCGTTGACACCTTTGTATGTGAAGCATACATAGCATGCCACATATGGCAAAGGCGAGGCCCAACCTTGGAACAACAATATGAATGTGAAATATTGAGATTCCAGGATTACCCTTGGTGTTCGAACGAAGGAATTACCGGACGGCAGCAACTTCCTTTGCATGATGGAATAGCCAGCGAGGGAAAATGCATCCAGTGATAATGCAATACGGTTATCAGATTATGTGAACCAAGAACTGTATCTCATAGGTTTCCAACATCTAGATCAGCATTCATCAGGTTATATACACTCATTAAGGATGAATAGTCAGACACAAACAAGAGCACAATGACAATCCCATCCCATTTTATACACAGAACTGCCTAAAGAATCAAATAAACAACCAGTCCAGGCGTGACTCATCCAGTTCATCGACCCAGTCAAACGTATTATCGTAATCATCATCGTCATCGTCATCGTCATTGGAATTGACATTAACCCCACCACCGTCCACAAGTTCATGCTCAAGCCCGGGAAACGGATTTGCGCAATTCTCGCGCCGCTTCTGATCGTGTTTCTGCCACATCAAACGCAGAACCCACGCGGCATTCTGGACATTAACGCTCGTCACGGCCTGGTAGAGTGCACCTAGTTTTTCGAGGACGAGCGGGCGATGCGATGTACGGCGGCACTCTGCGCCGGCAATAAATGTGGGCCATATTAGGCATTTGAAGTGTGGATCGGAGTAGGGCACGGAGCATATTTGATTGAGGAGGTCGCTAGCCACGGCTGAGTGGTCTGCGGGGAGCCCGACGTCCGCCCAGGGAGGGGTGTAGCCTTCGCGGGGGCGGGATAGCACGCGGCTGGTATAGAGGTAGACGGCGTTTTGGTAGGATTTAGCAAGGGCGACGCGGGTAGAGAGGTCGGAGAGGAAATGGGAGGTTTGCATGTGGTGGGCCCAGGCTACGGGGTCGAAGTCGCGGATACCCTGGAGGAGGGCGAGATATGATTCGAGGGAAAGGGGTTGGCCTGGCTGCATGGATGCTGGGAGGGCGGATGGTTGGGGGGTGGCGGTGGTGATTTCGGAGTCTGGATACCAGAGGGTGTGGATGAAGAAGATTACCTCTAGGAGGTAGGCCGGGCAGCCGACCCAAGAGGTTTCTTCGAGACGCTTGAGCATGGCTGGGCCCATGGCTGCGGAGTAGAATGGTTTGGAGAGGGCGCCTGGGCGGGCGAGGGTTGAGCCCATGATCTCCATACTGGTAAGAAGTTAGTTGAGTAAGTCGTGGAGGGCATTTGGATGTGCTTACATTAAGCAACCATCGATGGCAAAAGTTTCGAGCCCGTCAAGAATACCTTGGCCGAAGTTGTTCTCTGGCCTGTCTCTTAGGAGTTTCTTTGCGCCTTCAATATGATAACTCCATGCTCCACTTCCCGATTCGAAAATATCGACCAGGGCAAGCACAACAATAGCGGCCAGAGTTCTATCATCCTTTTGCATCACGGGATTCGAGAGGTCCTTGGACAGCTGATGAAGCGTGCGTTGCTTGAATTCAAGGAAGTGTTGGAATGCCCTAGAAGACGGCCGTCGATTGCCCGCTGGCGAGACAATCGTTTCGATGTCTTCGGGTGATAGAGGTGAGCCGCTGGTCAAGAGGTTGTTCGAAGACCAAGGCATCGGGGACGAGTCCGAATCCGACATCAACGAGTAGTGTAGAGCACCCATAGCGCATAGACCGTGTGCGAGAAGCGGCGAGTCGCCAACCAAGGAAATGATATCCCGCCAGGGGTTCTTGGACTGAGAATATACAACGAAGTCATTGGCCATATGTTGGTTGTCTAGAGCCGATATAGTCAGTAAAAAAGCTCGAGTGTAACACTATGACATGCATGAGGACAACATACAGTGAAAGAGATAGTATCGCGAGATTTGACTCATATCTTTGAACAACGGATCGACCAGTCCCCATGGGGCTGAAACGAAGTCCGCAGAGGCGGCCCGAGGAACTCGAACCACCCTGTTGTCCGGTTCATCTGTGGAACTTGACCCAAATATTATGTCTCCATCAGCACTTTCCGGTGCTGCATGTTCCACGATCTCTTGCACATAGGATTCGGATTCTGGGCTCGTGTGTGCACCAGAGCTCGGCGAGCTAGTAGCAGAGGACTGTTCGGCGATCGAAAAGAAACCAAAGCCAGCAGTATTTGTCGCCGGGCACATGTTCGCTTGCGTAGAGGCCTCGGCCTTTGAATCTCCGTCCGGTTTCTTGACATCGTCAAAGCTGCGACCCATCATCTTGCCCCGACTAGCCACGCCACCTTTCACCCATACCAGCGGCTTCTGATAGCCCAAACATTCTTTTCCTGCGTCGCGACACTTTCGGCAAGTCGGCAGGCCATTGTCGCAGATGATGCGACGGCGTCGACAGGTATAACAACCCTTGGTCATGATCGAAGCCGCAATAGTTGGAGATGTGAATTTCTAGAATCGTAGTTGAGGGAGCCTGGCCATTTGGAGAGTGCTTCCACGCCCCATCGCGGTCAGGAATTGGTTGAACGTCGGCAAGACCAGTCTGTCATTGCTGGACTCGAGTAGTGGGAGAGTTGTATCCGGCGAGCCAGCGACAAAGCATATTCTCCAGCTGTCAAAAAGTTGAGGTCCTGGGAAGAGTCAGCGGGCCCAGTCCCGCCGTGCCCGCCAGGAAATTCGGTGCGGGGCTTACCTAAGGACCAAAGGACCTTCTCCATGTTCTCCTCCGCAAGTACCGTCTTGAACCCATCTCTTGAACGAGTCGAGTAAGATCGCCACCTGTCGATATGGTTTTCCATCTGTTTGGGCTGCGGGCCCTGGAGGTAAGTCTATGCCGGGACTGTGGAGGTAGTGCTTCCTTGCTGACGGTCTGCAGGTTTGGTTGTACGGTCGAGTATGTCTCTATACCCATCATCATGACGAAGTCCCGGTTTCTGACCCTCCCTCCAGCTCATCCGAAGTCCCCTCTTCCATCAAATGGTCGGTCGCGTTCATCAACGCGTGGAACAGATTCGTCATGGTATCCCTCCGGAGCCATCACGGACAACCCTCGAGGACAGCGGTAGGAGTCCAGTCGCGAACTGCTTCCGTTCGTTGTGCAGTACAGCTGATTGATCATCATGGCAGGATCCCTCGTCAAGTTCGTCCGATACTTCAAGGAGGAAATTAAGGATCAGATGAAGGGCAAGCCGCCTAACAAACTATGACGCCCTGTCGATTCCCTTTCTTCTGCCGGCGTTTGGTAACAAAACTGCATGATACCCATCAATTCGAATATTCACTCCGTCTCTCTTTTTCTCTTCCTTCTTTCCATCTCTCATACCGGGCAGTGTCATCTCTGGCGGTCAAGGCGCTTTGCATTCCTGTGCTATTAGACCCGGCTTTGCAGCTTTGTCTGCAAAGTACTGATCCTTTCCATTTTGCTAGTTGTTCCTCTGGATAGCATGGCTGCTATTTGGAAAAAAGAGTGTGCGAAAGATATCAAAATATAGCAGATGCGATTTTTTTTTCTTCAATCCTATCTATCTTTAGATTGCTATGTGTACCGAATCTCTTCAAACTGGGGTAAACTGTAGATTGGCATCGGGACTATTGGCTCCAGATAAGAACGCAGGGCCTGCGCGAATCAAATAAAAGCCGCGCGTCTCTGCCCAACGTCTAGAGTCCAAACTTAATAGTCGCCCGACAAATCCCTCGCATGTGGCTCTCGAATGGACCAGCACAAATGGAATTTCTGTCGGGAACAGGTGTTTGTCGGACCCCGAGGAGTGGGCAAGGATAAGGATGATTGTTGGGATTAGGACCAGTGGCAGGGTCGACAATGCCCAAGCCAACCCTGGCTTAAGAGACCATAGTTTGCCAGTCTAAGACTTGCCTTTCCATCTCCGTCCAGAAGTTACACTTGTTTTTCCGTTTCGGCATTTTTGTGGCCATCAAGGCAGTGTACATACGCTGGCAATAGAGTTCAGTTGCTGTCTGGTATAAATTCATCAAAATCTTTTAGAATTCTGTAGAACCATCTCTCACGATCCGAAGGGCCGGGGACCAGAGACGAGGCTCATCCGAGAAGATCCGTTGCATGCAGGGAATTCGAGCGAAAATTGCACAGGCATGACAGGTCTCGTCGATAGATTGCCAGACCTGTATGGCCAAGGTGGAGATGATTCGCATGGTCTGCGTGCAGAATTGCCCCCCCCCCGGGGGGAGTCTAGACCTTGCCTAGAGAGGAGTCACTTTCTCTGAGCTACGCTGCACTGAGGAGAATTTAGACCGACACTAGGTTTATCGCAGTGCGTGTCCTCTGTTCTGTATGTTCGAAGCGACAGAGCGCTGTCGCCAGCGTTAACGCCACGGGGCCAACTGGGCCAACTCTGGGTTAGCCGGGTACGTCGGCTTCATTTCGCCTAGCGGAGGCTATCGGGTATGAATGGTGGAAATTCTGGAATGGGTCAGGAACCGTCCGATCGTAAACAAACACACTGGTGTCGAGCTGCAGGGTCTCAGTGACGTCTGCTGGATTGAGGGCATACAGCCTTGATCGACAAGGGCCAAGAGTGGCCTTTAATAATATATGATGACTTCCATGCTGGTCAGTCATCAGCCTGGTGGTGAAAAGCAGCTGCTAAATATGGCAGGATACAGTGCGAGGGCCGTGGGTCATTAGCTGGTGGGGCGATTATTAGTTGGCCGATGCGAGTGATTGGAAGACCAAATTTGAGACGCGAATCCCTTTGGGTACGGGATGGATACTGGATGGAGTACACAAGAAATGCCTGTTCTGTACGGAGTACGTAGTACTACGTACTCTGTCGGCGGATGTCAGTAGCGAACACAGTAGTATGGACATGGGGGGAGAAACCTCATGCAATGAGCCTCCAGAGATATGGACCAGTGTAACCCTTTGAGCATAGCCTCTCAGGCAAACCATTCGAGGGAGGGTTTAGGGGAAGGTTAGTGAGTTTAGTGGCAGGCCGGACAGCAACGCCTGAGACTAGGGCCGGGCTAGCGTGCCTAATCGGGACTAGCGCCAATTGCCTGTTGTTTCCCAATCCCAACCAGCTGACTGTGCTCCTCCCTTTTTCCATCCCTCGTTGTTTCGCTTTCGCCTTCGCTCTTTACTCAATCCACGATCGTTCCCTGTCTTCTCCCCTCGTTCAGAGAAGACCTTTTCATCAACTCCTCGTCACTCATCACCTATTGTCCATCGTCCATCGTCCATCGTCCATAGCCCGTCGCCTATCATGCGTCTCTCAAAGCTCTCGTTCCTCGTCCAGGCTCTGCTGCTGACCGCGGCGGCGGCTCAAACTGCGGAAGGTACCAACGTCCTCGGCGATCTCACCGGCGGATCTTCAACCTCCAGCAGCAGCTCTTCTTCCGAGTCTACCTCTGCTCCTCCCAGCACCTCGTCGACCACATCATCTACTTCCTCAACTTCGGAGCCTCCCAGCACCAGCACCACCACCACGCACACGACATCCACCTCTTCCACTTCTTCCGAGGCCCCGTCCACGACCCCCTCGACTTCCACTACCTCGTCTAGGACTTCTTCCACCACCAGTGCTGATAAGACTACTTCGGCGGATACCACTTCAACCACTCCATCTGACGTGGTCAAGACCATCACTGCCCAGGTGACCGTCAGCGGTACCACCAAGGCGACAGTTATGCTTTCCACCTCGACGGCTGCGCAAACCCCATCGCCCTCGCTCAACGGTAACAACGGCTCCTCCAGCAGTGGCATCTCGGCCTCGGAAAAGAAGATCATCATTGGTGTCGTGGTTGGTGTCGGTGGTGCTATCCTCCTGGGTGTTCTCGGTGTGGTCTTCTGGCGCATTCACAAGAAGCGCAACGAGGGCTACAACGATGATGATGATGATCTGATGGGCGGCACTGCCGTCGGCAGTGGCCCTCGTGAGAAGGCCCCCAGCCCGTCTCAGGGTGGTACCCCCTTCAAGAACACGCTAGACCAGTACCACAACCCGGGTCCTGTCAATGCTGCATCCAACTTCTAAGGGATGTCCAAGCTTTCTCCATTCTGGACTGTCTTGCAGCTAGATTGAAGCAGTTGGTTTGGTGCGACGATTTCAGTCGCAGTGTAAAAAGTTCCCATTTCTTGTGTACGATCATCATGCATTTCCTTCTCAGGCGCAACGGGGCTGATCAGGCGAAGGTCACGACTGCGTTTCTCTTTCTTCTTCTGGTTGCGGATATATTTTCTTTGCATTTGGGCCTCTTATTCGAAATGCCCTATCCATTCCTTTCCTGCACAGCACCCTAGATTCTATGTGCTTTTCACTCCCTTGAGCGTTTTCTGGCTTCTCAGCAACCTCCCACACTCCCTCAATGTGATCGTCTCTGTCGATACTTGTGCTACCTACATATACTAATCTCCGGGACCTCTCCCCCTTTCCATACCTTTCGGCATTCTCGGCCTTGTCAATGGCTTGTCTCGCTTTGATTCCCCATGTTGGAGCGTTGAGCTCCCATTTTCTGTTCACATGATTATCCTTTTGAATCAAATAAGAAAATATTTGGCTATCCTGGTTTTCCTTCCCGAGTGTAGTGGTTATAGATCTCTTGTTGCTTTCGATTGCTAGATAGAATAAGGTTGAGCAGGACTCGAGGCTACACGTGCCCTGGCGCAGCTTTCCTTTGAAATACAACAAGAGTGACCAGTCAACCTCGATTTCGGGCTAGAGGCTCCCTTTGAGAGTTTTAGACCACCGGCAGGTTATTATGAAGGATTAGGCTTCTATATCAGGCGAGTTTGAATGGCGTCACCTCCATAGATATCCTGACGGACGCGATAATTGAGTTTCCTACCTACATCCATACCTCTTTATTGTATAGATCAAACAGCTGATAGATGGAGTCCAACCATGTGCCTGATCGACTCGTCTCTTGCCTGCGTATGTTCACTCTGCAATCGCAAATTCTCTCAAAAGTGAGCTCCCGTCTCGGAAATTCAATTAGGCCGTTTTTAAGTAATCGCTAATATCAAACTGGTGACTCGCTGAGACGCCATATCCGTCAAGACCATTTCACCTCTCACATCAACTCGGCTCGATCACCTCAAGCATGCCATGCCTGTCGTCTTGCCAAGACAAGATGTCACGGAGGGACTGCCTGGCAGTGTCGTACTAGAGGACACGAGTGTACTTTCGACGCGCCAGTATTGACGATGACCCGTCCATCGCCGGACGAGCAGGGCCTTGCACCTAGCGTAGACACTACGGTCTCTGTACAAGACCGCACGGCTCAAACGAAGCGCTACGTTGATCTCTATTTTACGCACTTCCATTCTCACTGGCCGATCTTGCACCGCGCAACTTTCAGTATCCCGGACGAGCCACCATTGCTTCTACAAGCAGTTTTGATGATCGGTCTGTGGGTGAGTGAGAAGGCATCGGCGCGACAGGCTGCAGTTGATCTACATCAAAAGCTGGGATTATGGGGTCGCGAACAGAGGGTACGTATGTCGCCTACATACTTAGGGTAACACCTACTGACAGACTAGGTGCAATGGGAAAATCCCCAGCCGATGATTCAAACTGTAGAAGAAGGCCCTGTCTCCATCTGTCCCATCGCTACATACCAGGGTATCCTTCTATACTTGATCTTCTCATTGATCCAGAGTAGCAACGCCCGCTCCCTAGGCCTGAATCTCTTTCTCTCTCCTCTCTCGTCCGCGTCTGTCTCCGAACTAATGTATTCTACTACCCCAGTATGCTAGAGCGATACCACGACGTTGATTCCATGGCTTGTATCTGGATTGGAGTGGAAGAGATGGGTCGATTGGGGCTGGCTATGTATAAAGTCTGTTCTTTACGTCGGAGCGGGAATTCGGATGATATAGAGGGTCGACTTCTTCAGTTGTCGGATCTGCAGTACCCTGTGCCGGATAGTCGGCTGTTGTGGGATGCAAAGTCTGATTTGGAGTTGTCGCAATTATTGCAATTGGAGGCTGGGAGGGAAAGGCTTGATGCTCGTGATATGGCGAATTGGATCTCGGTTTGTGGGACTGTGCTCGAATCTGGGAGTGAGAGGTGGTCGCTTTAGGAATCCGCGGTTTTCCAATCTTATTGAAGAGCAGGCCTGGAATCATAGATTATGTAGATAGCTGGAGCCTTGTACCCATTTGGGAAATATGTCCTATTTCTTCATGAAAGCACAATCTGCAGGCTACTTACTCATCGATCTCTTTGGCAGTCCTCGTTCCACAAGTCATCACCGAACAATTATTCAGTAATATCAGCAGCACGGATCACAGAGCCAAACCCATCTTCCACCACAGAGAGCACAACCGACACCAAAGTCTCCGCCTGAACACCAGGAATATGCCGGTCCCCAATCGCATCCGAGACAACCAAGACATCATACCCAAGCTCATCTCCCGCACGCGCAGTAGTAGACACGCAAATATGCGCCATGTACCCCACAAGAACAATCTTCTTGCCCACAGCCCCCAACCCCTGAAGATACTCATGCAAATCGGTCTGAGTAAACGAGCTGGGGAAGTCCTTGACAACAACCTTCTCACCAGCCTGGGGCTTCAACTCGTCGAATTCATCCGCCAGAGGTGTACCGGGAGTGAAAACCGGTGCACCATCGGGAGCTTTGTGGACCACGTGGACGATGTTGCTGCCGTTGCTGCCGCGGCGGTACCGGAAGAGCAAGTCGGCGATGGTTTCGCGGCTTTGCCCGACGTTTTCGACTTTCAGTTTGCCGGAGGCGTATTCGTTTTGGGCGTCGATGATTATGAGGGTTGAGTCTTGCACGGAGGCAGTGGAGGGGGTGACGCCGACTAGTTGGCGGAAGGATTTGGCGTCGGATGACATGGTATGTTTGGGAGTTGGGAAAGCTGGATGGAGTACTTGGAAGGTGATTTGATTCTTACTATTGAACGGGCGAAGGCCCGGGGGTAATCTTATATTATCGATAGTCGGGTAAGAGCTTCGGATCTACTTGCTTTATTCGCTTGGGTCTGTTATGAATCACAGCTGATGACGGGGTGCCGGTGGGATACTTGTGGGAGGGCGGTGGGGTACCCCGAAGAAGTAGGACTTGCGCTGACAGTCACTCAATAATCAAAGACTCGGCGAGCTTGTAAGATTGAATTGATCTTTGCAGGTTGGCGCTTCATGAGGGAGGGGGGGGTTGACGGGCTATGTAGACCGGGGTTATCTGACCAGCCTAAACAATGATTGGTCACTACCATTCCACTGGAGGTTCTACTTTCCCTTTTGGAATATTCTTTATCAATATTATCAGATACGTGCAATATTCACATAGCCTTGTGTCAAGAACTCGCTATCATCTCATCAGTCCGCCAAAACATCCCATCCGAATCTCGCCTATGTACAATCGAAACCAACATACCCAACACCGCAAATTCAAGCTTCAGCTTGATGCTATAGACGGTCGCCTTGAAAATCACCTGCGTAAAATAGTAGTTCAAGTACTCGAGAACTATCAGCGCCAGATCCATGACGATAACAACGACGTTGACAGCCAGCAATTCGTACAAGATTTTGTGCCGCTTTGAATCGCCAGTCGGGTTCAGCCGAATCAACCGCGTAGTATTCCAGATGTATACTCCCGAAATGAAACATTCCTGCGCAGTGAACCAGGTCACTTGAATGCGCTCCATAGCAAAGTACCCGCGATTCCAACTGGGAGACTGCGGCATGTAGCTCCAGCCCGCATTCAACACGATCGTCGGGACGACTATTACGACGAGACTCAGAGCAATCAACCACCGCACTATTCGGAGGATTGTCTGGTTCTGTGAGACCAGATGTAGTCGTGAGTAGAGAACCACGGACTGATTGGGGACCGTCAGGATCCACGCGATATTTTCCACGACCACGCTCACGGTCACTGGCTCCAGACTGAAGAATTGCAGTCCTCCTGTGATAGAGAGCGGAGCCACACCGAAGACGGCTGATGTCAACAGAGACCAGAAGTAGAGGCTGCGATAGCGGTGGAAGGTCAGCGGGATGAGGATAGCTAATTCGAGGGCGTTGTACAAAGCGATGGCCATGAACACGATGATGCTGAGGTCGAGGGCACCGTCGATCCTATTGCTGCCCGTGCCCTGTGGCGATGTCAGATCCCGAGGATCTAGCGAAGTTCTCGACATGCTGTGATGTGATGGGCGTGGTAGGCCGACCATCGGGAGGACCTGTTGGGATACATGCCACGCAGATGGGCAACGCGTGTGCCGTGTAGACGGTGATAAAAGCAAACCCAAGTGGAAGGGAAGGCGTGAGTCTTCCCCAAAGTCTTCCCCAAAGGCATCAGCCCGGTCTCATGCTGGGCCTGTAGACTGGGAAAGTCAAAGGTTACCGGGGACTGTGGTCGTTTAAACTTCACGCAGGCCAATGATTCGACCGAGGAATGAGGGGGGCCAAGGTGTCCCGAGAGTCGGATGGTTTACCCCGCAAAAACGAGGCAAAATGCGATTGCCGTGACGGGTCTGCCGACCACGATCGATTAGATCGTGCTGGTGAATGATGCTTCGCGAATCGACGATAGCTTAGAGACTGTGAGTCAAATATGTACATCGTGGCAAGTAAAAATTAAAGAAGACTTTTATTGTTCCTTACCGCGAAATCCAGGTACAGACAGTCGAAATCGATAACCTAGGCTCGCCCAAATCTCATCGGGACTGCTCCCGAAGTATTACTGGACTATCCAGGCCTTCGCTTCTACAGAACCTAGGTTGAGATTCCTCCGAAAGCCAACAAACCGGGGATCTCTTTGATCAGCCCAGGAGCGCGCGCAGTATTTGACTTACGGATCTTGTACATAGACCGATCCTAGCTGCTTCCTTCGGCTTGGAGTACCCTGGTAGACTTGATCATCTTCCAAACGAAATCAATCATGATTGCAAGTGTTGTTGCCGATTGCGCAAGACGCTCTATATTCGTGCTCGGCTTGTCTACATACTCGGCTTGGGCAGGACTAAGATAATCGATGTCAAGTCTCGTGTACTTCGACTGTCAATTAGGTACTCAGTCTGCCCGATATCCACTGATCAGTCATGTTGCAGGTATAGAGAACGGAGACTGTCAAAGACGAGCATACTGTACATAAACAGGCGGTGTGTCAGCCATATCAATTACAGAAACCCATTGTTTAAAGATTGCCCATTCCAAGATTGATCATCTCCGCCTCAGCTATAGGACTGTAGATCTCATTCCCAACGATTGACATCATTGACGTGCCGACGCGATCATCACGTGGCGCGCGGAATGCGCGTCGCGAAGCCATTTCCTTTTCCATTTCCTCATCCACGCCTCTCCCAGCCACCCCACCGCATACAAAAGTCGCGACAAACCAGCCGCGCGACTGTGAAATAGCCCTAATCTCCTCTGGGTCTCCCAAAACGCGGGTCTCCATCCAAGAACCCCAGATCTCCATCTAAAGATCCAGAACCCCCAAGGCAAGCTGTTTAAATCGCCGAACCCAGCAAAACCACAACACATTTCTCCATCCGAACCGCGGAACCCCATCTCTCCACTCTCCAACCTCCAACCCACCATCACCTCTACCTCTTACTCTCACCATGTTCGCAACACACCCTATCCCCTCATCGCCCTCCACGCCCTTCCGCCAAACAGCCCACTACACACCCGCCCGTCCATCCCCACTGGGCCCGCGCAGCTCAAACATCGCCACACCCCCATGGCCAATGACCTCCCCAACGCGCGCCGGCCACCCGCAAAAGCCCACCGGCCATGACGAGAATGCGCACACCTCACCAATCTCATTCCCAGCCTTCGCCGTCCACACAGAGCAACCACAACGACACCATAACCCAGTGTCAGTGTCAATGCCCGACACACACTCCCAATCCCCGAGCTTCGTCAACATCGCCTCCTCGCCCGCTCTCACCTTCAACACAACCTTCCCATCAACCTCGGACCCCCAGCAACAGCAGCACCACCAACAACCCAACCTCTTCGCACCCACATCCCCCTCCCCCGCCTCACCAACTCCGTCAGCCCGCACACGCTACGCAGAGCGCTACGCGACGCAAATCGCGAATCCCATGCGCAGCACGACGTCCCTCGCGCGCTCCAAGACACGCAAGATGTTCCTCAACCGCGTGAAGAATGAGCGTGATGCGGGCCGGTTCGATGCGCGCGGGGAGCAGATGATGATGGCGGAGTATTTGGCGGATAAGAGGCGGTGGGAGGAGAGTATGGCGCGGGATGTGGATGGGGTGCTGCGTGGTGTGGAGGGGGATATTGAGGATGATGGGATGTTACCTGGTAAGTTTGTGCTTGCGCTTGTGCTGCTAGCCTCTAGCGTGTCTGATTTTGGTTTGTTGGGGGCGTTGGCTAATCGATCTTGTTTCATTGCTGCAGATGAGGCTGAGTTGAGGGCTTTGGATGAGTTTGTCTCGCAGGAGGAGGCTTTTGAGAGGGCGTTGCAGGAGTCGTTGTCCAAAGGGCATGGTTTGGCGGAGCCAGATGCTCCGTTTAGTGATGCCGATTATGATGATATTTTTATGCATCTGTCGGAGCCTGCGCAGGATATGGACATGTCTTGAGTAGGTGTGGTTGTCTGTCTTGGTCTGTTCGAGCTCTGATATAATCGGTTCTTGTCTGGTTTAGCGTGGGTTTCTTTGCATGTGGCGGCGTTACGTGGGTGTCATATTTTATTATTATTTTAGAATCGGGTTAGATTCAAAGCGTGGATATCTCGGTGTAAATAAGGGTATCGACGCGGTTGTATATATGTACAAGTACAAAGCAAGCCGATGAACATCAACATGAATGTGTATCTTTGTGTACGAAGAGTCAAGTCCTCTCCTCATTCCGTCTCTTCCTCGTTAAGTATTCTTGTAGCAATTACGGCCCTTATTGCTGCGGGCAATCGGGAACACCTGGTGCTCCTCCAGCTCCACCCAGCTCCCCCATCAGCGGGTTGGAAATCAGTTCCTCTGGCGGGCTGCCTGCAGCTTGCATCTATATTAAGAATCAGTATCACGCAACAAAGAGCACAAAGGGGATCATCTACAACTCACCTCCTGCATCCGCTCCCACACATACTCCCGGCACTTCGCATCCCCATCCGAGTACCCGGGCTCCTCAAACTTGAGCACAATCTGCTTCACGACCCGCGCCTGCGTCTCATACCGCTCCATATCCTCCGCAGGAACAGTCCCCTCAGCCTTACTCTTCGCAATCCAGGGCCCAAACTTGCCATCCAACTCCTTCATCGGCTCATACAGCATCTCCTTATTCGACAGCTGCTCCATCATCCCCATAAACATCTTCGTCAAGTCCCCGTCCTCGCCCGCCCCAGAGGCACCAGCCTCCACAGCCTTAAGCAACTGCGCAAGCACATCATCATCCAACCCATCTCCCGTCGTCGCGGCCTCCGTCGCACGATCCCCAGATTGCTTCATCCGCTCGATAGTGCGCTGAATCGCATCGTTGAAGTTCTCAGGCTGTTCCGCGTCCGTAGCAGCAGTCGCCGGTGCCGCCGACGAACCCTTCACGATTCCCTCTGCATCGGCACTACCGCCTTCCTCGGCCATCACGTCCGCGAGGAGCTGTTTTAGGAAATCGCCCGGTGGGATCCCGCTCTCCTCGAGCTGTTTCGCGAACGCGTCCGCGCCTTGGTCAACGGCTGATTGGAAATCTTGTGCGTCGGCGGCGGCGGGGCCTGCAGCGCCGGGATTCGCCATCATGTTGGCCATGTCTTTTTCGAGTTGTTTGAGGAAGGCATCCTCGTCGAAATCGGGCACGGTGATGCCGGTGGCGGGGTCGGATTGTGTAGCTGAAGCTGTAGCTGCAGGTGCGGGTGCGGGTGCGGGTGCTGGTTTGGGCTTGGAGAAGTCATCTAGGACGTCTGCGGGGAGATAGAGTGTCACTTATTGCGAGCAGTAGAGGATTGCATAGTGCGTGATGTGGTGTTTGATGGCGGCGGGGTTGATAGATCGTGCTTACCGTCCAATTCGTCAAAGTCCGAGTCCTCATCTTCCTCGTGTCCGGCTTGAGGATTTACGACCTGTGGTTTCTGTGTAGACTCTGCAACTGCAGGTACGGCATTATCAGCACCGGACTGGTTGTCAGTCACCGTTGTGGCCGCTGGAGTAGTAGCGGGGTTTGCATCGCGGGGATGGTCGCCCGAGCCGGAGGCAGGGTTCGACATGGTGTGGAATTGCTATGACGGTCGGAAAAAAGAGAGCAAAGCCGAGAGAAAGCTTGTCGTATGCGAGAAAATCAGCTCGGCAAGCTAGGTCCAGCGACCGAGTTGAAAGGGAAGTTTGGACTGGTGAAGGACGCGGTCCCGGCATGTGATGAGAATGGGAATTTGGCGGGGAACCGGCCGCCGATCGCCGAGGGAACAACACCATCGGGCCGGCAAGTCGTTGAATGAAGCATAATGGATATAGCATAAAAGGTGACAGGGCATGGGATGGTATGGAGACAGGATTTGTACTATGTAGGGAAGTCCATTGTGATACTCCGGAGGAAAAGGCTCATGTCATGTGTTATTGAGCCGAGAGTCAACGGCGTGAGAGTGTCATCGTGTAGTTTCTACAGGAGAGCCCGCCTCCGAGTTATTTGGAGGGGTTCTGGCCACTTGAGCGGAGAGCATAGTGCAGCTACAGGAGTAGCTACTGCAAGGAAATACTGTACAGTACAGCACAGGCTACCCGGATGGATCATAGGAAGTCACAGTACAGCGGATGCCTCAGGCTCCCCTACAAACCCCCCAAGACCGAGCTCTCCCTTCACTGCTGCATCGGACTCTGCATGAATAATAATCAGAATGTGTAAGTTACCACCCCGCACCGGAAGTCGGGGGAAGCGAGGCTGCATTGCATCATCCCAGCAGGAGTCTGGGGCCGGATCTGGACACTACGCAGAGAAAAGGAGCCATCGTGGAGGCTCGCCCAATAAGAGACCCGTCTGAGTATCCCTCGCAATGTTAGGGTGTTAATAGCGAGGAGGCTGCCGCAGGCCCGTGTTGCCGGCCCTGTCCTCGTGATGGAAACCAGGTCATGTGGCCTGGGGCGAAAATGCAAAAAAACCTTGCGGGTAGGGACCTCAAGTCTTGGGAGCATCCACAGGAGGGAAATTATACGATCGAGTATCTTCCGGATGCATGGCTGACGCATGTCTACGTTGTAGAGAGCACGAGTTTTATATACCGAACTTGCCGCAGTATAAGCAATGGGAGACTGACTGACGCAGCGGGTGGCAAATGGTACAAAAGTACTCGTACTAGGCTCTGTGACAGAGGACTTGGTACGATGTCGGCAGGGCTGGTATGTACCCCTGAAAACCCACGGTGAGCTGAGTCTGGACTAGGCGCGGCGGAAGACGCCGGTGGAGAGTTTAGGTACAGGATGCACCTACGGAGCATGCATAGGCGACTGAAACTATGTGCTAAATGAACGGGTGGTGGCTAACCACATCTCAGTGGTTAGCAGGTGGAGGGCCTGAACCCCGGTTCGCCCCGGTATCGGCTATTCGGCCTCGGGCTTTCTTGGCTCTGCAAAGTCTCTGCGCTCGCGCTGGAACCTTCGCCTCGACTAGGACTCTAGTAGTAGAATCCTTATAGTTCGAGTTTTCCATATATCCATAGAACCATCGATTCTGATACTCCGATGTTCATCTAGCCTCGTAGTCACTGTCCTAATATCGCTGCTTACAATCACTTTGATACTCGTGTATAGCCCTAGCCACGCTGTAGTTATACCCAGGGCAACCCCCATCCAACCTTCTCCGCGGAAGCCGCCCACGAGGTGTTGTTTGATTTTTTTTTCTCCACGGCCAGATGGCCCGTACGACACGAGGAGGGACTTTGCGACTTGGCCACCAACCATTCTGCCTTAAGTGGACCCGTGCCGTCACCAAGAGGGAGAGGCGGCCATTCAAGGAGGTGGAGTCGCCAACAGGGCAGAGAAATGAAAAAAGGAAGGAAAAAAAAGGAAAAAAAAAAAGTCAAAAGAACCAAGGCCATAGAGAAAGAAGAAGAAGAAGAAGAAGAAGAAAAATCTGAAGGGAGGGACCTGGTTTCATAGATGAGAAAATTCTGTACCCCAAAAAGAACCCGCCAAAAACACCCGCCCAACCCGACTCGCAACGAGAGACAATCCTATTATTTCGTTTAGTCAATCGCTTTACCTCACATTAATTCTTCTTCCCTTCCACCCCCCGCCTTCCTTCCCACTCCGTTTACGTTTTATCTCAAATTCTCTGACTCTTCCTTTCTCATAATCATCAATTTCTTTTATGTCACTCTCTCGCCTCCCTTCCGCTCGCACGTCCCGTCTAACCGCCTAGCCGCGCGTCTCCTGCGTCTGTTCTGCTCGTCTCTTTCCTCCTTGCCCCCCTCTTTCTTTTCGCGGTCCCAAAGCCTGTTGGCGCTTGGGGGGACGAAAAGGCAGGTAGGAGGGGATCGTATTCTCGAGTAGCAGACCCAACAGACTCTCGCCACCCCTGCCGCGGGCGTGCGCACCGTGTCTTTGTGTCCATCAACTCTCGTTGGAGAGAGAGAGAGGGTTTGGTGGAAGTGTCTTGGGGAGGTTCGATAAGCCTAAAAAAAACGAGACCAATTTTCTGATAACGAGATCGCGCCTGTTGGGCTCCAATGGTCTCTATGGTCGAGACCGCCTCCCATCCCGAACACAATGACACCGTCATGGACCCGGTCGTCCCCAAGTCAGAGCCCTTGCCTGATGGTTCCATCAGCTCGACTGTGTCCACGCCAGAAGCTGAGGCCGAACCTTTAACCCAAGATACCACCCAGACCCAAAAGCGAAAAGGTGGTCGCAAACCTGTATGTACAATCCCTCCCTGGCACACAACCTTTTTTTTTATTTCTCTTTTTTTTTTTTTTTTCGGGCTTACGCTTGCTGCATCGTTGATGCAATAATCCGGGGCCCCGCATTCCTCTCCCCCTATTGCTATGATATGCATCTCTTTCGATCACTTTCGATCAATCCCTACCACATTGCGATCCCCTTGTATCAGTACCGTTGGTGGTTCTTGTTTGGCTCATATTGTCCTAGATTTATGCTACCTCGGAGGAACGGAAGCAGCGCAACCGACAGGCCCAGGCTGCCTTCCGTGAACGTCGTACGGAGTATATCCGTCAGCTGGAGACGACCATCAAGCGTAATGAGGAGTCCCTGCAAAGTCTGCAGCAGAGCCATCGCAGCGCGGCTGATGAGTGTCTGATGCTGCGATATAAAAATTCGTTGCTGGAGCGGATCTTACTCGAGAAAGGTTCGCCCGATCGACCCTGCCTTGGTATTATACCTCTTCGTATACTAATCGTCAATTCAATCAGGCATTGATGTCCAAGCTGAGCTACGGCTGAAGACCGGGGCTCCAGGCTCATCGGCCAAGCCCAACCCCGTACCAGCCAAGTCGGGTCCTATACCTCGTCCCACCCAAAGACATCCGGCGGGTATCGCTTCCAAACAGGACGCTTTTGCTATCTCCCAGCGTGAGGGAGCTTACGGAGTCCCATCGCCGCAATTCCAGGCTACCCCGACTTCGCATGTATCATCGCCATCACACGCCAAGTCGCCGGGTTTTGGCTTCCAGGGTGGAATGTCGCCCGTTGAGGTCAACGCCCAGGGAGGACGTCCCCAATTGCTGCCCCAGCCACGGACATTCACCAGTCAAACCTCGCCGGGGGCGATTAGCATGCCCCAAACCGATCCCACGGAAAAGGCTCGTGGACCTCGCGGTGCGCGAGTGGCGGCGGCCTATTACCCATCTCCCTTCCAGAAACATTATGACCAACTCGGTAAGCAATTTCTCGCAAAATTTCTGTCCTTTTCTCCAGTCTTTCCACCCCAATGAACCCCTCACTGACCACGGCCAGAACAAGAGTACGACGCACAAGCCGATCTTGTTGACGATGACCACGACGGCTCAGTAAATGCCTCGTATGTCCCGGGCTTCACGCCACAGTCGGTGGCCTCGGGCTCTCACACCATGACGGGATACAATCCATCTACAGATGGAGCGCCCGGAGACTACGGCAATGCCAATCAGCTCATGGCTCAGTACGAGCCCATGTTGGACGCAGATCCATTCGGGCTGAGTGCTAGTATGCACTTCCCGACGCCATTCAACTACGAACAGAACAATCCTCGCTCTTGAAATAGCAGAGCATAAACAGAACAGCAAAATACCTCTTAAAAAGTACGTGTTCTTGTCGGCCAGCATTTCGAGTTGTCTTGTCCGTTTCTTGAATTCGTCTTTACTTGGAAAAAAAAGTCCTTTGAGCATTGCCCGGCGTTGTTGAGATGATTCGATACCAGGGAATACAACGGCAGTGTCCAGACATTTGTCCGCATGAATCGACTGGAATGCAAATGCAGTGCATGTTCGAACCCCGTTGGAGGGTCAATCCGTACATAGTTCATGGGGTTCGATTAGTTGACCTTCCACGGGGGACGATGACGACAGTAAAAAAGTTACGACTCGTCTGAAAAATATCAAAACTACCTCCCTATACAGGAATTGACCTCCGTAAGCCCACCACGACCGATCGTAAATGAATAATTATCTTGATCTCAAATGAGTCCATGATGCGAATCAAATGTATGATGCCGAAAGCTCCGCCAGTGACGCCATGATACCCTAAGCCCTAGCCTGATTCGCTTAGTAAATGGCGCCTAACCGGATTCGGGCTGCACCACAAACCTCCCTTCTTCCCTCGATCACTCGGTGCTCGGTACGATCACCCGCTTCATCATCAACATCCCTTCGCATTCAAAAGGCCGGATCTGCTGAGGTTCTGCCTTGTGTGCTCTCTTTCCCTTCCTCTTTTTTACACAAGTCGAGCGCCTTCCTGCCCGGAAGGACTCACGCAACACCAGGCGTCATGGTGGACGTCCGGTCCAAGGTACGCTGAGAACCGATGAAACAGCTCTCGCCTGTGCCCGCGAGGGGCTTCCTGGAAGCTCACGGGTCGACTTGAGCTGGCGGAGGCTGTGGCTAACGTGTGATTGTGCTTTTCTTTCGAATTTATAGAACCTCTATGAGCTTCTTGGTAAATATTCCCTTTTTTGCTCTCTCTCTTTGCTTCTTCTGCTTCTGGTGGGATATTGTGCTTCTCGAGCTCAGCTCAGCTCAGCTCAGCTCGGGTTTCCTCGGAACACATTTCCCCTCGCGACCACCATCGGATGGGTTTTTCTTCCATCTCAATTCAATCAAATCTCTAATTCCTTCAATCTACAGGCAATGACCCCGAGCTCGACCCCAACAGACCCCCTGCGCCCCCCGCTAAGGCTGTCGACCGTCCCGCTCCCCGCATTGGCAAGCGTGATGCTCCCCTGGAGGCTCCCTCCACCCAGCCCCGTGAGAACGCTGGCCGCCGTGGTGGCCGTGTGACCGGCGGCAACGATGCCGGTATGTTGATTGATGAGGACCCATCTATTGCGGATGGGCGGATGGGGGAAGATGGAAATTGTCTCCTTGAAAGCTGACATTTCGATACAGCTTTCCGTGACCGCAACGCCGGCCGCACCAACAACCGCCAGAAGCCCACCGATGAGGCCGAGCAGCCCTCCCGCCCCCGCGGCGGCAACCGTGGCCGTGGTGACCGCCAGTCCCGCACTGGCCAGACGTAAGCGATACCCCATTTCCGGTGGTGAGAAGATGAAGCAATATCAAATGGGCAGAGCGAAGGCAAATGCACAGAAGCTGGTTCGACCGGGAATGAAAGACTGACAAACTATCCATCTTTTCCAGTGACACTCGCAAGCAGGTCCAGCAGGGCTGGGGCAACGAGTCCGGCGAGAAGACTTGGGACGACGAGCGCGTTGGCGAGACCATCGCCAAGGCCGATGAGACCGAGCCCCAGACCCCCGCCGAGGAGGTTGAGGAGGCCGACAAGTCCAAGTCCTACAACGACTACCTGGCTGAGAAGGCTGCTAAGGACAGCCTTGCTGCCAAGCCGGTCCGTGCCGCCAACGAGGGCGTCAAGGAGGACAAGAAGTGGGCTAACGCCAAGGAGCTGAAGCACGAGGAGGCCGAGACCTACATCCAGGGTGCCTCTGAGAAGACCAAGCGCGAGAAGCAGCGCAAGGAGAAGAACTTCATCGACGTTGACATGCGCTTCGTCGAGCAGCCCCGCCCCGCTCCCTCCGCCGCTCGTGGCGGCCGTGGTGGCCGTGGTGGTGACCGCGCTCCCCGCGGTGATCGCCCTGCTCGTGGTGGTGATCGCCCTGCTCGTGGTGGTGATCGCCCTGCTCGCGGTGGTGATCGCCCTGCTCGTGGTGGTGATCGCCCTGCTCGCGGTGGTGATCGCCCTGCTCACGGCGGTCCTCGCGGTGGTGCCCCCTCCGTTGCTCCTCGCGGCGGCCGTGGTGGTGCCCGCGCTCCCGCTGCCGGCCCTACCGTCGACGAGAAGAACTTCCCCAGCCTGGGCGGCAACTAAAAAGGAAAGCTCAAAGGCCCTCGGCTCTAAGCGCTGGTTGATGGGCGGCTCGGTTTAAAATCGGACTCCTGCTCTTTCCTCGCAGACTGCCTTTCCCTGCTTTGTGTTCTCTTCTGTTTTCCCACCCCGTTCTCTCTCTGTCTGTCTCTCTGGCCCGTTTCTCTCTCTTTATCTCTCTCTCTCCTTCTCTCCTGGATGTGACTTCTGCATTACATCACCCGGAGGGACGTTATTCTGTCTTGTTCTAGTCGTCTATGGGGAAATGTCCAAACTCGTGCAATGGCAATAAATGGTTGACGAATTGATTCGATGGAAAATTGTTCAACGTTGTTTTCCTTTGCTCGGGTGCCTTGCCCTTCCCCATTTTCTTTCTCATTATTCCGATACGACTGGGCTTCTCTGTGGGATGATGGATGACGATTTGGGGAGTGGAACGGTGTGTGGGAAGAGAGGGCATGGAGGATTTAATTGTTTTCCGGGAATGTGCTCTCCAAAATAAAAAATTATCTAGGGACCCTGTGTTTTTTCTCTCTTCCTTCCCTGAGGAGAGGGATGGATAGAATATTCCCGGGGTCGATGTGTGTGTCTTGTGTGCTCTTGACATTTTTCTTATGTTCCTTCGGATGTGGAAGGTGTGCAAACGTGAATTGGATGAACTGAAATTTCAATTGGGATTCCCCGTATTTTGATCTGTAAAGAAGGATGCTAGAGACACAAGTGACATCCTTTCATCAGGACTTGGCTGTTTCGTGTCATGTCCTGCCAAGTATCTACTGTAGTTCTAGCCTTCGATGGTTAGAGGGTAGATAAGTTATGACGACATGCCAGGAATACTTGTAGCCCACTCTGCCAGTAGACCCATACCTATACCTACGAATCTAGTAGTAGGGCGGAGCTCTCATCTCAATCGACTCGCCGGCTCCTAAACCTCATTTGTATCTCACATACTCACCCCAGCGTCCACCTACCTACGAAAGTGTGACTACAAATGGCAAACCAAATAGTCATACAGATCTCAATATTTCTTGAATCTGTATAACATCAACCCGCTAGGAATGAGATAGCTATGTACGGAGTTCTCTATCAACTATAGAACAAGTAGAGCTGTAGCAAATAGGTCCAGCACCTACGTACCTCGCAGGAAAAGTCACCATAATCTCAAGCATGTATTAAATGTGAAACTGATCCACAGATAATACCATGACCACCCTAAAAATCACGCAAAAGACCTCATGTACACTCCTCACCTCCCAACTCCCAACTCAAAGCTCATCATCACCATGATGCAACCTCCAAGGCCTCATGAACTCGCTCGCCGCAGCCTCCGCAACACCCTCCCACCCACGCAACGTCTCCTCATCAACATCGTCCAGAAACGACAATCCCGGCATCGCCCGACCCCCACACGCACGCTCCAGCGCCAAAAACGCAAAATGCCCACCAATAACAGGGCGGGCAAAAAAATTCGGACCCGGGAAATTCCCATCGCCTTCGGTATTATGCAGGTCCGTGAAGGGTCGATCGGTGACCGTTTCGTTGACCCACCGCGCGACGGATTCGAGGATCTCGGTGCGCACGGGCGTGGATGCCACGGCCATGGAGAAGAATTCCCAGTCTGTTTTTGTGTAGAGGTGGCGGCTGTCGAGGGGGAGGCCGTATTTTTGGCGCACGTAGTGGTACCAAACTGATTGCTTTTGGTAGATGTGTCGTGGGACGAAGCCGGGGGGTTTGGTGTTGGATGATGGAGAGGAGGAGGTGGTGTGGTTTGTGTTGTCTAGGTGGAAGCATAGCTGGGCGTCCGCGTATAGGTTGTAGATTGTTGTCCAGGAACCATACCAGTCGTAGGCGACTTTGGCGTGGGAGCCATCGCGCGACATGCCGAACTCTTCCCATTTGGCGATATATTTGTCGGCGGTTTTCTGGGGGTATGGTTAGTGGGTACTTTCTTAGGGCTATCAAGGGCACGTACCTTGAAGTAAGACGCATCCTCTTTGTCACCGATCAGCTCAGATAGCTTGCTCATGGCGTTGATGCCGACGATGCCCTTCAGAGCTAGGTTGGTTTGAAGCGCCAGCCAGCCAGCAAAGTCATCAGTGGACACTGTATCACATGTCAGCACCTAGTCTGTCAAATACCCTTTAGTTACTACTTACGCTGGTTAGCGGGTTCCAAGGAGAACTCGACCAGGTAGCCAGTCCATTGCTTCCAGAGGCGGTAACTTCGCCGCACCCATTTCTTCGCAAGAGTCCGGCCTTCTACACCTCCGCCCCATCTACTGTCTTGGTAACCAATACCGGACATGACTTGGAGGTCATCGAGAGGGAATAGACCCGAGTTCAGCATCGAAAACTTTGATCTCGGCTCACCCTGTGCAGACCAAATGGAAGAGGCCTCGGAGCTATCCTCGTACTGAAGCGAATTGGCAATGGCGAGGCCCATGATCAGGATGTTACCACACTCCTCCACGGGCATATATTCATCGTTGCCATCAGGGTGGCCGGTGGCGTTGGGGAAGTGGGTGCCCAGGTCGTGCATGGCATAGGTGTTGGGGTATTGTCCGCTGAGCATGTGCTCGATCAGTGGCTCCAGGAGGTACGCCAGCCAGCGAGGGTTAGTGTACAGGAAGAACGGGAATGACGGGAAGATAACATCAATAGTTTGGAAATTCCCGTTGGAAGAGATCTCCTTCAGGAACAGGATAGGGTCGTCTGGGGTGCCCGAGAATTGGGTGGCGCCCATCACCTGTCGTGCACTGAGAGCAACAATGTCTACATAGTCCTCCGCTCCGGAGAGATAAGCGTCCTTGGCCAGTTGCGCAGAGTAGTTGGATGCCAAGGCACTTGCTGCGGCGTGGTCATTGTAGTGGAAGTTCAGCAGCTGCTCGGTAGATGGGAACCATGACTCCCAAAGAGGCCGCATCATAGTGAGCCCACGAGCAGCAGCAAACTGAACTACAGGAACCTGGATAAGAGCCACGGTAAATGTGACACTTTGAGAGTGCCGCTCTGATTGAGCGAGCTTGAAGGATTTGGAGAAAGCGAAGACGGGCGACCGATCACGAATGGCTCGTAATTGACCATCGTTCGAGTTGCGCAAGGCTCCGCTTTTCGCAAAGTGCCGTCGCACCTGTGATGCTTCTCCGGACTCATACCACACATCCTGTGGGAGGTGACAGCTTAGTACAGAGCCACGACGACCCGGAGAGATACAATTACTTACGTCAGGTCCAGTGAAATGCAGAGTGCCCCATTCGGCACGATCGCGGATTTCAGACAAGTCAAGCTCTGAATCTCGGCGAATCTGCCACCGTTGAAGGCCGGACTTTTGTTTCTTGTTGTTGCTCTTGTTGTTCGTTTCATCCTCGACCTCTAGCGCGTCCCACTGCCAATTGAGACGACTACCTCCGTCTCCACTTACCCATCGCCCATCGATATCCATATATACATTGACATCGACGTTGCCCTGTACGTCGATCGTCACATAGGAAGCCGGAATCGACTGTCGCAAAGTCGAGGTCGGCGTGATGGGCGAGAGAAAAGAGACCATGATGTCAAGTGTTTTCGCAGCACCAGTGTCAATACGATACGTAAAGTTGGTTGTAGAGGCGTCGTAGTTGTGTCCCAGGTAATCAGGGTATTGCACTTGATACCTAGAGTGTGCAGTTAGTGTTTCGAACCAGACTGAAGCTATTCGAGCTCTTTATACCCAGCATTTGAAGCCAAAGAATCCTGCGGCTTTCCAAGTAGAGGATAAACGATTCCCTGGCTGGGCACGTGGGCCATCAATGCAAGGCCAACCTCCTCTCCAGTATAGAACATGGGCCACTTGGCCCAAGGAGCCTCACGAGCATTTCCCAACCAGGTGCTAAGGTAGGGATTCCGCACGATCAAGGGTAGCACGGGCGGTGTTAAGGTGGAAGCCGTACTAACGACGGCCTGACTGACAGCCGCAGCCAATACGGCGAGGGATAGTTGCATGGTCGGCCACTTCAAAATGAACAGTTCAAGGGTCAACCGGCGTCACCAGGAACATAGGAAGAGTGTGTAACGGCAACAAGGTGAAACGCAGGGGCCGAAGGTATAGAGACTGTGAAATGCGGGGGAACTGGGCTCAGCGTTGCTCACCTCAGCCGAGATGGATTCTTGGTTACGTGCGGCGAGTTCGAAGAGAGGGCCAAGAAAGACGTCAAGTATGTTATTGGTTGGGTTCAGTACTTTTTACTTTTTCCATCTATCCTGTACCCCAGGAGTACCTCGTATGTAGTTACTGTCGTACTGGTCAGTGGGCGTCCTGCATCCTGTTCCTTGGAGTCTCGGGCCTTGCGGTCGGAGCTGATGATGTCATGCGGAGACGCCTTTGGATCGGATTGTGAGTGGCCCGAAGGCCATTCAGGAACTGGAGCTTGTTGGGAGCGAGTCGGCGCGGTTAGGTTATTGAATTATCGGTATGATCGCCATAAGGTTTATAGATTCCAGCCTAGATTGATTGACGAATAGGAAGTCATTAGCATACCTACCTGAAGCTACTATATCGATGAACTATGTGGCTAAGTTGCGTGATATATTGACGCAGCCCGCCACCTTCGAGTGTCTTGAAAAGGATCCCACCAACCACCTTATTCAAGGATGAATGAACATATCAGATTCTCACAAAGCAAGGCTACTACGAGAGGGTATGGTTCTACTGTAAGACTATATTCATTCAACCACTGTCTCGTCGACCCACCAACAAAGCGCGTCTCGGCGCGACTGTTGAAGAGGGGCACATGATCACCACCAACGTGACTAAATGAAGGAGTCTTGAATTCCATTCGAATCTTATTTCTGTAAATACAGAGCGACGTGTTCAATCGACAATAAATCAACAATGATTCCATTATAAGATGCGCAGCAATTGCCAATTTGACGTGTTGCCGCGATTGTGTGCACTCGAAGGACTAGGCACATGGGTAGATGTAGTTGCGAGATTCCATGCTTATTGCATTGATTCTGCTCCAGTAGCTCGGGCAATCACCCTGTCAAATGCCCTTGAAAAATCACAACAAAGGAGAAAAACAAATATCTGATCATTACGGACTCCGTGCGAGGAAGCTAAAGGCGCTAGGGTCGAGGCAAGCCCGTGGACGCGTGCTCAACACGACCAGTGGAGCCCGTGTCCGTGCTTCTATACAGAGCTAGTAAGGTCGGACTATACGCGATTGACGCGACCGTTTTGTGTTGAACTTCTGCTCTTCCTCAATCTCCCTTTCTTTCACTCCTTCTCTTTCCACCCAATTCCCATTGTGCAGTTGATCTATTCTCTATTCCTTTGTCACTCTCCATTTGTGACTTGCTTCGTTCGCGTGGACCCTCCCTGACCTCTTAGCCCGCTTCTTCCCCGCGCGGCGTATCAATTTTCTCAAAACCCACAAGCTACAACCTGTCTCTCCCTGTCCATTGTTGGTTCTGGAAGACTTTCCAACTCGAGAGAATGCAGCCAACTACAATTCAATTCAGCCCGGTCAAAGAGGGCCGCCACATCCTCGGCGAGAAGGACTCCAACGCGTGTCTCTCCCCCGCCCCCCACGGCAAACAATCCCTTTCGGTTACCAACACGCCCGTCAAACGGACTCTTTTCACGACGGTCTCGCCCAAGAAACTCCTCCCGTCTCCGATTTTTGCAGGCCAAAAGCGAACGAGAGACCAGGTGGACGAGATCGATGTACACGACGCATCCGTGCAGGCTCGCGTGGAGAGCCCAGTATCCACCTTGAAACATGAGACCCAACAAGTAAGCTATGACCTGGAAGCTGCATGGAATATCTACAATCAAAATAGAAGCCATTGGCTAACCCTAATTGTCGTGTCATAGCTGAGTCCAGAGTCGGACGCGATGGAGATCCCCCTCACAGCCCCATCATCACAACCGAAACGCGACCAACCCCAAGAAATGGACACAACCAGATCCCCCAGCGCGTCGCAATTCTCGCAATTCTCAGACACAGAAACAAGATCAATTCCCGATGACCCCGAGGCGCGCAAAGTATTCATCCAAGAAGTAAGCGGAGCCTCCGTTCTCTCCACATTCCTGGCGAACACGGTTCTAACTTTCCACCCTCCTCCAGAAAGCAGCTCTCCTCCGAAACAAACTCCAAACCGCCATGCGCAATGTAGCGGACCATCAGATTGACCGACGTATCTCGGAACTAGAAGCACACAGTCGCAAAGTCCCCCGGCTCTCCTTTTCCGCCCTCTCTTCTTCTTCCCCGGTCACCTCGTTCCGCCACACCATCACACCTTCTCAGCTGAAGACGCCGCGAATTGGCTCGGGGGAAATTTTGAGCTCGACCCCTTCCCAACAGACGCCGGATCTTCCTCGACAGCCGTCGTCGGTCATCCAGAGTACGAATTACGCGAAGCGCTGCCAGCGGACGCCTCCTCGTACGTTGGGATCGCCGATGCAACTAAGCAGTCCCCCAGCTACGGGGGTCCGGTATAGTCGGACCCGGGATATCACCCAAGGACTAGATGTGGAGGAAGCACCTACATCGCATGACGGACTCTCGCCGTCGCAGCGAGGGGACGCGGTGGACGGGTTGCTCAAGCTCATGAGCACGTCGGATAGGCATGAGAACCCGGATGTATGGAGCGGGTAGTTCTGCTGCGAGGACGACACTGCGGACATTCTCAATATACCCTACGCTTCAGAAGCTGTTTAAACCAGACTGTTGACTGGGCCACGACGGAGTATACCCTGACGACTACTTGCTTGTTGACTTCCACGCCGATAAAGGATCGTGGATATGCGATGATGGGCGCTCTAATCTTGGAAGTATGCGGCGTCTTGCTAGACTTTTGTTTACTTTGTTACTTTGCAATCAATGATACCAATCGTGTCCCCCGGAAGTCAATAATCTAATTCCTACCTGCGTCCATGGAAACATTCATGAGAAGTAATACCTTAGCAGAGCTCTGTAGCTCTTGTAGATGTATGAGACAGCGTGATATCAGCCCTTACTCCTCATCGTCTCCCTCTTTCCCATCTTCACTCTCATCATCTTCCTCATCCGAGTCCAAATGTCTCCTCCACTCACCACAATTCACCTCGATTGCCGTCGTTGGGTCTCCAGACCACTCCACACTCAATCCTCCGCTTCTCAACGACCCTACAATCGCCTTCCCAATAGCCTCATTCTTACTCTCCGAATCGGTAAACGACCCGAAATAAAGCAGAATTCTCCCACACGAAACTAACCGCTCCGTACCCTGCTCATGGAAGAAAACGTATCCCTGCGTATTCTCATCGCTGTCCCCACCAATTTCGGCAACACCACAGGTCCTGCAGCAGGTGTAATTCATGCGGGCCAGGATTTTCTGCTCGTGCTCGAGGGAATCGAACGCAGACTCCAGTTTCTCGCAGACAGTATCTTCGTTGTCAGGCCAAGTCGCTTGTGCTCGGAGCTGTGTTGCCCACAACGGCTGGACGATTTCCTTTGCTTTTGCTCGTGCGTCCATTGGTGTCATCTCGGAATGTTCGTCTTGGATCAGGTCCGTGATGTCGGTAATGATGTCCCTGAACCGCCAGAAGCCAGACTTTACTTTCCATTCTGCGATTTCTCTCGCATACAAGAAGTTTTCACTTCCTGCTGTTGATTCTGGGGGAGTTTCTGCGTCCATTCTCGACGTGACTGGGCGTTCACGTGTGCTTGTTGGTAGCAAAAGCGTGCACTTTCGCAACGTAATCGGGGGCGGCGCGATTCCACGTGTCGCCTTCTTGAAAACACGCGGGTGGACACGGACAGGACATGTTGCTTTTAGCAGAATACGAGGTCAACTAACCTCGAAAGTTCGTCTGAACTGGTCCCACACGTGATTTAATGCTCGCTCACTTGATTTCATTAGGTATCTACAGTACCGTCTTTGACCACTAGAACGGAAGGAAACCGCCGAGAATAGCTGGACATGATATATACAGACTTATAGAACTCCACCAGATCACCGAACCTTCTTCAACTTGTTCCGCTTGCGACCCAGCACATCACGGCCTTCTTCAATCTCTCCAGCAGCCTCGCGCTTCGCCGAACCAACATCCTTTAGCATTGTAGTTCTCGTCACACGACTCTCGATACTAACACCCTCCTCAGCCCACTCGACCATTTCCCGACCAACACGCTTCTCAATAGCAAGGATGAGCTCGACATCTCGCTGTCCGACCAAAGTCACGGCCTCACCAGTCCGGCCTGCACGCGCAGTACGACCAACGCGATGGACGTAATCATCTGGGTTCCGCGGCACATCGAAATTGATAACCAAGCTGACGATGGGAATATCGAGACCACGCGATGCAACATCCGTGGCAACGAGAACCCGTGCAGCGGCGGCTCGGAATCGGGCGAGGTTCGAGGTTCGCTCGGATTGTGGGAGGAGACTGTGTAGAGAGGTAGCGCGGTGACCGAGACGGCGCAAAGTGCGCTCAAGTAGATCGGCGGTCTTGGTGTGATTGCAGAAAATAATGGCGGGCTTGGAGATATTTTCTTCGGTTGAGATCAAGGCGTGCAGGAAGGCTTCGCGATGCGTCATGGGGACCTTGAGATATGTCTGCTTCAGAGTCGGGGGGATGTTGCCTTGGTTTTCAGTCGAGATCTCGGTCACGAAGATTGGTGGCTTGTCACCGGTCTGTGGCAACGATTTTAATGCGCGCACCTCGGCCGTCAAAGTCGCAGTGAACAAGAGAGTCTGCCGTTCTGAGGAGGGAGGGACTGCTGAAAGGCAGGTTTCCACGTCCGGCAGCATACTGCCGTGTCCGCTTGCGAGAAGTCGGTCGGCTTCATCGAGAACGACCATCTTCACTCGACCCAGACCAGCAATCGTGTCTTGACCAGACGTCTTTATGTGATCAGCCAAGCGACCCGGGGTCGCAATGACGACATGTGGCCGTGTCGCGAGCTCGATTGCCTGCCGGCGCATATCTGTGCCTCCAGTAATGAGGATAGGCTTCATGCTCTGCGGCGCGGAAATAGCCTTGAATTGCTCGAAGATTTGAAGAGCCAACTCTCTGTCAAAGTAAAAAATAACATGTTAGTAAATGATAGCTTGTTCTTGTAAAGTGCATCCATCTGTGCTAATTCCATACCTCGTCGGCGTCAAAACCAAAGCAAAGATACCAAACGGATCCTGAGCCCACTTCTGTATGATAGGGACGGCAAATGCCATGGTCTTTCCTGAACCTGTCCGACTTCCACCAATACAGTCCCGCCCCTTCAGAATCTCAGGAATACAAGCCTTTTGAATAGCCGTGGGTCGTCGAATAGCCATCGTCGTCAAAGAACCCACAAGCCATGGTGACACATTCAAAGCACCAAACGTAGATTCCTCCGCTCGAAGTCCAATTTCGAGCGCATCACGGATTGTAACAGGGTCTTCCTCCTCCGGTGACGCGGGGTTCTTTGTAGTCTCGTCTTTCTTTTTGATTCGGGAGACGGTGGGGAGCGGTGCTGGCGCAACGTACTCGTCGTCGTCTTCGTCGGACTCGGAAAGGCGGCGGCGCTTGGGAGCGCGGTCTTCCATGCCGGGTTTATTTATATCTGCGTTTTCGGAGAGATAAGAATCGTCCGACTTGGGATCATCTTTTGAGTGCGCCATTGTGGCTTCTGCTTCCTTCTTTGCTTCTGAGAAATAATTTTGTGGCAGAAAAAGTTATCTCTATCTGGCGGTGAGAACGGCTTCTGCCTGATTGGCAAGGCTCCAAACTGATTGACGGAGCAGCCGGATTGGTGGATACTCGGAGAAAGGAGATATTGTATAGTTAGTTAGTTACTTATCCGTCAAGATTAGTCATTATTTTGCCCACATAAGTTGCCAGCTACGGGCAGTATACTGTAGCAATTCAGACTTGTTGATATCCTATTGGTGCGCAGAATGATCCACTAAGCAGGAATTCCGACACTGATCTATTCTGTAGGACAGTCACGTGATAAGACCATTATCGCTTTGATGAGAACTAGATGTTTATTATTCACATGTGCGACGAATCTTAAGAATCTACATAGTTCAAACTCGATATATAAACCCGGATAGTGACGCCAAGAAATTCTTTTTGCAGCCATCTCAGTCAACTCGACTGTGACTAGTGCGTCGATGAAGAGAGGATTGAAGCTCGTAAGCCTCTCCTCTCTCCAAGTCATCCTCTTCAACCGCTGACTCTGATGATGAAGAGGGTCGGCCTCTCAGGACTCCATTGCCACCGCCCGAAGGGTCTTCAGTCCCTGTGGCCGTCAAATCCACAGACTCTTCCTCCAAACCATGAGTACCGCCAACACTTTCCATGGTGAAAGGGCTAGCAGTAGGCGCATCCAAGACGTTAAGTTCCTCTCGGGTAAACCACATTGGGAACAGGAATGATCTCACGGGTATAAGTAGGAGAATGATTACAGGGAACCCGATAGCGGCGATGGTCTGCGTGATGGCAAAGGTAGCACCGAAGCCAATTAGCTCGATAATGACAAACACCCAGATAGCTGCACGGCGGTCGAGCCTCTTCAATGGGTTGGATCCTGGCGTAAAGTCCTTATCTTGGGCGAGGAAGATCAACTTTTGGGTGATACCGTTGCCTTGGAGAGCTTGGACTCCCATGATAAAGAACAGGCCAGCCATGACGCCCTGTGGAATCAAGTGGAGAACAATGAGAAGCGGACCGGTCATTGTTCCAAGAGTCAAGAGGCCCTGAGCAAGGTTGCTAACCCGCTGTTCTACTACATGATCGGTGACTCGGATGGCCTTGCCCTTGTTTGTGTCATCTTCATCGGCTACCTGGCGGGTGACGCAGAGCGCAGCGGTGTGGAATGGAGCTTGAGGGATAAGTCCATTGGGGAATGGAATGCCAAGAATTCCGGCAATAAATGTGGTGAGTCCGAGCAGCCAGAGATCCCAGTGAAAGCCAGCAGGTTTCCGAAGAGGGAACTCTGTGCCTTGAGCGATGAGAGAAGAGACTGGCGAACAATTAGTAATGGAACGAACGAGTTTAGCACAACTTAAGCTCTTACCATTGTGATCAAAGTAGAACAGAATTGTAAGAAGGAGAGCGAATGGGATGGCCAGGAATATATCACCAACATCAATGTCCCAGAAATGCACCAGCCATGGACGATCGAGCGTGGGGAAGAAAGCCTTGCTCGTGGGCAGGGTGGAGACATCAACGTCTCGCATGTGTCCAATGTGGACGAAACCAGTAAAGAATACAATCGTCAACGGGGTGCCATAGTCTTCCAGGAACTTCCGAATAAACCGTTTGAAAAGGTTGCTATTGCCTAATTCTCCACAGATCCAAGCCACCATGAGGACAAGAAGCGCCACAGCGATAGCGAGATATGCCGAAGTCTCCCCAACTGCACCCCATTGGCGAGTCAGAACCTGAATACCCTTTTGAAGGTAGATGAATGCGACGTAGAACCCAAAAATATCGCATGAAAAGCGCGTGACATAGGTCAGTCCGTTGCAAGCGTTTGTGATGGCAAGAGCCCAGTGCATAATTAATGACCAACTGCAGAACATGTCAGACTTATCCAGTAAGAATCAATTGCTGCTTGCACTTACATTCCAATCCAGCACATAAAGGCCAGATAAGGCGTACCTCTCGGCGTGATGATATCGTAAACGGTGTAATTAAACACGGTAATCGGACCTGGACTATCATTAGTTTCGACCTCTCAGTTGCTGTACATGCAAGTACTCACCAGTGACGCCAACTATGACCAATGGCTGAGCAGCAAAGACAGAAAATACGACGGCACCGAGCACAGACGCGAGCAAGACCTCATTAACGCCAAAGCTCTGGTTTGTCTTCTCAAACATATCCAACGAGAAAGCCAGGGCGGGAAGAATACTGCAGCCATTGTAAGCTTGGGAAGTAGAGAATGTCGAGTGTAATAATCATGCTGATATAGGAATTCAATGGCCAAGGGTTTGGAGAAAGAAGAAGAATAATATTTGCAAGCAGAAAAAGCTCAAAACATACTTGGCAAAGTACATGTACACCGTCGCGGGCACAATGCGGTAATCCCACGCATCAGTCCAATCACTCCAATAATACGGTGCCCTACGCTTGACATCGTTCATCATGCCTCGGAAGAAATGAATCCTCCACCAATTGGAAGAGGACGACTGTGTAGACGCTGAAAGTGACGCGCGACGTAGCTGCTGCTGTTGAAGATGCTGCTGTTGTGACGTCTCACGAGCGGCATTGCGTGCATTCGCGGACGAAACAGAGTGCCTCGACGAAAGAACATGGCCTGAATTCCCAGAGCGGGTGGATGATAATCGCCTTGACTGCACAGAAGGCCGGCGCTGTTGGGTAGATGACGCGGAAGCATGCATGTTTGTGCCCAGAGGTAAGGATAAATCCTCGTGCGGGGCCTGCATCTGCCCTATAGACCGAGACAATGCTGGGTAGAGTAAGAGGTCTAAAACTGGACTCGAAAGGTCGTCTATGAACTTGATCTGCGTGGAGAACAATGCATATGCATACAATTGATTTGCAGGGATGAAGAAGTCGGGGAAAAGTGCAGGAAGCAGGATTATCAGCATTGATGCCTGAGGCATCAAGTATCTCCATGTGGGGCCACGACCGACAGCCACAAACGATGTACCTTGAGAAAGGTTTCATATTAATAGGTGGCTCTATGTAGCAGATCAGGGGTAGTACCCTAGTGGTTCCCTTTATTATCTTCAATCATTTCAAGATATCTTGTTATCTAGGTCGAGATAAAGTATCCGGAACACTGTATTGGCTATATAGTATAGACGCACGCAGGTGATATAGGGTTTACCTACTTCATTACGCTAGGGAACTCGAGCGATGTCGCCAGGTTGAATATCTCCAACAGCGTCAGATTCAAACCATCCATGCTTTACATCCCAGTTACCCTCATTGTATAGAATTCGGTTTGTGTCATTATGGATCTCGATCCACAGTTCAAACAAGTATCCTGCGTTTGAAATGCCGTGCGTGGTGCCTCCCTGGTGTGCCTGCTTACGTAGGTCGTTCAGTTTCATTCGGAGTTCCGTTGCTAGCTCCTTGTTTCCGGATATCATCGACTCGTTGTACTCTTTCGATACTTGTTGTAGTTGCTCGCTGACGGATTGCAACTCTGCTGGTAGATTGGCCTTCACTACATCCCAAAGGCACCGTTAAAAAGTTGGATCGAAACTGGAAATTATCGCAGATACATACCAATCTCGAGTTTCTGAGGCTGATTTAACTCTGTGACCTGTTCTGCCTGCTGGGGTTCGGACATATTTCAATGAGGATGAAGTATAGTATGAGGTTGATTATGGGGTTGATGATTTCTTTTTTCCTAGAGGTTGGGATGACTGGCCCCGTTGGACTTTAAATCTCACCGAAAACCGTCGGAAAATAGTCAGTTCAATCACCGAACGGGGAAATAGTTGGGTACAAGAGATGGCGGCCTGAAGTTTGTCGGTGATCCCGCTACCTACCCTAACGCGCTGCCGGGAAATATCAAGTGCAGCAGTGATACCACGCTGATACGGAGCTCATGCTATTTGCTATATCTGAACACCTATGAAGGGCCAGGAGACCGTAGCTAGCCATCAAATAACTAGTCGTTGGGTAGTGAGGAAACTATGCTTGACTTTAGACTCTATTGGCTAAAAGGCACTAGCAAAAGAACGAGCATATCAAGGTTGGATCTTGATAACCAATGCGGTGGCTGAATGCCAGGCTTTCTTTTCCTTCAGCACGTCCATAGGGTTCATCCCACCTGCTCTAGCTGATCCTAGTGGCCTACGGGTGCTCCTCTTCCATTTTGTTTGTTTTCGCGCACGATAGCTTTGAAACTGTTTCCCGAACTGTCCCTACTTATAATGTAGTCCATCTTTATTGTCTAAATAGTGGATTCAACAGGTAGTTCTTACGCTGCCTACAATCATGTACAATTGGGATCCACAGCCCACTTTTCTAAGTAGTTCAAGAGTACAGCCTTTGGAATATCATCAAATTACTCCGCTACGCATGTGTAGCAGCCGTTGCATTATCAACCTAAAGTCAAGAGATTCCACTCATTGGACAAACTGCATGTGGAAGGAAACAAAAAGACAGAAAGCATCTTTCCAGCCGGTATCTTCAAAAGCAAATAGTGAACGGTTCTTCCGCCGGTTTCCTTTTTGTATGTAACGGATCAACAGAACTAGAAAAATGCTCACGCAGAGGGAGGAGGGGGAGGGGGCTGGTCGCTGGGAGGCGGAGGAGGGGGCGCATCACCAGGAGGTGGGGGAGGAGGAGGGCTGCCAGCACCGCCATAGCCACCCATAGGGGGCATACCCGGAGGTGGTGGCGGAGCTGTCATACCGGGAGCAGCCATACCGGGAGCAGCCATGCCGGGAGGGTAGGTATAACCTGCGTATGCTCCATAGCCATAACCAGGAGCAGCAGGAGCAGCAGGAGCAGCAGCAGGAGCAGCACCGCCGGGAGGAGCTTGCTGTTGCCAAGGAGCAGCGCCGGCTGCGGTGCCAGGCGCGGCATATCCACCATGAGATCCATAGCCGTAGTCGTTGCCACCGCGGTTCTGGGAAGCCCAAGGAGCAGGACCGCCTTGGTCGCGGGAACCGTAATCGTCCCGAGGACGGTGTTCACGGCGCTGCTGCCAGGGAGCAACATCGCTTGCAGGTGGGCCACGCTGCCATGGCTTGGCATCACGGTCATCCGGTTGGTAGCCGCCCTGGTCGGGACCGGCTTCAATGCGACGAGGCGGGTATTCACCAGGAGCACCTCCAGAAAGTTCGTTCATGAGTTGCTATTCAGAATGTTAGATAAACTGATTTAACCAAAGGAGCTGGCAGAAGGAAAAACTTACCTCCATCTCACGGTCTACAGCATCACCAGTGCCAGTAGCACGAGGGTTGCGCGGGCCGCCACCATAGCCGCCACCATTGCGCCAGTCGCTGCCTCTCTGGCGATCGGGACAATCACGAGCCATGTGGCCAGCGTTGCCACAAACCCGACAGATGATGTTGGCGGTGAAGTTGCGCTGCTCGGGGCAGTCATACTTGCGGTGTCCGATTTGACCACCTATAACATAATTAGTAATCATGAAAAAGAGGCAATACGGTGTAGGGAACTCACAGTTTTGGCAAGCCTGGTTCTCATCGTCGCGGAGAGTACCGTTGAGGGCGGCCAGCTCACGAAGCTGGTTGCGCTTGAGTTCGTTCTGACCCTCAGGGATGGATGCGGCCTAGAATACAGTCAGTAGATGTAGATATATCGAGAGAATGAAGTTAGAACTTACGGTCTCAATGACGTTGTGAACAAGTTTCTTAGCCTTGTTCACCTTTTCCTCAGTGTCGGCCATAATAAGGCAGTGAAGATCTTCTTCCTGGTTGCTAGCGTGAGCAGCATCAGATCGGCCCTTGCCTTCCTTCACAGAGCCTTTGCCTCGAATGGCAATCTTGGCTCCAGACTCGGTTTCCATCTTCTTGAGGGTGTTTCCACGAGGTCCTATGAGTAAGCCAACTTTAAAAAAGATAGCAAAGAGCTGAGTGTTAGTCATCCTGTGTTTGGGAAGCGTGTTCAAGCAATGTGCAACATCAAGCACCAAGGGTTAGCAAGAAACGGGCCGACGAGGTCCAAGGGAATTAGCTCGTCAGCTCGAGTCGAGCAAATAGTCATGGCAGACATAATGAGGGGACGGTTAGGAGTTAGAGGGTTAGTTATCATACTGAAGTTAATCTCTGGATAGTCATTCACAGGGACATAGACCTTCTCTTGGGTCTTGGTCGGGCGTCTGTAGTCAGAGGGCGGGTGGTAGTTAGGGATGGTCTTCATGGCCTTCTCGATCAGCTTGTGACGCTCATCCTCGAGTCGCTTGCGATAGCGGTACTCGCGAGTGTTAACACGTCTACCGAAGTTGTCATACTGCGGCGGTGGCGAGGGAGACCTATTCAAATGTTAGAGGGTTTCAGCAAACAACACTAATCGGGATTGTACATACCGATCACCATCAGCAGGGACGACATCGTTGATCCGCAGCTTCTGGCTGATCTCCTCGATGCGCAGATGCAGAGTGTACGCCTCAAGCTGCTCACTAGTGAAGTTGGCCATGATCATGGTGGGTAAGCCCATCAGACCGGCCGCCTTGTTTTCTTGCTGGTCGCCCCAGCGGTTGCGCTTCTTGCGCCGCTTGACGCCATCGGCTGGAGCCTCGGGTGCTATTCGAGAGATGTGATTAGATTCAGCACAAAAAAGAATGTTTCAGGGAGCTTACCTCGAACGGGACTGCGGCCACGCTTCGGTCCATCAGGCAAAGACGAAGGAGAAGCGGTGCGACTCTCATCTTCCTCATCACCCGCGAAGCGACGCCGCCCCAGGGGAATATTGTTGGAACCTGTGATTCCTTGGTTGCGCCACGCCATCGCTTCTGCTTGAAGTAAAAGGTTGGCAGGTTAGTTGATACGACAGATCTGGAGATGAAAGAAAGCTGAGTCCCGCGAAAAGTGGCAATTTATACACGTGATTTTCCAAAGGCGGTGAAGATTATGGCCACCAGAGAGCTCTCAATACAAATCAAACATCTATGACAGCTTCGAAGATAACATTTCATTATGTACTAATTCTGAATCAAATTGACGGCTACTTAGTTTATTTGAGGCGCTGTTCTCTCAGACTCAATTTAGATCTTGTTCTTTGCATCATCCTTCATGCCTGCCTGGACCCAAGCCCGAGTCTGCGCAGCATGCTTCTCCACAGCCTCCTTGTCCTTCATCAGGTCCTTGATGGTGTGCGGGCTAGGGACATGACGACCCTTCTCGAGGGCCGGCCGCGCTAACATACGCTCTTCCCACGCCTTCAAATGCGGGAACTCATCGATGTCAATACCGGCCCATCCGGCAGCGGCCACCCAACCCCAGTGCGAAATATCGGCAATGGTAACGTGGTCGCCCACGAGATATCCAGACTTGGACTTTGCGAGATGCTTGTCAAGGACACCGTACAACCGACGGGTTTCATTACTGTAGCGGTTCACACCGTACTCAATGCGCTCGGGCGCGTATCGCACGAAGTGATTAGCTTGTCCCTGCATGGGACCCACGCCCGCATTCTGGAAGAAGAGCCAGTTGTTGGTCTCGTAGTATTCGCGGGTGCCTTTGGGGTAGGAGATCTTGTACTCCGTGTCATACTGCTCGGCCAAGTACTGCAGGATGCCGCCGGACTCGAACAGACGGATGGTCTGACCGTCGCTGAAGGTGTCGGTCAATGCGGGGATGCGACCGTTGGGGTTGATCTCGAGGAACCAGCTGAGTAATCGGTCAGTCTGCGGTCCATCATTGTAGGTGCTGACAGCTGTGGGGATTATTGTAGACTATAAGCACATACTCTTCCTTTTGGGTATTCTTGGAGATCTCAATCTTCTCGACCTTGTAGGGCAGGCTGTCATCTTGTCAATACACATAACTTGGGTCATTATGGACGAATCGCGTACCCTAGCTCCTCCAGAGCGATTGAGATCTTGATCCCATTGGGAGTCTGGGCGGTATAAAGGGTAATGTTCGGTCGGCTCATGCTGGGCGATAACTGTGATTGAGATGGAATGAAATAAATGAAAACCAAGTCGTCTCGGAGGGTTTAAATGGGGTGGTTGAATCATGACGAGGCTCGAGGTCGTCTTGACTTCGGCCCCCCCCCCCCACTTCGATTTCTAATCCCGTCGAACCTTCCAAGCTTGCGCCTTTTTTTTGCATTATTCATCCGGTATGTTATGTCTCCGCGTTTGTCATAGGGTGTAGTGTCACGATCGTACCAAAGAAAGGTATCAACGGAACGGCGCGTGTTCGTAATCATTATCCAAACCGGCGTCACTTGTCTAGGGATACGAGGCAATCCGTAGCCACTCGGGGACGCTCTGAAAGGCCGGATGGAGCCTTCACCGGTAACAGTCACCTCAAACCTCAAAAGTCTTGTTATTATGCCCACCAAAGTGCGAGGGTAGTCAATTAAATGTTAGCGAATTATGGTCAGCCGTTGTGCATTCAGAAAAGTATTCGCTCTGGTCAGATTAATTTCGGCAGGTCGCTATCGCCTCTTGGCATCGGATCATGTTTGGGTCTTCATGGGAAGTACTCTGTACATGCTTAGCCTTTCGGGCGCCCGTCGGAAGCCTTGTACGAGAATCTAAAGATGAGTAACACAATGCGCCACAAATAACTAGTTAATCTATCCATTCATTGTCATACCACTATCAATCATTACAATCACTATTCCTACTAGATCATGCCATACCTCCATTCACAGCCACAACCTGGCCAGACATCCAACTGCTGTCCTTGCCCGACAAGAACGCCATGACTGATGCAATTTCATCAGGCTCTCCGATGCGGTTGAAGGGACTGAACCCAGCGATGGCCTTGAGCATTGCCTCTGGCTTGCCCTCGAGGAAGAGCTCGGTCGAGGTTGGCCCGGGGAGCGACCGCATTCACCAGAATGCCCTTGGGCGCCAAATTCTTGGCCAGGATGCGGGTCATCTGCTCGATGGAGCCCTTGGAAGAGGTGTAAAGCAGGTAGGCGGGGGAGACGCTTGAGAATCGAGCAGTGGAGGTCGAGACAAAGATGATTCGTCCGCCGACAGGCATATGCGGCACGGCTTTCTGTGCGAGTTATTAGCCTGGGTCGAGATCGAAGGATGGGGGGGGGAGGGTATGTAGGTAAGATTGGAGGGGCATGCATGTAAGATTGTAGGGGGATTGATAAGTACGTACCTGAGCCAGGAAGTATGGTCCCTTCACCAGCAAGTTGTAGGTTCGGTCAAAGTCCTCCTCGGTGGTGGTTTCCAAAGTTTTCAGTGGGAGGTATCCGGCGTTTGGAATAAGCACATCGATCTTGCCAAATTTTCCGACCGCAGCATCGACAAGGCGATCAAGGTCGGCCAGCTTTGAAGCATCGGCTTGGACAGCCAGGGCGCGGTCGGCGCCAATCTCGTTGACGAGGTCATTGGCTACAGCGGAGTCGCGAAGGTAGTTGATCACAACGTTGGCACCCTCGCTGGCGACTCGAAGAGCGGTGGCTTTGCCGATTCCCTTGGAGGAGCCGGTGATGAGGAAAACTTTTCCAGCGAGAGACGACATTGTAGTGTAGAGTTGTTGCTGTAAAATCTTTTAGGATTGGAAGATTCTGTTGGTTCTGATTGAGGTGATTGAGATGGAATTGATTGAGATGGAATTGATTGAGATGAGATTGAATAAGACGAGATTGATGGCTCTTCAACTGCCTTTAAATCCTTCGAGAGCCTGACGCAACATGGCAGATAGAGTCGGAATTAACCATTCAAACGGGTAAGCATGAAGCGATTCATTGATGGAATTATCACCGTGGAAAGCACAGTAAGCCGGCATGGCTTCTGGGACGATTCCAAATTCACGACGTCATCGGTAAGCTATGGTCTGGGCTTAATTGCGGAGTAAACGGCCTTCTTAGGACATTTGCGAACTCCGGGGCTTGAGCCGAAAGCTTGATCGATCAGCGGCCCGAGGGCGGATTTAACTCTACAAAGTCCGGCATTACGGATCGTGCATGGGGAAACCACAGTCCGAGTTTCCATCCGACATAGAACCTAAGGATGGACTTTAGTAGATCTGCTGAGAATAATGTCCATGTTGATTACCCATCTCTTTTTATGAGTATCCCAGCATTAGTAGAAGAAAGAGCCGTCAAACAACGTTGTGAGTCTAGATGATGGGTGGGCTGATGTGGGTCTCCTCCATCGTACCCCGGATCTGGCTGTGTCGCACAACAATCAGGGGAATCAACAACGAGCCCTCGGCAAGCCGACAGTATTAAGCCAATGAAAATTACTGGACCCTTTAGGCGGATCAGCTTTGTACGTCAACCCCCTGGAGAGGCTGGGATATAGTTACACGTGGCGTCCTCTCGCGTGGCCAGACCAAAGGCCGGAAGGTATATGCGTTAAGAAGAGAAAGCCGCAGAGGAATCTCTATCTACCGCAAAGAATACGCCAAGGCATGATAAGCCCACATGGGCCCAAATGCGCCTATGCCGTCCTTGCTCTCCATGGTCCGAACTAGAGTCTTAGACTGGCCTACCGCCCTTCTTTAGCCTTCGAACCTCTTTGCTATACCACACAGCTTCCTTTTCTCCTTGACTTTCTTCCCGCTACTTCCAGGTCCAATCTCAGTTCATTCACTTACTTTGGCGGCACATGAACTATGCCCTAAATCAACTATTCTTTCGCCGGGGAGCATGACCCTAATGGGAGACAATTTACGCAGTTTGAAGTCTATGAGAGAGCCCCAGAAGAAAGGATTCTCTCGATTCTTTCTTTCATGAAGGATCTCGCGTTCTTGTCCTCCCTCTAACTCGGCCTTCTGCCGAAATCCAGAGATGTCGAGCTTCGAATAAAGCCGAAGCTTCTCTTTACTTCCCGTTCTCTGCAATCCTTGGCCTTCTTCATTATGACGGAGCCCTGTTCCTGTGATGGCAATATACATTTAAGAAAGCTTGGCTTTTACTGGATGCTGAATGATCTTTCGGGGGAGGGGGATATTGTTGGTATTCTCCAGGGCTGATTTTTCAAATAAGCTCCTTTCTTGGTTCGACGTGGCCCGGATATATATCTCCGGACTTCGATTACGAATCCGCAGCATCCACAGATCATCTAGTTACTGAGGTCGCACCTATCCTATATTCTTCGAGGGTCATTCTTCTTTTGATCCCGATCGCAATATTGCCCTCCTAGATCAAAGTCAGATCGCAGAGCCTGTTACTGTGACTGGCGCTTCGCTGATGATCGCTGACGGTGAAACCTGCCTCCCGCTCCCAGTAAGATGATTTGGAAGCCTAAGATCGTATTCAGCCGCTGAGATCTAACATTCAATCTGCAAAGTGGTCAAGGCAATTAACCTTACTGACAACCTTACCACTCGTTCACACAACCTCGGGAGAGGCGTAGTCCTGCGGGAGGTGTTGTTGACCTTGCGATGGTTTGTTCGGTCATACTACAGTATGAATCTTCGAGGGCGATACAACCAATGGGAGCGGTCAATGCTTGGATGATGTCAAAATTTCTATCAAATCATGTGCTTCGACCAAGGAAGATCCAATCAAAGGGGAGGCAGTGCCGGGGGACCCCCGCTTGAGGGACCTCTCAGCCACTCTGCAGCGGAGATGGAACGCACGATGGAACGAAGAATGAGTCAACAGACGCTGAACCAGGGCGAGGCCGTCAGAGCCAGTGCGAGCCAATGAAACTCAGCGAAAACACGCGCCGGCAGGCAGTGTCGGGGACCCCAAGCAGTTTAGCGGAAGTCGGGGACCCCAAAGAGGAATGGGCTGCGCTGCTGCTCAGTTGCTCCGCCGAGTCGAGTGGGGCCTCATTTTGCGACCTTCCGCGACTTTGCGACCCTCAGAAGTTGGGGCCTGCTCCGCCTTCAGTCCCTATACAACACCGTCTTTCCCCCTCTGCCTCAGTCTTCAGGTTCTCTCTTTCTTTTTCCCCTGGACCCCCCTCGGCCTCATCACTACGGGATTGTTGGCCCCGAGCCCCCCTACTACCCTCTACACCTACCTCGATATCCCGAATACTCTTCACATCCTAATTCTTACCTCTCTCTTTTCTACAATATTCCTTATCTACTACCCCCCGCCCTCTAAACCGAAAAAAAAAAGATCATCCGATACGCCAACTAATACTCGACACAATGGCGTCTACCTCTGATCAGTTCTTCTATCTCGATAGCCCAACTCAATTCGAGGAGTGGGTCGACTTTGACCAATTCTTGGATCTGCCCTCCGCCTATGGCGACGAATATTCCGCCTCGGCCTCGACCAATTCGGTCTCGCCAGACATGGCCTTGCCCTACGATGCTGAGATGCTGGGCACTGACCTGCTGGACTTCAGCCAATCCACCTTCCCGGACATGATCGACTACGACGCTTCGCAGGAGAGCTTCTTCGCGGATCTATCGCCAGAGATGGGCATGATCCCCGACCAGGCTGCTGCGTTGGATGACAGCACCCTCTACAGCTACCCGCAATACGACGCTTCTTTCGACTTCCGTCAAATGGTCGAAGCGCAGGCCGCTGCCGACCCTCGCATTGCGTCTATCAAGGAGAAGCGCCGTGAAGCTGCCATTGCGTTGCATCTGCAGCGGCTGTGCGAGGCCACTGCCCTTGACCTTGATATGTCTTCCGACTCCAACACCACTTTCTCCTCACCAGCCTGGTCAGACTATGTTCGCGGAAGTAACTCTCCGCAATCCGCTAGTGCCAGTGCTAGCCCGAAATCTCCCTCCGCCCCTGCCCCTGCCACTGGAGGAGTCGAAATGGTCCTTGACCTGAACATGAACGCTGCTGCGAATCTGCCGAAGAAGCAGAAGCCCCGTTCTCAGGCACAGAAGGAGAACTATATCAAGGCTCGGAAATATGGAGCCTGCGAGAAGCACAAGAAGCAGCACAAGCGAGTAAGTCCCCCGCCTTGAATATCTATTTCTCGGTGGATGCTAACCGTGGATTAGTGCAACTGCCTGGAGAAGGCCGCCGCCCGCATGGGTGTTTCCGATGTTCCAATGAATGTGGCTTACAAGGAACGGCCACAACAATTGGTACATTCGTCACCAGTCCTTCCAGATTCACGCGTCTCCAGTGTACCAGGTCACGACAGACAATCCGTCTCACCTAGACTCCGTCCACTGCCCAATGTCTCAATCGGCGAGGCCCTGAAGAGGGCCGTCAACAACTCTCCAGGACACGATATATCGACCAACTCGAGTGGCGTACTCCCGTCCGTGAGGACAACGGTGAAGCGCACCAGTCGTGTCCCCGAACACAACCCACAACTCAACGTATCCGCCTTCTCGGATCCAGCCAAGCAGGCTGGCAAGCTTGCTGCTGTTCAATCCCGCCAAGCAGTCAATGTCAAGCGGAACAGCAGCGGCATCCGCGGACACGATCCTCAATACAGCGCTTCCGTCTTCTTGACCCCTGCCAAGGAAGCCAGCAAGAATGTTGTTTCATCGGGACAGAATGTCTCGCACCCACCCGCGAGCGTCACTCAACTCATACAAGCAACACACAGCCGTGGCGTCCCGCAGTCAAATCTGCGCGGCACTGCTGCTGCCCTGTCTGCCGTCAAGACGGCCTTGACGGCCGACAGGGCTGCTGGATCTCTTGGACAGGATGCCCTCCGCCAATCCTCGAACGTCCCTCAATCCGTCAAAGCCACAAACCGGCGGGCCATTGGCCAGACGAATCTCCGCTGGCGCGTTGTCGGATTCTCCGCGACAACCGATACTGGTGTCACCAGGGTTGTCCAGGAGAACAACAACAACAACAACACCACCACCAGACAGACCACGCCAACTTCGAGAATCTCGAAGGCAAGCATCACGCGCGCTCCAAACTTGGATGTCCGGCGTCCCCGAGAGACGCTGTCTTCTCTTCGTGTAGACAGCCCTGCACCGTCAACAACGCCAGCCTCTTCCCAAGCCCAATCCTCCACTCTGGCCACCAATGGCCGCAAATATGGAAATTTGGGTGTACTGGCAACCAGCCACACGCCGCGATTCATGGCCGGCTTCCAGAAGCCACTGGACATTCTCTCCACTCGTGCGCACGCACAAGCGGAAGCGTCCTCCCAAGATCGTCGCTCCGAATCACTGGCCCAAACCTCTCGCTGTCCGAGCCCTCAGGCCGGACAGCACAGCCTTGTGGCTCGGTCAATTTCTACCCAATTGGGTGGCCTCTTCTCAAGCACTATGTCGGCCATTGCTGGCCTTGGACTTTCCTCGTCCTCGGCTGTCTCCTGGTCTGAGCAATCAATTGGCAAGTGCATGTCCATTTTGGGTAGCCAGCTGATGTCTGCGAGAAGATTCTTGCAATCGTCTCTCATCTAAAATCGATGAGGCTCATCTGCATGATTGAGAGACTCGAGCGGGTCATCAGTGCAATTGGATTTCGGATTTCGGATGTCGAGGACAGCGGCTCATGGCTGCTGTTTTTCATGCACGTTGATTTGTTGGAGCTCTCATGACGTCTGTTTGTATTTTTTCTGCACGGACTACCCTTATGTCTTGGATTTGGCGATATGTCTTTGATTGGAGTTGTGTGTGTTTTCGATGCTTGGGCATCTGGCTAGTTGCTACTTGGAAAGCGATTTGGACTCGGTTCTATACAGACAACCGACTAGAGGAACGGGTGATCCACCCAATACAGTACAAAAAAGTTATGATCATGATACACATTCGGATTTACCCTGTCAATCGTAGAATACAGATAGTATATACAGTAGAAGCTTGGCGGAAAGCCATCCATGTGCAAGGCTTCTGTACAAATTCTCGTCCTGCGGCCCCCCCCACTGCCCCACCTTGGAAGTCAGACGCTGAAGCATCCACATAATCCTCCCTCTGTTCTGCAAAAAGCAAAGTGCCTCGCTGGAAGACAACAGCATTTGCAGAATGACACTCACGAAACTCTTGACGGAGCCAGCCTCCTTTAAGTTCAGCACAGTGCCGGGCTATTTCCTCCAAGATGAGCCAACCACCGACCCAAACAGCTTCGACTATGTGAGCCCCTACGCCTCCCGATATCATATCGTTGATACCCGCCAGACACAAAGCACTAATGAGACACCCCAGTCATCCACCAATTTCGGATTGATCTCCCGAAAATATGATAGCGAGACTGTCATGTCCCAAAATGGAACCCAATGGCAGCGCTTTGCCCAACACATTACACATCTCAATGAGACCGCCGGTCCGCAGTTCAAGTATAAAGTCCTTTTCCTCGGACGACACGGCGAAGGTGTGCACAATGTTGCCGAGCGGAGATACGGGACTAAAGCTTGGGATGTATGTTTGTCAATGTCATAAACTTCTAGATCTCCAGCAAAATCAGAGCTGATATCTTTGGTCTAGGAGTACTGGTCTCTCCTGGATGGAGATGAATATGGTACTTGGCTAGATGCCCACCTCACCAAGGTAGGCATTGCCCAGGCTCAGACTGCACATGACACATGGGCTCGGCAATTGGAGTTTGGCATCCCCACGCCGCAGTCCTACTATGTCAGCCCTTTACATCGATGCTGTCAGACGGCACAGGTGACGTTTGAAGGGTTGGATATGCCCTTGACTAATCCTTTCCAACCGCTTGTGAAGGAGGTAAGATGGGACTCGAGACTTGGAATGATTACAGATGCAGTATCTGTGTTGACTTTATATCATGTAGTTGCTGCGTGAAACCATGGGCGAGCACACCTGTGACCGCCGTTCAACAAAATCGGCTATTGCGACTGATTTCCCACGGTTCCGGTTCGAGCCGCGTTTTACGGAGGAAGATGAGCTTTGGGACCCAAAGGTTCGCGAGACGGATGAACATCGGGACCGGCGATTGCTAGCCTTGTTGAATGATGTCTTCGCTGCTGATGAGAATGTCTTTCTTTCTTTGACTGCGCATTCGGGGGCTATTACGAGTATCTTGGAGGTTGTTGGTCACCGTAAGTTTCCGCTCGCGACTGGGGCGGTTATTCCGGTGGTTGTGAAGGCACAGAACCGTGCGTGATTCTAGTTAGAAGTGGGATTGTGGATGATGAGGATATCCTTGAGATGTGTGATTGAATATTGTGAATATTGTACATGGGCTGATTCGCCCTACTTTCTACTACAATGCAAAATTCTCCTCACCCAAACCCGGCCGATGGCAGCACAGAAACAAAAGAGACTGGGGTTTTATCCACCAATAACAGTGTGGATGACCAGAAGGGAAATAATACAACGCAACGCCAAAATGGGAAAATCAACTCAGGGGAAAAAACTTGCACAATTACCAGCTGTAGTACTGGTTCTGTGCAGAGACCTTGCGGTCAGGCAGCTGGGTCCAAAGCTGAGCCTTGCGCTTGCGCAAAGCGTCAGCCTCACGCTGCTGCCATTCCCGGATGCGAGTCTTCTCCTCCTTCAATACGACCGAGAGACCAGTCGCCGGGGGCCGGAGCCGGTTGATCTGACCACGGGCACGGTGGTCCATACCGAAGCCATAGGGGCCACGGTTCACCCACGCCTGCTGAATATAGATCGATGTCGGCTCGGTGATCTTCTTGCGCTCGCCAGACTTTAACGTGACGGTGACGGGTTCCGCGGAGGTACCGGCAGGAGCACCCAGGCCCATGCCGGCACGGACCATGGCGACGTTCTTTGCGTGTTCCAAATGTCCCAGCACATCCTTGGCAGCCTTCTTCTTGCTGAAGCGCATCTGCAAGATGGCCTCGTCGATGGGCTTGCCTGCAATCTGCCGGGCCAGGGGGCCCAACTTCTTGAGGGAGGTCTTGAACCAGTGTGACTTGGACATGGACTCGCGCTCGGAACGCTTGATCTGAACCTCCTTTGAAATGCGGCCGCGCTTGCGGATCTCGCGGATCACCGTCCTCTTCTCCCACCGCAACTGGGCCTTTGGGTTCGGGTTCAAGGCGAGCTGCAGGCGGTCCTTGTTGCGCTTCTCCAGAGGCACAGCATCCTCACCCGCCGCGTCTTGTTGATCTTGAAGTTGCTTCTTCTGCTTGCTGGGCTTGGGACCGGATGCTCGGCCCACGTCCTCGGCGAAAATGGAGCTGGCACCGAGTCCACCTTCTTCGCGCTTCGGGGCGACTGGGGTGAAGGCAGCCTTGGGTTTGGATTCACCGAGAACCCAATCCTTCATGGACGAGAGGAATCCCGACTTTTTCTTGTTGGAATTGGCATTGTCGTTCTCTGCCCGGCAGGTGACTGTCGAGGTGAAGGTCCGTCGGGGAATGCACGAGACTTGGGCCCGGGCCGCTAATTGCACAGTTAGTAGAGTGTCGGCTGGATCGTGTGAAGTTTGAGACATAATTGGATACTGACCAGTCCGGACCAGCTGTCCATAGGGAGTCACAGCACCCATTGTGGCCATGGGGATGTGATGTTGCTCTCTTAATGTCGGGGAAGCCAGTGCGGAAAAAGGTCAAACTTGGCAGTTGCGCGGTTGGCCCAACTCGCTACCCGTAGCAGATGCCTCAGGCCACAAACAGCAATCCAGTCGCGACAAGTGATCGATCAGAAAGGATGCGCCTCCACGATGCTAGAGGAGATCGTAGTTTAAGACAAGGAACCAATAAAGCAGCCAATACTTCTGATGGGAAGCTGGACTTGCTGTCTCGCCCCATCCCTAATCATCCACTTGATCTTTCCCAACCTGCTGCTGGGCATTTCCCTCACACCGTCCATCTCCACAGTGAAGATCCACTAGCCCTCAATCTTCCCTCTTTCAGGGCCTTCAGTTACTCTCCTTCTTTCTATTACTCCCTCATCGTCACCTTTCCCTTCCTTCATCTCTCCCCCCACTCCAACATTCCCAGGCCTTTCGCCTGTGGTCTCCTACCTTTTCTCCTTCTCTTCCTCTCCGGCTGTGCTCCTCGCACCCTCCTCGGACTCTTCTCCCATCTGGTGATCGACTCACGCCCTAACAACCACTTCTCCCGCTCCTTCCTCCGTTCATCCTTTGTCGCCAACTTTTCGGATCTCTATCCCTCGATCTTTGCGGAAGCTTCAAGCGATCAAGTATACCATTCCTTGCGCAACCCGCATTGCGCCAACAAAGACGAGGATCACTCGTGATCCCGGCCACTTGCCCCACGAGCCGGGATTGGAACATCAAGTTGCGTTTGTCGGTGCCGGAATAGACATGTTGTTGAGACACCTCTTGGCTGTCTGATCTGGATCTCTGCTACCCTTAGCACTATCCGTGACCTCTGGTCCTGGACAATATTCTTTGAGTGTCGATCACTCTTCCTTTCCTTTCACTTGGACGTGTCGCAGGTTTCCCCCCTCCTCGAACTCGACCATCATGGACATCAGTTCATTGCTTTCCCCGGATTCGAATCCGAAGCCTGGGAACTCGACGCCCGTGCCCGATCCTACGTCGAACAACGCACCGACCCCGACTGCAGGACCATCCCCCCACAAGGCAGTTCAGCGGGCGCGTTCAGGTGCTGGTCGCAGAAACAGAACATCATCGCCTCTTACGCAGCAAGTCTACGCTCCTACGGGTCAGCCTGAATCCTCGCCCCCCGTTACTAGCCCCTCCGCTGGTCCCAATGTAAGCGCCACCAGGAATGGAACATCCCCTGTGACCGACCGGCCGCCATCGAGACAGCCCTCCACGGGAATGGATACATTGGCAGACTTGGCCTCAATGCAGCATCATCAACCACCACCCCAGCAGCAGCAACAACAACAACAACAACAACAGCAGCAGCAGCAGCATGGGCAGCATCCTCAACGTACGGCGCGCCAGAACGCTCCTAACATAATGAGGAACGCCGAGTTCCACCAAAGCCAGCTGTCGCCATCCACCATCCACCCTCACGTGAACCAAATCAACCACAACACCCCGACTCCCCGCACATCGTTTGACTTGGCCATGGCGGAAGGTCCACGGGAATCCGCGCAGAGGAACTACGTCCAAACATCGCTGGACCCCGAGGCACAGCTGTTGGCGACCGAGCTGTTCAATAAAATCCAAGAGAATCCCCACACCTACGAGGCGCATGTCCAATTTATCGGGTTGCTGCATGCGGGCTTTGTGAACCACGTCTATCCACCGAATAACCCTGATATTCACGGTGACCCCCGTCGGTATGATCTGCTCAAAGATTTGAGAACCGCGCGCGAGGAGATGGACAAGCTTTTTGCCATGGGAGAGGACCTTTGGGCTGAGTGGATTCAAGATGAGAGCATGCTTGCGCATACGGTGATGGAACGTACCTCTGTAATGGAGCTGTGCCAGCGATCAGTCGAGGAAGAATTCGGCTGCACTAAGCTCTGGCACATCTATGGCGAATGGGTGCTCTATCTGTACAACGCGACAGCTGGCGAACATGGAGCTGGCCAATGGACTGAAGAAGACCGGATGATTGGACGCGAAGTGTTCACTTGGCAGACGGTCCTGGACGTGTGGCAGCGAGCAGCGGAAGCGACGCAGTGGCGTATCAACAACAGCCACCTCGTTTGGGATCGATTCCTGGAGCTCTTGACTCAAGACCTAACCCGAAGCCCGTCTCAAGAAAAGATCAACCACCTCCGTGGCCTGTATGAGGTGCGGCTACAGACTCCCCATGCTACTTGGGACCAGACGTTCCAAAAATTCTCAGGGTTTGTCTCCACTTACTTTGAATCCAACTACGAGGATACCATGTCAGAGACGGTAGCCCAGGCGTCGGCTGCAAAGAACTTCTACGCCGCGCGAGAAGAGTTCGAGCACCGACTGAGCAAGGCTCAGGACTCTGGTGACAAGTCTGCTGAGTGGAACTTGTACAGGGAGTACATTGACTGGGAACTCAGTCGTAACCGCCGGCGACGGGAATTTCATTTCGAGCTCGTTAATGCCGTTTACCAACGCGCTGTGCTGCGCTTCCCTACGGACGTCTCTTTGTGGGAGGACTATGTCATGTTCCTTATCGGCGAATCTATCCATGGTCATGCTTCTACGACAACAATTGCAACTCTCGATCGTGCAACTCGCCACTGCCCTTGGTCTGGTAACCTCTGGTCCCAGTACCTGCTGAGTTCTGAGCGAGAAGGCCAGTCTTTCTCCAAGATCTCTGGTATCAAGCACAGAGCTACTAGTACTGGCCTGCTGGATGCTGGAGGCATGGAAGAGGTGCTGAAAGTCCACATAACCTGGTGCAGCTATCTCCGTCGACGTGCCTTCCTTTCTGACGCAACCGACGAGGACTTGGATGTTGCAGAGGTTGGCATTCGGTCGGCAATTGAGAGCGTGCAAGAGTTGGGCGAGAAAAAGTATGGTCGGTCATACCAGGGAGATCCTCATTTCCGCCTGGAGCGTATCTACATCCGCTACCTGAGTGAAAGTGGCAGTTGGGATAGTGCACGGGAGACTTTCAAGGGCCTCGTTCCTCGTCGTGGTGATAGCTACGAGTTCTGGCTCACCTACTACAACTGGGAACTTGTTTGCTGGAGCAAGTTCGTGCAGGGTGAGGCCACCGTCGACGCCGCCCGGCGCACTCCCAATCCCAGCTTTGCAACGGCTGTCCTCAAACAGGGCATCAAACGGCAAGACCTTGACTGGCCCGAGAAGCTCGTGCAGACCTATATCGCTCACTGTGAGGATTATGAGGATGCGGATGAATTGCAGCTTGCCGTGATCGAGAGCCGTAAAGCCATGCGAGCTGTTACAGCTCGGAGAGAGCGCGAGGCGCGCGAAGCTGCGGCCGCACAACAGCAGCAACAGGAGCAGCAGCAACAGCAGTGGGAAGCCGCTGCCGAAGCAGCTTCTACCTCGGAGAAGCGAAAGCGCGAAGACGAAAAAGATGCGAATGGTCAACCCATTAGCAAAAAAGTGCGTGCTGAAGAGGTGGCCCTAGAACAAGGAGCTGCCGAGACCCAACCTCCCGCCCGCGACCGCGAACATGCAACTGTCGTGGTCAAGAACCTGCCTCGCGAGACCACCGAGCATAGTGTCCGGCAGTTCTTCCGCCACATCGGTACGATTAACGGTGTCAAGTTGATTCCTGGGCAGGATGGAAACTCTGAAGTTGCAATCATTGAGTTCGAGACCAAGGATGAAGCCCTGGCAGCCCTGACCCGTGATCAGAAGGTCTTCAACGAGAACACCATTGAAGTGACGCTGGAGACCGAGTCCACCCTGTGGGTCACGAATTTCCCTCCGACCGCAGACGAGGAGTACATTCGCAATCTTCTCACCAAGTATGGCCACATTGTTGATATTCGCTTCCCTTCGCTCAAGTTCCAAACCAGCCGTCGGTTCTGCTACGTGCAGTTTGCTACTGCTACTGCAGCACACCAAGCCACGGAGCTGAATGGAACCGAGGTAGAGAAAGGCTACAAGCTCATTGTGAAGATTTCCGACCCCTCTCAGAAGGAGAAGCGTAGCGGAGCAATGCAGGAAGGTCGTGAGGTTTTCTGCAAAAGCTTTGACTGGAAGCTCAAGGAGAGCGATGCCCGAGATGCATTCTCCAAGTTCGGCACAATCGAAAACCTTCACCTCCCACTCAACGCTGACGGCTCCCATCGAGGGTACTTTTTTGTGGCTTATTCTTCCAAGGTACGTGAATCTTTTGCTTTTGTTTTGTATCTCAGAATTGTTCGTTCTAACGATTCTACAGGAAGAAGCAGAGGCCGCCCTCGCTATGGACAAGCAAACCCTCGGAAGACGTCAATTAGCCGTGAGCTTGAGCGGGAATTCCGGCGCCAAACGTATGACCAGTACCATCATCTCGCAGGTTGCCTCGTCGGCATCACCGCCTGCCGAGGCCAATGGTAACCACCTCAGTGTGGTCGAAACCATCGGTGGCCGGTCTGAACGCACCCTTGCCCTGATGAACGTGCCCGATACCGTCAACGATGCTCGTGTCCGCGCCCTGGTCGAACCGTTTGGGCGACTGGTCAAGATTGTCCTGCGACCGGACCACCAGGGTGCCATTGTTGAGTACGTTGACGTTCATGATGCTGGCAAGGCTTCCTTGGCACTCGAGGGCAAGGAGATTGTCCCCGGACGCCCACTCCACATCGGGAGCGTGGATGAGATGAAGAAGCTGCAGGCGGAGAAGAAGACGGATCGCATCACCTCGGTCAAGCAGGAGAAGCCGAAATCCTCGCTCCAACCTGTGGGTCCCATCAAACGCCCTCAGCAGCCTGGTGGCCGAGGTGGCCGCCGAGGAGGCCTTGGTTTGAAGCGAGCCCCTGCCGCATCTCAAAACTCCACTGCCTCTTCCGGTGCGGCTTCTGAAAAGGACAAGATGGACACCACTGCTGACGGCAAGGCCGGTGAGAGTGCCCTGTCCAAAAAGAGCAATGATGATTTCCGTGCGATGCTGGGACAGAAGCGCACGGAGTAAAGTGGCATGGCTATGACAAAACGGCAAATAGCAATGGCAATGGTGATGACAATACTCGGCGCAACATTCGTTCTGGCATGAATCTGGTTGGCGTTTGATCTTTTGGTGGCCATTTATCCGATGCTACCTCGAGCATGAGAGCCTGCCTGTACATGTGTACATCACTCGGGCCAGCCTTTTCGTGCCATGGCTTGATCATTTTTGCTCGTTTCCTATTTCCTTTTCTTCCCCCCCTTTTTTTATTATGTTTGCTGGGCATGCGTGTCCTGCCTGTATATTATGCCTCATGTATCTTGCTGGTTCGTAACTTCTTGCCTAGTTTTTAATGATGACGGCTCTTCTCTACGATGGCTCTCTGGCGGATCTGCTAGATCTGCTAGGAGTGTGATCTTGCAATTTTATGTGTTTATGGCCTGGCCTTGTATTGTGTAACTTCCGCGACTGAGAGGCCGCCCTTTGAAGATGGAACCATGGGCGACTGGTCCTTCTGATGATTTAGTCGGAGGAGTACTTGAATCCTCAGAAATTGTCCATTCCTGAAGAATGCAGACTTGAACGAGTGTAGATCCCAGCCTATCAAAGGGGAGTAGTGGTTACGATCATCCAATTTGATATTCTCGTGTAGACCGCTTTTACCGCCACTACTCTTCGTGAGGACTGATCGCCTCCTGCAGGTGCTTGGACAGTCTCTGCCTTGATTTGCGGGATAAGAGCAGCTGCCCATGAGAGTACTGTGGGATTCCAATTTTGCAAGGAATACAATGTACATACAGTACACAGTCGTTCAAACTGGGAAAACCAGGCGGGACAAGGGTGGAGCGGTAGAGAAAGAAGGAAGAGGAGGGATTCTGGGATTCTGGATTCCTGGCCATTGTAACCGTCCAGCAGGCGGCAGGTAACTAGGAGAAGAACCAAGTGCATCACCAGACCTGCGCCTCGAGAATCCTCGTTCTACCTTCCTGTCTTCCTTATTATTCAGGTCTTCGACCTCGATGACTTCTATCACTCTCTTTAATTTAGTTTGATATCCTCATCTTATCCACAGTTGCTGCCTACAACTGCAGGTGTCTTCCAGCCTCATCGGACCGCCCAGTCGCACGGGCCAAATCTCGTCCTGAACGCCTACGCCATCAGCCATCGCTACATTCTCTCCCCTCCCCCCTTCTCCTCCTCGTTCCTCGTCCCCCCTCCTCTGCCCGCCATGGATTTCCGCCTGGTGCCGAGGGGCACTGACTGGAACTATACGGGGTTTCTGACCAAGACAATCGTCTACTCAGGCACACTGGTGCTGTTCCTAGCTTGTGAGTTTTAGAGTCGAAGCTCTCCCCGCGCCACCGAGGATCCACACGTCTCCCTATCCACACCACTGCACACATCGATAACGGGTTCGAGAGTTTCCGAGTTCAAGCTAACAAGTATATCTACTACAGCATTTGCGTTAACCCTCTGCTCCATCGTCATCCCAAAATGGGTCAGCTATCATAGCGAAAAGGTACGATGCCTTCCCATGATCCGGATCCGTATGCGACCGCCACCACACCTCAACTAACCACCGCGATTTCTCGCCTCTGTGTTAGCCCGCCCACCACTACTCCTACGGTCTACACCAACGCTGCTCCTCACTCACCGATACCTGCGAGAGTTTCCCGCAGAGCGACGACTGCCATGGCGACGACCGGTATTTCTGCTCGATGTGGCGATCTGTCGGGTTCTTGATGTCCTTTACCGTGGTGTTGGAAGGCATGAGCATTGTCACATACCTGATTATCCTTGGCGGTGGGAAGCGGTTACGCGAGAATGGGTGGCGGGTCCTCAGTTTGCTGATTATCTTGTCTGCTATCGTGCAGGCTGCGGGCACGTCGATTGTGGTAAGTTCCCCTCTAACGCTGAAGGAGAACGGCTCAAAGGAGGGTCCTGTTATTCGTATACTAAAGTGTGGGTCGTTTCTTTTTCTTGGCAGGCGTATCTGTTCGACAATGAAGACCGATTCTTCGTTGGCTGGCGTCTGGACCAGTCTTGGATCTTTTGCACTGTCAGCTGGTGCATTAGTCTGATCTGCGCGGGCGCGATCGTCATCGCTGCCCAGATCTTGCCGTCCGAGGGAGGCTATGAGCTTATCCCGGATCATGATACGCTGAGAGCGACCTCTTGAAGAGGAAGTGTCCCTGCGTGGTTGATATATGGTGGCTGTCTCATCATCTTATGCGTAATCTCGAGTCGTACGAGAAACGAACTATTCCTGCGGAAACGAATCGACTGGCCAACAGACTGGATTGTTCAACTCGACACGATACTAATATTTCTTTTCGATTTCATGGCGTGCTTTTGGCGGTGTCTTCTTCTCTTTTCATTTTGTCTCTGCGATAATATGTTCTTCCTTCCTGGCGTTGGGAGGTAAATATCTTTTTTATCTTTCGTGTCTTGGTGGTAGTTTACGACTAATATGGATGATTATGCCCTTGATATCTTTCTGGTTGACAATTCCTAATACAGGAGTTCTGAACATAAGTCGGCAGGAGAAAAATCTTAGTATCAATCAAATCTTTGTGGTACGGGACCTTGAAAAAGACAAAAATCAGACCGAAGACATCATCAACGCAGTCTAAAGACGAGCAAGCACAATCAAAAATGAAAACAGGGAGCTATACCAGCCGGCGCACCACATAAAAATGCTTCATAGCGATTCATTCCATACAAAATATACATGACGGGGAAAAAATCTTTCTTATCAGACTCAAAACCACCTACCAAACAATTTCCTTCCCATTCAACCCCTCCACAGCCGGAATCTGAGCCCGCAACGCATGGCCATAATCACCCGCATTCGGAGTCCGCAACAAAGTATGAATATGGAACTTCTTCGGCTCCTCATTATTCAAAAACACACCCGAATGATGATCAAACTCGACCAGAATCACAGGACTCTGAATCCGATAGTAAAACGCATCCTCGTCGCCATACCCACCAATCCAGCAGAAGTACGTCTCGGCCTCGAACCGGCGCACCTGCTCGATCTTCAGCGCCCGCGCCTTCGCCGGCAGGTACAGCAGATACTGCTCCAGTATCCCGTACATGAGCTCCTTTTGCTCGGCGCTGAATGTCGAGGCTAGGATGCCCTCGTACGGCACTTCGCGGTTATCGCGGTATGCGCCGCACACGTGGCGCTGGTCATCCTTGTTCCAGCGACCGGGTGGCATGGCGGGGTCTTTCATCTGGGTGAAGACGCGGGCGCGGGATTGTAACTCGGCAGAGAGGGATTGCATCAATTGCAGACCTAGTTTCTCCTCGACTTGCATAATGCGGGTACCGGCGTAAGGACCGGCGTCGATCTCGTTCGGCTCTGCGCCCGTGAACCACGGCGAGGCGATGATCTGGCCCTTGTACAGGAAGATGTTTATGCAGAGGTGGTGGCCGTAGAAGGACCAACCCCAGGGCCGAGTGGTGGAGGGACGGCCGAAGAGGGCGAAGTTGTAGGAGAATTCGTTCATGACGCGTGGGGATTTTACGAGATCGCCGAGGAAGTGGTTGATGCGCATCGCGCTGACGGCTTTGTCGTAGCCTTCGGGGGAGAGGGTGGTTCTGAGGATGTTCATGACTGCGTCGCGGATGGCTGGGGTCACCTCGTCGAGGCGGACGCCCTTGTGGGAGAGGATGAACTCTGGGTTCGACCATGTACGCCATTGGGGGGAGTCGATGTGGTAGCAGACAGCTTCCTTTTGCTTGTCGTCGAGGAGAGAGAGGAAGGATTGTGTAGCGTCGACGATCTGTTGGATTGGGACATCCTCATCTTGGAGGGTGAACAGATCGGGACGGACATTGCCTGGAGGGAAAATAGTTAGCATCACTTGTCTAGTTATCGTCTTCCACAGTTGCTGCTAAGCTACCGAACAAGCTACCTGGTAGCTTCGCTCGCTCTGCGCTTGCAATTGAGTTCCTTACCGTCGGTGGTGACTCCCTTGAAGGGCTCCTGCAACAAATCCAACCAATGCATGTACAGCGCATGCAGCCAGGGGGGCTGCTTCCCCGTCTTAAAAGCGTGGGCATACTCGTGCGCATCCTGCGTACACATCACCTGGAAACGTGGGATATTCAAATCGGGCAGATACTGGCGGTACTCGCCCGTAGGCTTTTCCAGCTGTGCATCAGTTGTAGTCACCATCTTGCGCATAGAATTGTCAATGTCGAATTTTGAAGAGCAAGGAGAACGAAGAAACGAAAGGAACTAGACTGGGGAGAGGGGCAGCAGTGCACGACCAGAGAGTATTATAGTCCGCTGCCGGACCACAAACCCCACAGATTTCGGGCTGAGGCGGCGTCCCCACGAACGTGGGGATTTGTGGGTGATTTCTTATCCGATCGTTGAAGAAGAGGGACTCCACACGACCGTTGGGAGACATGGAAATCGGGCGATTAGTCACTGGGTTAACTAACTTAGTTAACTAGGTGACAAAGCAGATTTAGGATCTTTGGACCAATCCGGATGCTTCGGATAGACATTTACGAGTGAAGGTCGTCTTTTACTGCGTACAGATTAAGGAAGGCAGAGGGTGGTCAGGCCGTCCGTTGGTTGGGGGTTATGATTGTGGGAGGCTCAGAGACTGGGTTCCGCGGGGGTCGAAGAAGATGAAAAGATCGAATTTCATGAAGAAGCAGTAGTCTACGCGTGAACTCATTTCTCAATTAATTTTGGGGTTCTAAATCAGGTGATTCTCATACCCTTAGGCCCAGGATGTCTGTGATCTGTGTAACCAACAAGGACCAGGCTCTTGTTCTGCGGACTATCCGAGCTACCCCGCCATCAAAATGTCTTATCTGACTCAGGTACCGGATCCCTAGGGGCTGTTTTCTTGAACTATCTCTTTTGGCACACAATTGAAAGACTTTGATCCGATGAGTCAGCGGCTTTACCGTACGTTAACTAACTCACTAATTAACTATCGACTCGGAAGCTAGATCACTGCTGAGAAAACGGTGGACATCGTGCCAGACGGAGATAGACCGCGCACTTCGGCCTCTTCTCGCACCGACTCGGTGCGAAAGGATGACTGACTCAGACAATGCTAATCACTACGGCTATGGAAAGAACAAATCACAAATCACAAATCACAATTGCTTTCCCCAAAATAAAACTTCCTCCCCAGAGACAACTCGGATCTTCCGGGCACGGCTTCTCCGCTCTCGGCATCAGGTCCCCCGCATGCCGACAAGCTACAACTTTCGGCACGTTTTAAAACTTAAAGTCCCTGCCACTCGAGAACCTTACAGGCCTTTTTTCCCTTTTTTTCCTCTTGAACACTTCCTTTCATAATCATCCTCAACACACACACACAATGTCGCTGACCTTTTCAAATCAACCCCCCGCTGAGCGGGTGCCCTACGCTATCCCTCAACTCGAGGGCGAGCGCATCACCATTCCCGGTAGCAAGGGCGTGTTCCGCATTCTGACTTCCTCCAAGCAGACCAATGGTCTCATGGCGGTCTTCCAGAGTGGTGCAACAATTTCCGATGCGCCTGGTTTCCACTACCATGAGAAGGCCCACGATGTCTTCTTGGTCACAAAGGGCTATCTAAAGTTGTGGAACGGTCCTCAGTGCCGCATCCTTGGCCCCGGCGACTTTGCCTATATCCCTCCAGTATGTACCCATCTTCTATCAAGCTCTATCCTTCACAAGGACGCCAGGCTGACTTTCCCACCTCTAGACTGTCATTCACAATCCCGAAATGATCGGCCCACACACTGAACTTCAGGGTCTGATCACCCCTGGTGACTGGGTGGACTTCTTCCGTTACGTCTCCGAGCCCTACGAGGGTATCCTGGTGCCCGAGACAGACAACCGCGATCTCAAGTCCCTCTTGATTCCCAAAGTCATGGCCGCCAAGGGCAAATTCGATGTCGTCTTCCAGCCCCACTACGTCCCGCCCGAGGTCAGCGACTGGACCAAGGAGGATGAGAAGCTGCCTGAGGGTAACCAGGGCTACTTCCTGCGCGCCAACACTGGTCCTCGCTGGATGCTGGGTGGTGTCATGTCTCGGCCATTTGTTACGACGAAACAGAGCACTGGTGTTTGTGCGATCTCTAGTATCGAGTCTTCCAAGGATTATGGGGAGACCGTCTTTTCCAAGTATATGACTTTTGCCTCTGTGGACCACTGTCTCTGTGTGATGGAGGGTGCTCTCAAGGTCAGCCTGCAAGGCGCGGGCGAGACTATTTTTCGTGAGGGCGAGACCGTGGTGATTCCTGCCGGTCAGGCTTTCTCGCTGGGCTTTGAGAGCAAATATGTCAAGGTCCACTCCTTTGCCGATGGCGATGGTATCGAGTCTCTGATCCACGAGGCTGGCAAGCAGATTGAGGAAGTTGTGCTGCCCGACCAGGCCCCCGAGTGGGATTCATCAAAGCTGCCCTTGGTGGCGGATGCTCTTAAGATTACTTTTTAAGATGATGATTATGTGTATGAGCCAAATGGATAGATCTGAATGTAAATAGCTGCATACGAAATCTCAATTTCAGTCCAAATGACACACTCGCCAATGTGGATCTCCAGTGTATGCCATCGGCACATCGGCAAATAGGCCACTAACAACAGCCACTTTTCGCTTCAATCTGCCGAACTATCTCCCCCTCAACACAACATTCATAATGTACCGCTACCTACTGTAGTTAGCATTAGCCTAGTTCCTGTTAATGCTCTCGTTGATTGGCCCCCGGATTCCCACGGACGCTATCCCCCCGCAGAGTGTCACGTGGACCGGGGGGGCAGCACCCGACAATCCGGATTTTCCGGACACTGCGTCGTTATCATCATCTGCATCGACTAGCGCCCCTCTCCACGGAGTATACGCGCGACCCCAGTGCCCCCAGGTACCCCGGACTCGAAAAATCTCGCGAGTTGCGAATTATGTCTGGATAATGCAAACGCATCAGAGTACGCCGCCCTTCACGACGGGCGAACCGCCGCCCAAGCGGACGAAGCGGCCACGCGCCGCGCAGGCCTGCGATCGCTGTAGGACGAAGAAGTATAAGTGTGACGAGCAGTATCCGTGCTCGCATTGTAAAAGTGGGGTTTATCTTTGAGCGAGTTTTCAGGTTGTCTAAGGACTGCATCAGCTAACGAATCCATAGAGAGTCAGTTGGATTGTGTGTATCAGGGGAATTATCGAGAACGCGAAAGCAACCGGTCTGCAAGGTAAGAAGATATCATCTATTGCATTGAACACTTCCCCTGATATCCAAGATCTGTTCTTGTATATCATAAAATATATGCCGCGCCATAACTGACATCACCTGCAGCTATGTTGCCGACCTCGAGAAAAAGGTCGAGGAGCTGGCTTCGAGGTTGCGAAATGCCGAAGCTCGGATCACGGCATCCCCGCAATCAACAAAGCTCCCAACGCAGCCCCCAGCACCGACGGGAATAGAGACTACTCCATGCTCAATGCCCCGAACAGGGTCTACACCTCAGGAGACAGTCAAACCACCCGGTGAGACGACAAATGAAGAGTCTGCCGAAAGCGCAGACGACGAAATCAAGGAATTGAACCACCACACCAACGGCATCGAGTTCTACGGTAGTACCTCATCAGCAGCGATAATCGGCCATTTGAAAAAGGCACGAGATCCAAAAAGCAACGAGGAGCCGTATCCTCGACCAGCAGATTGCTCCCTGATCTCCACCCTGCATAACCCCAGTTTCTCGCCATCTTGTTCCACCGGACCGACTGCCGCCATTGAGCAGCAGAACTATTACTTTGATCAGGCACATGTGTTTATGAACGGATATTTCGAGAATATCCATTTCATCCATCCGTTCATCGACAAAGAGGACTTTTTATTACGTGCAAATGACCTCTGGTTCAATCGGTCACATACACCGGAGCCGAGCTTCGTCGCTCTGTATTTGAGTGTACTATCCTTTGGCGCTCTGGTACGTGTCTGGGATGAAGATAAGCTTGCCGGCCTGGGACGCTTTGAGTGGAGTCGAAAATTGTTTGGTGAGGCTCAGGCGTATCTGAACTATTTACGATTTTCAAATGATCTTGAAACGGTGCAATGCCTTTATATGATGGTATGCAATACGATTTAGGTTATAGGGTGGACTGTGCTGACAATTCCTAGGCCAAAATCTGCCAGAACGAGCTGAATCCGAATTGTGAGTCTACTCAACTACTTGGTAGAATTGGAGTGCTAATGTTGGTTAGTGGCCTACATGTATCTGGGTCTGGCCGTACGCACATGTCTCTCTGCTGGCTTTAATCGAGAGGTGGAGTGCCCCAAGGACCCTCGTTCGAGCTGGATCTCGAAGACTTGGTGGTAAGTTGGTGGAACCTTGATGACTTGTAGTATTTCAATGTTTAACCTATGTGGTTTTCTAGGGGCATGTTCTCGCTGGAAATGTATGAGCTTTGAACTTTACCAAATGACCCTGAAAACAATTGACTAACTGGTCAATAGAGAAATGAGCTTTTCCGTGGGCCGGCCAGATACCCTGGGAATGGACGAATACCACAACCGAGCCATTCCAGATCGCGATGACTCCGAATATGCCATCATCCCCTGGATGATTGACTTTGCCCAGATTATACGGCGAGTGTCTGTTCAGATCTATCATTCACGCATTACACTTCAAGAGAAACTTCAGCTGGCTCTTCAAATTGAGATGGAGATGGACCGCTGGCTTGCGAGGCTACCAGAGCGAATTAAGCCAGACATCGGCGCTTACAGGCTTTCGCGTAGCGCACTTCGTGATCCAAAGTGGGCTAGAAGGCAACGTCTTGTGCTGGGAATTCGTGAGTTTGTATACACAACTCTCAGCAGAGTACAACTCCTAACTTTGCTCTTTTCATTTTAGGATATTATAACGTGAAGATGCTCTTGTTCCGGCCGTTCTTGAGCCATTTCACCCGAAAACTCCGGCATCCGCCCAATGAACTAGAAGAGACGATCGCCAAGTGTCTGGATGCAGCCATGAAGACGATCGAAGTGATCCACGACATCTACCGAGTGCACACATTCTTCCGATGCTGGTACGTACTCATAGCCATACTTTGACACCAAATGCCGCAATCCTAACGAATAGCTAGGTGGTACAACACAACCTACGTGATGTTCGCCACATCCACCCTCCTCCTCCCCATGTCCAAACTTGGAATGTGCGCCGACACAATGCCCCTCCTCCGCTCCGTCGAAATGGGCGTGGAAATCCTCGAGTCCATGGATGAATCCGTCGTGGCCCGGAAATCAGTGGAGATCATCCGCCAATATCTACGGGACTTCAGAGCTTCCGGTGCGCAGCAGCCTGTGTCCGGAGTAAGTGATGGGGCCGAGGAGTTGCCAGACTCAACGGAAGTAGGGGCTGGTCAATCTGGCTTTGAAATTCCAGAGTGGGCTTATGGATTTGGGTTCCCGGATTATTCGTTTGAAGGGATCGCTCGGCTGTTTGATGATATTGGGGGCTTGCCTATGCTGGATGGTGATTAGGGTGGGGGCTATTAGGTGGATCGCTTTGTGCGAGGCTGTATAGATATTTACGAATAAGTATGTCTCGAGGCATGACTTTATTTTGAATTGGCCTTACCCTGCTCGTACCGAGGTGTCCTTCCTATCCTGTCTTAGTGCTGACCGTGCGGACTTATCGAAGACTCGAAATGCTTAAGACCGCTCCCCTTTTCCTTTTGTGAACCTGGCAAGGCTGGCATTGCACTGAGATTGACTCACAATACTGTTTGGGTTCTCTGATCGGTTATCAGATCGTCGATCTGAGTTCTAGACTTGAATTATTGGTCATAAGGGATTTGACGTCATAAACATAAACCTCGAAACGCAGGTGTGATCCTGAGCTCTAACAAGATATTTAAGCCGAGACAATTCCCTGATCAACATTACTCTCTTACCTCCAAGTCAATCACTCAACTACACATTCACACATCCATACAACAAAGCACCCAATCCACCGCCAACATGGCATTGACCCTCCACCACCTGGGCCTCTCCCAATCCGAGCGCATCATCTGGCTCGCCGAGGAACTAGGAATAAACTACAACCTAGTTCACCACAAGCGCGACCCCATCTTCTCACCCCAATCGATCAAAGACCTCCATCCCGCCGGGACAGCTCCGGTAATGGAAGACGACCCATCACCCATAACACAATCACGCGTCGTCCTCGCCGAATCAGGCGCCATCATGGACTACATCATCACCGTCCACGGCAACGGAAATCTAGCACCCACCCTGAAAGACGGGCCCCTGTACACAAATTACCTAGAATGGTACCACTTCGCCAACGGAAGCCTCCAACCAGCCCTCTTCCGCGTCATGATGGCCCGCGGTCCAGCCTCGGATCCTAACTCCCCGGTCGTCGCGCGCACGCTGCAGAAGTGGGATCACTTATTGTCCATGGTGGAGAATCGGCTTGCGGAGACGAAGGCGTATCTTGCTGGTGAGACGCTTACAGCTGCGGATATTATGACTGTTTTTACGTTGACGACAATGCGGGGTTTTTGTCCTATTGAGTTCGATGAGGAGAAACAGGCAAATATTTTGGGGTATTTGAAGAGGGTGGGCGAGAGACCCGCTTATCGGAGGGCTATGGAGATTTGTGAGGGGAAGGAGTTTAGCCCTCTGTTGGGGGCTAAAGTGGAGCCGTTCTCGCTGGTGAAGAGGTGAGCAAGTATCCTAAAGAGAGGAGGACCTGTGGATATAGTGTACTGTATTAAGATGATTTATAGCTCTCGACTCTAATGACTGCTTGCACCGGAACCACCGGAAACAGAGTATTTAACAAATGATTTGTGTGTAATGCAAGTATTTTAACAATCCTATTCCAAATGGTAATCTGTGTATACAAAGGTTTACAAAAGTGAGCAAGATGACCGAGATGTAATCTGCTTGGAAAAGACATTCGGATTCTGAGCCACTGCCTTCTCAACTTCCTTGATGGCATCGTAGCCGTATAGCCAGGGCTGAACTTCTGGGCATGTCCTATTATTGGATTGGTGTTAGAACTGTACACTATGGACGGGGTTAAGAGCCTCACCATCGACTGGGGAAGGCTCCCTTGAGCTCCTTGCCAAGCTGCGAGAGGAAAACCTCATCACGTTTCTTCTGCTCTTCACCATCCTGCAAATGGAAGTCGTGTCTCTGTGAATGATTTTGTTAGATATGACAAGAGTCTTTAGACTGAAGAGACTTACCTGCTTGAACGTCTCCCGAACGATGGCTTCTCCTCGAGACTTGCGCAAAGTTTCATATAGACGCAAGATACGTGGAATCTGGGCTTTATCCGTCATATGTCCCAGTAAGAGGCCCAGGACGGCACCGTCCTCTAATGAGGAGTTGGCACCCTGTGCCAGATAGGGAAGCATCGGGTGGCAAGAATCACCGCTTTTTTACATGATCAGCTCATAATCTCCAGGGCATTTTGGTGATATTTGGCACTTACATAAAGACAAGGTTCGACTTGTCATTGACCCACTTGTCCATTTCGCCGTCTGGACTCAGGTTAGTATCAATCTTGACCTGGATCTTCCATGTACTTGTACATACGATGCATCAACTTCCATTTGTCGATACTTCCGCTTGTGACATAGTTCAGGAACTTGTTGAGACTAAAGTGAAATAAATGGTTAGCCCGTGCATTTTCATGTCTTACCAGGTGCACATACATCGGATCCCAACCCACAAACAGCTCCTTCATCTCCTCCACCGAGCCGGGCTGCCTCGAAACGCCCGGGGGCAGGTTATCAGGCACCAGCAACACAATATTGTACATCTTTCCTCCCCGGACGGAGTATCCAACGGCATGAGCACTGGGCCCGATCCAGAAATGCACCTCGGGATTCTCCACGAGTGCCTTGAGCTCTGGATCGGTAACCTGGTCTGAGGTCAAAACAATCCGATATGCCAGATCACCGGTCGGAAGAGGCTCATCCTTTCTCCCCTCAAATGCCTCTCGGCACTGAGACCACAGGCCGTCCGCCGCGACAATCAGATCACCAGTGTAGTGCTTTCCTGCCACCGAGTGGACAGTGGTAGTGTCAAAGTCAATCCGCTCAATCCTCTCACCCAGGTGGAAAGTCACACCCAGATCCTGGGCGCGTGCATACAAACCTTGTTGCAGATCGACTCGGTGCAAGTCAACGAAAGGCGCATTATCATAGTTGGCACGGATGCCCTTATCGAAAGCGCCGTCGTGGGCCAACACTTCACCCGAATACCGGTGCACAGTCAACTTCGTGGGCTCGGCCGCTGCCTCCCACAGTGAATCCCGAAGCTTCCAGTATTTGAGAAGACGCGAGGCATTCGGGGTGATTTGTAAACCAGCGCCAACCTCGGCGAGCTCCTGTGCTTGCTCGATGACCTCGACTGAGTGGCCGGAGAGGGCGGCTGAGATGGCAGTGGCAATGCCACTAAGGCCAGCACCGACGATGATCACGCGGAGACGCGCTTGTTGGGAGACCTGGTTTGCTTTGTTTTGAGTACGGGGGTAAGCAAATTGTGCGAAATTCGGCGAACTAACCATGTTGAGGGCCTGTGATGGCTGAATACAGAAAGCCAAAAAGGTGAATATACCAGCCACAACACTGAGAACCCTGCACAGACAAGGTCTCTATTGAATATTTCAAAGGAGATAGTCTTTCTGACATTCAAGAAGATATTCGGCTCGCACTGTCGGTGTTAAATTCGCCGGAAGGACCGAGGCTGACCGGACCGCGCCCCACGCCCCGCGCTCGGGAATGCCGACTCTCGGATTTTCCAGAGTCGATGGCGACTGAATCCTACAATCCACAAGGCCGTCAGTGCACTAGCAAGTCCGCACTACCAAGTCCAGTGACACGTCTGCTCGGTGGATACCTTCATCCACCCGTTGACGCGGCTTCCCGTTCGTGTCTGGGGTACATATCATCGTGGGGAGCTGATCGCTTCGCGGGTCAGTCTGGAGTATCAAGACAAGAATCTGGGGAAGTCGACATCAATTTCAAGACATTCACCCATTATATATGATGGCACTTTCGTCATTTTACTGCACAGGGATAACTCAACTCTTGTAATGCTGTCAACACTCATGACCATTTCGTTGACCGAGTTTCGTTGGTGGCGCATTTAGAGGCTTGCGGCTTAGGGCTTGAAAAAGGATCTCGACTCTCCCAGGAGTCTCGCCCGAACAAAAGCATCAGCAGGCCCGGCGGCTCAAACAAAGAGCCCTCTTTCGGCTAGAACAGAATGACATGCATGTTGGACCCCGATTGATTTACGATGAACCTTCTCATCGCCATGAAATTTCGAAACTATGCCCAATTCTCATGGAAGCTCGCTTAAAGAGGCGTCGAAGGGATGTGGACCCGAGACGCATCCGAATCTCCCACACGGACATCCCGAAGCCCTTTCCAAGCATCCCCAGGCGATATGATTCGTGAGCATAGCTAATCCGCGGGGACAGACCTATCAATGCTAGCATGATAGGCTGAACCTGCAATGGAACTCTCAACGTGGCTTGCGCATTTCCCGACCTTCGATGCCGGAGCTGCTGCTTATATGGGGCGATTTCCCCCCCCCCCCCCCCCCTCCTTCTCTCTGTCCTGGTCATTCCATAATCGTACGACTCTTCTCCACGTTTGAAAGCTTCCCCAGCGGTTGGAAATTTATCCACAATGACGGTTGTAGATCCCAGGGTAAGTAACCTGCTGTTTGATCCTGGAGTGACTCCAATTTGGCTAACGTCGGCAGCTCTTCCCGCAACGGGTGCGGTATGCCGCCCTGCTCACCGTCAATGTATACGTTTTCATGGGAAACATGTACTCGGTGAGTTTTGAGACTCTTATTTACCGTGCACTAGACTTCTAATGTCTTTCCCCACGTATAGTCAGGAATCACAACCGGATTCGAGTCTCTTGCAATCTATTTCCACGCCGACAATGACAAGCTATCGGCCCTTGTCACATATTCTGTATTGGCCATGGGTCTAGCCAATTTGTTCTGGATGCCTATTGCTCTGTGCTTTGGAAAGCGTCCCGTCGTCCTCTTTTCCATGGCTATGTTCTTGGGTGGCATCATTTGGAGTGCTGTCGCCCAGACTTATGATAGCCTGCTTGCTTCACGAATCTTTGCTAGTTTCGGTTCGTCAAACACCTCTATTACTTTCGATAGAGATCAAGACTAACTCCACATAGGATATGGCGCTATCGAATCTCTGGGGCCTAGCATTCTCGCTGGTATGTTACAGCCTCGTCTCTTCCCGGCTGTGAAGGAACCAACCTAACAATCTTTCCAGACCTCTTCTTCGAACGAAACTATGCCAGTGCTATGGCAGTCTACGCTGCCTTCCTGTCTGGTGGCTCTCAGATTGGGCCCATGATTGCCGGATACCTCATCGAGGCCCGTGGCTGGAGATGGTTCTTCATTCTCTGCGCCATCATCGCCGCGGTCAACTTTGTGACTACCATCTTCATGCTACCCGAGACGATCTACGAGCCCGATGTGGACGAGACTCAGGAACAACCTGAGGGGATTGAAAAGGACACCCATAGCCACCTGGAGACAATCCCCACGAGATCACAGGTCGGAGACCGTGCCAGAATGGACTACGGCGAATACTTCAAAGGACTCTTCACCGTGAGCCTCACCAAAGGGGCTCAGAAGGCGGGAGTTTTCAAGTTCTTCGCATATCTCTTCGTGCTTCCTTTCCCATTGCTGCTGATTCCTGGTGTGTTAATCGCCTCAATCATGTACGGCGTTGTCCTTGGCGGGTAAGTAAATGTCTCGCTGTGATTATTGTCTACCTACATTCGAATCTGGCTCCTAACACCAATTAGTGTCGTCGCCGTCTCTACCCTCACCCCTTCTCTCCTCTCAGCACCTCCATACCTCTTCACCTCCGCCGACCTTGGTCTCTTCACCCTGAGCAGCTTCATCGGCATTGTGATCGCCTGGCCGATCGCCGGTCCTCTGACCGATCTTCTCTCCCGCTGGCTTCGCAAGCGTAACAACAATGTCCACAAGCCCGAGCACCGTCTGCCAGCTCTGATTTTCCCCTTCTTCATCTGCCCCATTGGCCTGGTCATCTTCGGATATACCATCGCTCGGCAAATGCACTACGTCAAGCCCGCCGTGGGTGCAGCCATCTCCGCCGCCGGCCTGACCCTGGTGCCCTCCGTCATGCTGTCATATGTCGTGGACTCGTATCCCAGGACTAGTGGCGAGGCGCTTGTACTGGTCAATGCTTCCAAGAATGTGGTTGCATTTGGATTGGCTAAGGGTGCTTATGCTTGGATGGCCAAGGAAGGCGTTGAGAAGATGTTCTATGAGTTTGCTGGCATCCAGTGGGCATGCATCTTCCTAGCCCTGCCACTGTATATCTTCGGACCGGCGGTGCGGGCTCGAACCCAGAAATTGTTCTAGCTACGTGATTGTCAAACTACATCTGTATATATGCCGTGTTAACCAGGGGGAAACGATAAACTTCTAATGACATAAACTATCTTTTCGATAATACCATTAATGCGTCAAAAGTAGAGTCTCGTAGAGAAGTCTCTTGATCACCATGTGAATATGAAGGATCCCGTCAACCAGATATGTTGACCAATGGCCTAGCTGCGCTAAGCATTAACGGCGATTTGGCCCCCAGGCAACGTCAATCTTGCCAGCAAACACTTTTCATAAGTATGGGGTGTCAAATATTGATCTGCCAGACGATCTTGATCCAGTATTCAACTTGAATCAATCTCTGATGTACTGGGTACATCATGTTTAGAGACTCCCTAATCGCAGTGCTGGGCGCACGATTCCTAGTTCTCGCAATCCGAAGCATCACCCCGCTCTGTATCCTCTACTGCTGCCTGATATGGATGCGTTACTCCCCTATCAAGCACTGGTTCCCCTTTATCCTCGGTATCTATGCATCTTTGGAAACTGCGTTCTTTTTCTTGGTCTACGTTCCTCGATATCTATATCTCCAACAAACAACGACACAGGCGCCGCCATCAGGAAGGTTACAGGAGCGACAGGCATTATTCCAGAAATGCATCGATACCATACCCGATCCAGAGAGATTTATCTCGTTGTGGAACCGAGGTACGCCGGTAGAAAAGATCCATCGAGAGAACCTGAAAGAGTGGGTTTGCTGGGCATTTCTGAACAAGGGTTCTTGGACGGTCGCGGAAGATGATGAGCTTGAGGAATATGTTTGCCGTCTGGAGAATCTGCTTGGTTATCGACTTCCTGAAGGCAAAGGATCATCAAAATCAATGAGGGTGTTTCTCGATTGGGTGAATATGTTGCACAGACCTTTGATCTACTATGTGGTGAGTAAGGGGAATCCCTTGCTCTTGGAAACACAAACTCACCATGGCAAATTACTGACAAGAAATAGGGTGGAGTCGGACTGTTGGATATAACCACATACTTCAGAATGAGATACCAAGGATATCGGCATTATACAGTATCGTCATGGTTCCTCAGCTTCCCCTTTCGACCCCAGACCACCCTCAGCAAGCACCGTTCTCCATCAAAGCACTTCTCCTATTGGTATCGACCACATACATCACCAGATACCCTACCAATTCTCTTCATTCACGGCATGGGCATCTTATTTTCCTACCAGTCCTTCTTCAACGACTTCTCCAAATTCACCAAAGAACCCAATAACGACGGCATCGGCCTCATCGCCATCGAAACCCTACCAATCAGCTTCCGAATGTCCCATCCCGCACTTCTACACGAAGACATATGCACGGAGATTCTCTCGATACTCGACCACCATGGCTGGAACAAATTTGTCCTCACAAGTGCCTCGTACGGCACTGCGATTTCGTCGCAGCTGCTTCGCGATAACCGTATCGCTCCACGCATCGGGCCCATGATCTTGGTAGATCCAATTCCATTCCTCCTCCATCTCCCCGATACAACGTACAACTTTACGCGTCGGAAGCCAAGAAGTGTTACCGAGATCTTTCTGCATTACTTTGCATCTACGGATATGGGTGCTGCCCATACGCTCTGCCGTCGGTTCTTCTGGAATGAATGTATTCTGTGGAAAGAAGATCTTATGAATTGCGGACGGCGGACTACCGTTGTCTTCAGCGAGAGAGATATGGTTATTGATGCTCATGCTATTGGAGAGTATTTGACACGAAATAGCAACCTCACCGCTATTGAAGATCGTGGGCGAGAGGATGGGGAGTGGAAGAGTAGATGGTGGACTGGTGGGGAATTGGATATCCTCTGGTTTGAAGGTATTGACCATGGGGAGATTTTGAATGCCCCGATCGACCGCAAGATTTTGATTGAAGTAGTATTGAACTACTGCCGTGGTGAAAGCACGCCGGTCACGAGAAGAGATGCTGTCGAGTAAGAATACTGCCATGTGGCCTTCTTCGGAAATAATCCACTTAATGGACTTAGTCAGTACATTCCAGAGGCTAGCGATAGTTAAATGAAGAAGACACAGCTGATAAAGACCGAAACATATAGCCATTCTCATGCCGCAGAAACTTGTAAACAGTACCATGAACGCCAAAATATACAAAAATAACATTGCAACCAGTGCAACCATATATCCGAGAGAGGGAAGTAGCGAAAAAAAAGGCGAGTGTACCGACCATGCAGGCAAAGACCAGATAAATCTATGGAGAGACTTCGCAAAGGACTGCCTCACTATAATCAAAGGTTGCGCGGTGTTTGCGTTCCTACGCGCCCACAATTTGACCCATTCCCAGCATCACCAGGCGGCCTCCACGCTCGGCCAGTTCTGGGGTCACTATGTGACGGGTAAGAAGTAGAGGGACTTCTGCTCAGCGAGCCCGGAGAGGATGGAACGGATGAGCCTGGCGTTGTGCTAGCTGTGGCGGAAGATGTTCCGCTAGCGCTCGAGGGATTAGAAGCTGCTACTGCTGCTGATGGATTGCAGTGACCGCAAGTAAAAATGCTGAAGCCTCGACCACCGCAGCTCGTACAGATTGCTCCTCTAGAAATCTGATGAGTATTCCATACAGGATCAACGGACCAAAATTGTGTCGTGTCTACCTTGGAGCATTGCCGGCGCAGTCCCGGCATGTTACAACTGTTCGACCGCCGATGCAGGAAATGTGATCTGGGTCCAGGTGGAAGCTGGAGAATTTTGAAGAGGCCATTATGTTGATAGAGAGTGTTAGGGAGATGTGGCACGGTAAGATGATTGCACGATGCTGAAGCAGAGGCCTGACTGTGATGAGTGAAGAAAAACGCAAGCTATCGTGGAATGTGCAGTCGATAATAAGTATTTCCGTCCTTCTTTCCCGCCTGCCGGGCTGATTATCGTAAATAAGAATGGAGGAGCAACGAGAAGTCAAAATCTTATGACTGTGCCTTTGATAAAGACCAGGAACGGAACTAAAAGGAGAAAAGGTAACGTGCTGGAGTCAGCAACCTGACAAGGATTAAATCCTTCCCAGTCCAGAGTGCAACGAGTCCGGAAATAGGACAGACAAGAAGCGTGGGCTCTTATACATGCGAGGGGGTAACTGGCACACGACATCCCAATATCAAACGGTTACATCTCCGAGCTATTATATGAAAGATCACCAAAAAGAAAATTCGATAGCACCGAGGATCCTTGATGACCGGCGACTATCCGAAGTGATCAGCAGGGCATTGTGTCGTAACGACTGGCGGGACTGGAGGCCGGGGTCGAGCCTTATCCAATGTTGAGGTCGGCCACCTTACGACAGCCGGCATATTTCCAGAACGCGATCTACCAATGAGACCAGCAGAAGCAGATCTTGCATGTACAGCGAACGGTGTATGCGCAATCTTGGGCTTGGCCTGGTCTCGAAGCTCAAGAGGGGTACATCGGAGGGGCGCAAGATGGCGTACCTAAATCTTAGACCAAGGGATTCCCAACATGCAAGTTCAGGGGTTGCTGAAACTGGTTGAGCTGGCGGGGCCAGTGAAAGTTGATTTTGTGAGCCATGATAATCAAATCCACCTGGTTGAGCTATGTAGATGTCCTGATGACCCTCAAGTTCACAAGAGGGCCAAGGTGGAATAACAGTTGCTACCATTTGACTGCAACGGTGTCCTGGATTGAATGGCGGTTTGAGGCGACAAGAAGATTGGAGTAAAGCAGGGATTATCGATCGGGAATCATTGGGGTGTGACGAATCAGAGATAGTATGATTGTTGGGCAAGGACAACACCAAGACTGGGCTCGGTGTCGCCTAGCGGAAAGTAAGTCCCAGCTGCATGGCAGCCACCACAGCCTTGTGTCACGACTGGCGAACATGTATGAATGGGGATGCCAAGTATCGGCGGGCCTTGACCGTGTCGCAATTGCATGTATATCAGATTATGTAGCGAAGGACGCTCACCCGGGCCGGGGATTCAATTGCTGTACTCGCTAGAGAGAGCCCGAATGAGGTGGTCCATCCACGGATAGCTGCAGAAAGCCATGCGTGAATGATCTCATTTCTGAGACGTACGAATACCGCAGACGTAGACGAGGGCTAGGTAGATCCCATAATGACATTTTTCAGCTGGAGAGACTGCATCTAAGAGTTTCATAGAAAGACTTACCCCTTTCAGATGAGATAATCTTTGCATATTGACGGGAATTGGGTGTGGCGCAGCAGGAATCGTCTACGATACCAACTTATGTTGGTAGTCAGATGGTCATCTGCATACGGTGGAAGCAAAGAAAATGAGAGATTGAGCAGCCACTTCGCATCCAACATGTCAGGTTCGTTGTGGACAAGTAGTTCGGTGACAGTGCGCTGGGGGCGGTACCTTTTGCATGAGATGTTGGAGTGCATGTGCCCTCGAGATGCACGCATTGCATAGCTCTGCCTTTGCCGGCTAGAAACGGGGCTTTGATGATCAGATATGGCCTTTCAACAGGCACGAGATCGGCAATACCGAATGAAAGGCTGTGATCATAGACAATCCTGATGCATGAGCCTGTTCCAGAGCTCCGAGGGCAGATGTATTCCCCTGGTTAGAATCAAAATGCGGGCCACCATAATTGCCACAGATAGGGTAAGGAGGTATTGGACGGACAAATAGCAGCGGCTGGAACACGTCAAAAACCCAGACTCGGGACCAATAGTATGTAATCATCATCACGGCGTACAAGAGAATGATCAACAGAAGTCATGAGAGAGATGCGGACATAGGCTACGGTTGTAGATTTTGTCGCCTCAAGCAAGTATCCGTCAAGGAAGCGACCTCAGGGGACCGGATGCTTTTTTCCAATCTGGGATGGGATTGAAAGATGGGCATGAATTCTCCTCTGTTAAGGCTAAGGGCCAGTCTCGAGATGTGGTGGAGGCAAGGGGCTCCCTGACAGCCGTTGAGGTCCAAAGATGATCCATGATCCATGATCCACAGGGGAGCTGAAATGGCTGGGTGACGTATTGCAAGAGATGTATATTCTCCGTCCAGAAATTTCGTCCAGCCACTCAGCACTAAGAGATGTGCCTGGATCTGTGGGACAGTAGGTAATTGCTCTCATCAGTTCGTAACGGAAGCGCCGGGCCTCAGGGATTGATGCGCCAAGGAGGGGACAAGAGGAGCAGCTTCGGGCGGGGTCCAACTAGTCTCGTTGGAGTACCTTAGACGAGTACTGAGTACTGGCTGTAGATCGAAGCGCCCACTGAAAGAAAGCTGCAACCTGCCATTCTCCATCACACGCTAACCTCGGGATTTCGACATGGACTGGGAAAGGGGGCTTAACACCAGTGCAGGCGTATGCTCTTGGCTGCGACCTCGGATCCACCATCAAAGCATTAAAGAGACTGATTGAGACCATCGGGGTGTAAGGTCTCAGTCAACCTCTGTATCCCCGGTTCGGAATTTCCTCTAAAGGAACAGGAGGTTGTGGCATCATCCTCGACGGGGGCAAAAAAAGAAAGGCCAGTTGCCGCAGAGTCGAAGACACTCGCTAGTCAGCTGACATAAATCGGCAGGAAAGCCGCAGTCCAAATGACAAGGATCATGGTGATATTTCCATGCGTAATCTGATTCGGCCCTGGCAGCTGGAATGGCCACCAGTTCTTTTTTCCTCTTGGCCATCAGTTGATACCTAGGGTATTCGAATCTACTTGACTCTGAGGCAGGGAGATTTAAGCAACAAGTCCAACAAGGCCCTTTGAAGAATCAAAGAGTAAGTACAATAATAGACTGTTTCTAAAAGGAATATGTCTGTGAACCATCTTCAGTTCCGACGCATGACATCACAGTGCTCATTAAATATACTTTGAAATCAGTGCAGCGAAAAAGAGCCGTACCTGGCATCACCGAGCGTCACCAAGCCTGAGGAGCATCACGCGAGGACCCTAGTAGGGATGGCATGGCCGATTTTACAAGATGATACAAGACTTTGCAAGATAACCAGGGAAGAGAATTCAAGATAGGAGATTCATTCATTCTTGCGAGTCACTATCGTCTGCGCAGTAATCAAAAGTGTAACGGGGGGTAGATATCATAAGCGACGCCGAGTAGAAGCCCAGAACATGATCATGACCGCTAGGTCACAATAATGTCGGTGGACAGGGGAAGCAATGAAAAATGAAAATAGCAGTGTAAAAACGGAATGCCAGAGTAGCCACCGAATCCGACCCACGAACTCCTAGTCCCTGCAACTCCTATCATCCTGTGACGCAAAGCCGATAGAAATCGAGCTTTAAGCCGACAAGATCAAGCGTGGATATGAAAAAAAGAAAGAAAGAAAGAGAACGAATGCCAGACCACCAGACTCCCGTCCATATATTGGAAGTGTAAGTGGTCTGCATTTACTGGAAATATTCTGCTGGGAGCGCAGCCAGAAGAGCAATGGTACCCAGACCACCCAGCAAAGCACTGATTACGGCAGTTGCCGTGTAGCTTGCGAGATTGTTGGATGTATCGTGAGTATCCTTGACTCGTTTCCGAGGAGGCTCGGTATCAGAGTTCTCAGAAAGCGCAGAGCTGATCGCCTCGGCCACCTGAGACTGGGAGATTGTGTCTAGGTCCAACTTCTCAGAGGGCGGCACAATCGATTCAAGAATCTGAGCATCCTGAGACTCCATCTCAGAAGCTTTTCGCTTGAGTGGAATCGGGCTGGCAGATTCGGCCATTACTTCCTCTTTCAAAGAAGCATCCTTCGGAGTTGAGTTAGTGGGGCCAGCAAAAGGTCCATCTTGGTAGTTGTTGAGCACGTCACGAATGCTCAAGCGGCCCAGACGCTGGGATCCATCGTCTTCCTCACGCTTATGATCCAGCAACGGAGTAATGGGAGTCAGAGGGAAGTGGGTGGGGAAGATCATGGGCTGGTCCTGCACCGAGGTTGAACCTTGCTCTTGAACCTCGGCCTGGAAGTACGACTTGGGGTCGATACCAGCGGCGGTGAAATTCTGAATAGCATCTTTGATGGTTGGTGTCGCCACATTGTCCTTGTGGGTCAGAATGCTGGGGTCAATACACTCCTCCTCATCCTCATCCTGGCCGACTGAGTACTCGTCACCATAATCGGCATCAGATTCGAGATCCGAGTTATCGTCTGAGCCTGAAACATCATTATCCCTGACTGGATATGGGAGATCTAAATAGTCAAAGTGACCCGCTTCCACCTCATCATCGCTGTTTTGACTGTAGGAGGAAGGGTCAGAGTCGAATTGCGAATCCTCTCCATCGCTCGACTCCGAATACCCTTCCTGTGAGCTATCGATGGGGTACGCCTCCTCACAGTCAGAATGATGGCCGGAATTCAAAGACCGCTCCGGTCCGTGTGGGGGCTGATAGCCATCTTCGTCCTTTTCGCCATAGATGACCGTCAACTCCCCATCACCGACCTTGAAGGGAAGAATCTGATTAACCTTTACCTCTCCCATGTCGCTCTCGTCATCATCTGGAACACAAAATGTGTTGGTAGAAGAGCTTGGGCGAAGCTCAGATGCTGGTTTGGATGCAGTCGGTGTTGGCTCAGCAGTATCGTTGTATAGCATGTCCGATGGATCACATGGGTAGACCTCAGACTCAGAGGTGGGCTCAGACCATGTAACATCGCAGCGGACACTCAAAGCCGGAAATTCTTCTATAAGAAGTATTAGTCGATCATGGTTATCAAGAATAGGATGAGGGTAACTATGACACACCATCTCCGCGGTCGACATCAATGCCGAACCGTAATATGTCTCCATTAAGCAATGGGGTGGCCTCGCCAGTAATGAGCCTGACGTTGTTGAGGAAGGTTCCATGAGTGGACCCAAAATCACGGATATAGATCATCTTCTGTGAAAGGTTTCGCTCAGCATAGTCCATCGGGTCAGGGAGGAAGCGATGAGGTAAGAAATCCGATGATACCTCAGCGTCCATCTTGAAGCCCAACTCAGCATGGTCACGAGACATCACCCGAGAGTCAAACCACCCATTATCCTTGGCTGGGGAGCGATTCTTCACTTCACGCTTGGAAGACCGGCCGATCTCGAAGGCAGGGCTGCGGTTGGAGAGGGTGAAGCTACGAGTGATCGAGGATTCGGGCCCCAAGGGGCTGACGGGGTGGAGAACGACCGATGCTGTAGAGAAACCCATGTCAGTCCAGACTCCATTCTCTAGAGGGGACGTTACTTGTATGTGCCCGAAGTACATACCTTGAGTCTCAGACATGGTGACTGATGCAGACAGTGGTTGCCGGAAGCTCCAGTTTCATAGGACGCTGAGAAGGCGAGAAACCAAGGGCTTAGCCGGCAGAGAAACTGTAATCTATCAGGCCCAAGGAGTCAGGAGACCGAGCGAAGCACAGAGAGGAGGTCCAACGGGCAGAGCAAGTCGGTGAAGCCACCAGGCTGCAGCAGCTGCAGTGTAAGCAAACCGGCGGGGAACTAGAAGATACTTACCGGATATCCCCAGTCTAGAGGAACAAAGAAGGTCAACGAGTTGCTAGAGCTGGAAATAAAATAAAGCCGAATCTGCGGCGGGGTATGGATGACGGTAGACGGAAGGTGGGAGGTTGAAAGGTGGGCGCGGAAGGTGAGAGGGAAGAGGGGTAGATGATGAATCAGGCTCAGGTTGAGGTCAAGGCTTCTAAGAAGTTTGGGGCCGGGCCCTATGGGGATCCTTGGACCAGCAAGCACGGAACCACAAGGAAGTGGTCGGAGATAGGGCCTTGCTCTCGTTTTTGGGGAGGGTTTAATAGTCGTTCCGAGAAGTTTAACAAGTAGACTGATAAGGATGAGGAAGGCGTTCAGCCGGTGATCACGTTTAGGAAGTACAAAGGACATAGCCTTGTGCAAAGTATAGTTCGAGGTAGCTGGACATAGTTTGGTCAGGTGGGGCACTCAGCTTCCTTATCCTCCTTATCCTCCTTATCCCGCTTATCCTGCTTATCGCTGCTTGGACGGCAAATCAGTGGAGCCTGCCCCAGACTACGTAGAGGGGACTAGCAAGGGCGCTAGACGGAGTATACGATAACCGTGACTATCTCGATAATTTTGCTTATCTCTATCCCCCTTTGGGGTACTGCATTCCATAGCTTGAGGAAGATGAAAGTACCACAAGACTTGCAGTGCAAAGATGTGAAAATCCTCTAAAGTCTTGTACGCAGGTATATCAAAGAACATCACATTCACCTCTATGGTACATAGATTACTCGGCACATATTCTCAACCCAATGCAGAAGTTGGTCTGGACCCCGTGCTAGCCCAAACATCCCGGTTCACATTCCCTTGGGTATCTCTGCCCGGTGTCCCACAAAAAAGAGAAATAAAAAGAGTAGCATCAAAGATAAACGACAAGGTGGTAAGAGGGAATATGTCAGGGACAAGGGGTACACTAAATACAGGGAGGAGAAAAAACCGCTGGTCGGGACAACCGTGGAGAAGACCAGAGACCGAAGATTGGAATCGAAAGGGGGTTAATGAGATAGGCACCCGACGCCAGACCTGGGAGACGACGAAACGAAGCGAAAGAAGAGGGAAGATTGGAGGCATAACAACGACGGGAGACACAAACCCAAAAATAACCAGACAGATGACATTGCTTTTACATGCCAGGGGGAGCTCCACCCATGGCACCCATGGCGTTGAGGCGAGCAGCCAGCTGAGGGTACTTCTCCTGGACCTCCAGCTGAGTGCGGGTGGCCTCGGCATAGGAGATGGCGTTGATGATCTCGGCCTCGGTACGGGCGAGCTCAGCAGCCCGCTCGAAGTACTTCAGGGCTTGCGAGACCTTGCCCTGCTGCAGGAGAAGCTGGGCCATGGTGCCAACGGCGATATCACACTCAGGGTCGACTACATCGAGGGTCAGTACTGAATATGGACAATAATATCACGGAGATATTTAGGTAATGAACTTACTGATGAGCGCCTTCTGACACAGGTTCTCGGCTTCCTGGAAGTCTTGCTTCCACTGGAAGAGGGCCAGAGCCTTGTTGATGAGGGGCAAGACGTTGATACCCATGGGCTTGCTCAGCTTCTCCATCTCCACCGCCTTGTCGAACTTCTCAATAGCCTCGGGGTAGTTTTGCTGGTCGAGAAGTAGCTCGCCGTAGTAGTTGTAAACATCGGGGACCTCCTCGAAGTTCTTCACCGAGCGGCGGAAAGTAGCCATGGCCGAGGCAACGGAGCCCATCTTATACTGGGTCACACCGAGCTGAATGTGAGAGAAAATGAAAGACCGGTCGAGGTCGATAGACTTCTGGTAGTCCTTGGCGGCCTCGGCGAACTCGCCCAGAATAAAGTGGAGCTGGGCGCGGTGGTAGTAGATGTCAGGGTCATCCTTGTTGTGAGTAATGGCGAGCTCGAAATCATCCGCAGCAGCATCCTTGTTTCCTAATGTACGGTTAGCAAAAAGGTCGAGGATGAGGATTGCACTCAAAACAAGCTTACCGAGCTCAAGGTGCAAGCTAGCACGCTTGATGTAACTTTGGACGAGCGAAGGCTGGAGTTCAACACTCTTGTCCAGGCCCTCCAACGCACCGCTGGCGTTACCACCGAGATATGTGAAAGTGGCCTTCATGTTGAGAGCCAAAGCCTCAAATTCACCCAGATCACCGACCTCGAGCGCCTTCTCAAAAGCAGCGGCGGCCTCCTCGTAACCATCGCCGGTCTTCTTGCCCATAGCAATCAGACCCTTGCGCAGCAGACCCTTGCCAGACTCGTCGCTCAGCTCAACGGACTCATCCAGACCTTCAGGAAGCGCCTGGGGACGGAAGCTCTGGAGGTAGTTGGAAACAAAAGTCGCACTGGGAAGCTTCTTGGTACGAGCATCGAGAATAGCCTTGCTTTTCTTCTCCGCAACCTTCTTCAGCAGGCGCTCAAGAGAGTTGCGGCTGACATCGTTGGAGAACCCATCGATGATGCAGCTGGCAGTGAAGTCGAGGAGAGCCTCGCTGAACTTGCCCAAGTGCTCATAGGCAATGGCTCTCCGGTTCAGAGCCTTCACGTACTCGCTATCCATGGCAATAGCGGCACTGGTGTCCTCCACAACCTTTTCCCACTCAGACAGAACATTGTAGCAAGCGGCGCGGTTGGAGTAGAAGACGGGATCGGGCTTGCAAATGATCGCCCTTCCGTACAGTTCAATGGCGCTGTTGTAGTCCTTGGAGCCGTAAGCCTTATTACCGGCGGCCTTCAGCTTGGCCGCATATTCCTTCCGGGTCTTCAATGCGTTGGTTAGTGACTATCCCGCGATTCACGAATTTCAATTGAAGGAGGGAGCAACAATACCTCTTCAGAAAGCTGACCCACGGTAGCTTCATCGACCTCAGGCAGTTCCTCAGCAGGCTCCTCGGCCTTCTTGGCGGCAGGCTCTGTGATGATGTCAGTCGCGGTTCACCTATTGTGCAATGACCAACTGGTAGGGGACGAACCTTCCTGAACCGAGGCAGCCTTGGCCTTCTTCTCTTCCTCGGCCTTCTTCTTCTCTTTCCGTCTTTGGTTCTTGCTCTTCTTGGGGACGGAGGGGGTAGATGAAGCGCTCGACTTGCTGGAGTCGGACAGGTAGTAGACAACACCGGCGCCGGTCACAACCACGGCGACCCCGGCAATGGTGTAGACGACAGCCTTGTTCTCCGACACCCAGTTCGAGATGCGATCCCAAACCGAGGATGTGGTCGAGGCAGGCAGCTTCGAGGTGTCCAGCACCACGTTCTGCGTGGGCGTGGGCAATGGCGACTCGCTGGACATGATGTGTTGAAGGGGATCGGACACGGCGACCAATGCTGTGAAAGTCCAGATTCTGAACGCGGTCAGCACAGAAGCAAATCAAATGAGCAATGCGCCGATGGAATATCAAAGACAACACACGCGAAACGTACCGGTCCTTAGCCAGAAAGCGAGAAGTGTGAGATAGGGAGGAATGACGGAAGCTTGGAGGAAAAGTCGAGAGTTCGACCGCTCGGCACGGGCCAATCACGCGCTACGCAACGGTAACGCTCGGCGTAGCTTTCTCCACATCACCACTTTGCTTAACCCGGGTTGCCCGACAAAAGCGATGCAGTCGCCTGTCGCAGTGGATGGTTGATGTCGATTCAACTTCAATTCGTGCTCAATTGGAGTGCCGCTTGTTTCCAGACGCCAGCAACGGCTCTGGATTGAGCTCGTGTGCCGCACTTCCCGTGGATGACGCAGCTCACGACTAACGGAAGGACAGAACGAATACCCGAGAACGGAGGCATTGACGACACGCGACAATGGCTTCAGCTTCCACTACCGCGCCGTCATTTCAGATTATCTCATCCCTGCGATACGATCCCGATCTTCCGAAGGTGACCTCCCGCAATGTGAATGATAGTAGCTATCCAGCCCCAGCGGACTCGCCTTATTACCTCCTGTCGTACCACCGAGACCGGCTGATCAATGCTGCACGTCATTTCGAATGGGATAAGGCGATAGATTTTCTACAACAAGATCTGGTCAGTTTTGAGAAACTCCTCGATGGCTCAATATCCGACGTGCAGAAGCCATGGCGAATGAGAATCGCCGTGGATTGCAACGGCAAAGGCTCAATCGAGGTCAATCCTACTGTAGCGATTGACCCATTGAACCTGTTGATTCCTTCCCTCCATAGCGGCATACAACCCACCATCTGGAAGGTGTTTGTTGATTCACAACTCACAACTCCATCTGGCTTCACCACACACAAGACCACCGCCCGAGACGACTACACGGCCGCTCGTGTGCGCGCAGGAATCACTTCCCCGGCAGAGACATCGGAAGTCTTGGTAGTCAATCCAGACGGGGAGATTATGGAAGGAAGCATTACTACACCCTACTTTCGACGGCCCATAGCGGGTGACGCGACCGAGCCAGTTTGGGTTACTCCGCCATTGACAAGTGGTGGAAATGCAGGCACGAGTAGGAGATACGCCTTGACACAAGGATTTTGCGTGGAGCAACTTGTCACCAAGGCAGATCTGGTAGACGGGGAGGAATGCTGGCTCAGTAACGGAGTACGTGGGTTCATGCGAGGCGTGGTAGTTCTGAGTCGATAGCTGCCTGACTGGAGGGCCTTAACAATCAATACGCGGATATATTTCCAGTCCACAAATGTGGCAATGGTATATTACAGAATAATGCTATTAGAAATATCCGTGGAATCAAATGATGCATGCAAGTTGGTTTTGATTTTGGGATTACTTTAGAAAATTAAGGCCTCAAAAGGCTTATTTCTTCTCAGCAACCACTGGGTTAAGGTTGCCCTTCCACTCCAAAGGACGCGGGCGCATGTACTCGGCCACAATCTCATCGGTGACCTGAGCCCGACGCTCTTGGAATTCCTTCACATACTTCTGCAGCTCTGCAATACAGATCTGCTTCAACTCGCCCGTAAGCATCTCACCCTTCTCATAAGCAGCGCGGATGCGCTCAAGCTCATCGTCGTCCTCGAGGAAGAAGGTCAGATATTGGAACGGAACATCGACCTTGGTGTTACCGCCCAGCTCGCGGTGAAGCTCCGTGGTCTCCTGGCCACCGGAGAAAGCGTACTTGTTGATCTTGTTCTTGATCTTATTGGGGGGATCGTTCATGAAGATGGCTGACGTTTCCACACTAGCGGACATCTTTGAGCCAGGGCCCTGGAGCGCGGGCAGGAAGACAGCGTGGATGAGCGAAGGCTTCTTATATTTCATCTTCTCAGCGTGTTCGCGACATTGCCGGAAGTAGGGATCCTGGTCAATGGCACAGGGAATCAAGCAGGGAATTGATGCGACCTTCTTGCGGTCGGTACCGAAAATCTGGGGGAAGCTAGTCGCGAACGCAGTCGCGGACTGGGTGGCGCAGAAGTGGAACTCTCCGATGTTGTTGCTGTCGGTGAACCCAAAGGTGCCTCGCACTTGGTTGATCGTAATCCGCTTGGCCATTCTGCAAATGTTCTCGTAGAATGCGCCACCAACGAAGTCAAAGTCACTGAAGATGAATGTCTTCTTCATGTCGAATCCGACAGCAATGATATCCTTCGCGTTGGCTTTTGTGAAGCGCTTGGCGTCCTCGATCTCGATCTTCTGGGAGTGCATATACTTCTCGTCGTCGGTCATCATGATCACAAGGGGAACATCGAACACATCTTGCAGCCACCTGATTGTTACAGAATCAGATTAATACTGCAATTGCCATATACCGCACGACAAAGGGGACTCGTACTTGGTGAACTCGAACGGAACGGTGTGTCCCACGTGCATACTGTCACTGCTGGGACCACGACCGGTGTAGAGATAGAAAGGTTGGCCCTTCTCATGGCGATCCAGGATCTTTCCCAACTCACGGTGACTGAACACAACGCCGCGGCGCATGAAACGGTGTGGGCGGTGGCCGGTGACCTTCTCGAAGCGCTCGAGCAGGTCTGGGGTGAGGGGAGTGGCGCCGAACTCGCGCACAAGCTTGTCGTAGTCGACGGGCAAGAGCTTGCCGGTCTCGTCGACACCGCCAGACACATCGAATGGTGTGATGACCTGGCTAACAGCCTTGGATGCGGGCGCCTGTTCGGCGAGGCTCAGCGTTGTGAGCGCTGGGGGTTGTCCTGGTTCGTCCGCCATGGTGTAAGCTTCTCGACGGCTATTGAACATCAATTAGTTGGCAATCCCATGGCTGTGAGGGGATTGAACTCGTACTTTGGGCTTTGATGGGCTGCTTGCGATGACAATCTACAATTCTTTGGCGGGGGAATTTCTGCCCCTCGACGATGAGTCAGACCCACCTCGCTATCAAGGGACCCAATATGATTGGTGGTACCTGGTCAATACCACGTGACTGTATATAGATATTGGCTTCATTGCACAAAGCCTTGGGAGGAATCAAGGAGGAAAGATTGTCGATTGCAAGGCGAGTGTAAGCATTTCGTCAAGGGAGATATAGCATCTCAGGTAAGCTTATCTAGGTCCTACATTAAGAGGGTCACTACTTGGTTCAACAAATTTGGTTCATGTTAAGATTTCATTTTCATGAAGAATTCCATATCTATACACACAAAAGAATCCCAGGGCATCCCATTGACGCAAGGGTATCGCTATGCTCATAAAACCAAACACGAAGAATCAAACAAACCACCAACCCCATATATGCTTTTTTTTGGAATATCGAGACCGTAAGACCTCAGGCAGTCTACTTGCGGAAGGTCAAAGACTTTCCAGCATCGTTCCGCTTTTGCTTGCGTGCGCCTGAGGGAGCTTCCAACGCCTTGGCGTAGGGATTGAACGGCTTCTTCTTCGGCTGGGCGCTCGCTGCAGCTGTGCGAGCCACATTGAGGATTGAGTCCGCAGTAGAATAGTCAAAAGGAGTCGAGTCGGCCTCTGATTGAGAGGCAGATTTAGCAGCCTTCTTAGCCTTCTTCTTCTCCTTGCGCAATTTTTTGCGCTGCTTTTCGGTCAACTCTGATTCATCGCTTGGTCCGGCCAAGCTATCAGGCGTAGAAAATTCTTCGTCAGGAGTGGCAACTGCAGCGACCTTCCGTTTGCGTGGACCGCCGAGATCTTTCACTGTGAAGTACTTGGGCATTTCAGGGGCCGGCGCGGGGGTAGGGGCAGCCTTAGGCGTCGGAGATGGTTGGGCATTTGCCGAGATACCAAGCGTTTCACGGGCTTCGGAGACGGTGGCAGGCATAGGCGGCAGAGGGAGAGAAAGTCGGAGAGCCTCCAGTGAGGCAACAGCAGAGTATGAAGCCGGGGCAGAGGGCTCTTGAACTTGCAGAACATCTCCCCAAAACTGAGATGTCTCGTAACGCTCAGCAATAGGGAAATCGACATCTTCCAGATCGACAGCCACGGCCGCTCGAAGAGCCTTGGGCGGCGGTGCGATATCGCGCCATTCTGGACCAGTCGCCCCAGCAGCATATGCCTCCTTGATGGTGGCAAGCAGATCCGCAGCCCTGTTCTTTGTAAGAGGGGTCATGGGCGAAAGTGTCCGCAATAAGGTCCCCATATCAAGAGGCATGACTTGAGCAAGCTTGAAAAGCATATGCTTGGGAAACACGCACTGCCAGCCTTCATCCTCGGCACGAGCGACCTCGTCGCGCCACTGGTGGATGGCCTTGAAGACAGCAAATTGCTCTCTCGAGAGCACTCCCCCAGAGTTTCTGGAAAGGATATCATACCAGCCCCCAGCACCTTGGCCCTTCTCCGCATCATAGACAGGGCGTTCGTATTTTTGCAGGGCCTCGTTCTTTGAGCGCTCTTGAACGTAGTCAATAAGGCTTTCTTGTGGAGTTGATGCCTCAATAAGTGCGTTTCGCAGACAATCATAGATGAAGAGAAGATAGTGAGTATCGGATCGGGCGTAGTCGAACATGCCAGATGGAAGTGGACGAACACGCCAATCGGCCATCTGATACCGCTTGTCGGCTTCAAAGTCAACAAACTTCTTGAGCAGGTACTTCAAGCTCCTCTTAGGATATCCCAGTGCAGACGCGGCATGGAAGGTGTCGAACATGCCAACCACGTACAATCCCAGATCACGCTGCAGCCAGATGATATCCATAGTTGATCCGTGCAGTACCTTCAGAATCTTGGGATCCGCAAAGACTTCGTTGAGGATCTGAAGCTCCTCTCTCCATGGCTTTAGGGTATCGACCACCCAGTCCTTATTCCGTGTACTGATTTGCATCAAGGACACAAGACCGTGATATGAGTGTACATCATGGTGTTCCAGATCAATCGCGATCTCCTTCGCCTGCTTCAGCTCTTCAAGCATTTCCTTGACTCCTTCCAAAGTGTCAACAAAGGTCGCGGTTGTGCCCTCGAACGAGAGGTAATCGATCGGAGGGGATGTCTGGTAAACAGACTTGGGGTACTGGGCATTGCGGATCTCGGTCTCATAAGGATGCGGGTACGCATTTGAGCCATCAATTTGTCGTTGGGCCAGAGACTTTTCAAGTGGAATGGTGGCATAAGGCTTGATCTTGAGAAGAGGGTGGAAAGGGCCCAAGTCGGAGTTATCAGGCTTGTGATCGAACAACAACTGCGGCTTGGGGATTTTGGAAGGTCCATAGTCGTATGTCGTTGGGAATTTGGGCGCTTTCCTAACCACCGGAGCCTGCTCTTCCTGCGAGGGGCTCAACTTCTTGATCACACCCGTGAACTCATCCAAACAAGCATCGGCTTTCTCGAGAAGCGAGTCGATCACGTCCACCACACCACGCCAATTGTCCTCAATCGAATCTTCTGTATCGAGTGATGGCGCATTAACATCGGTTCCGGCGGTGGCAGCCTTGAGCACGGCAGTTGTCAACGCAAGAATCCGCTCGCTTTGCTCGTCAAGCGACTCTGTGAAGTCTGCACTTGAGTTACGATGAAAGTTCAGGTCCTCCGCTGACAGTTGACCAACAGTACGGGTCACCTGCACCAAAGCGGCAGTCACCTTATCCTGGAACGGGGCGAGCTCTGCAGAATCCATGGCAGGCAGAGCTAAAAGGCCGTTGTAGATGTCAACTTTAAGAGTTCTAGCTACGAAGAAAAAAAGTGGAAGCACCGAAGAGTTGCGCGCTGACCGCCTGCCGTAAATAGGTTGGCAAGTGCGGATGTTTAATTGGCCAGACTCCGTGGCTCTGCGGCGACTTTCTTCACTTGCTGAGCTTCCAACACTTCAACATATCCAACTTACAGACGATTTCACCCTGAAGCAAGTTCATAGTAACTCGTTGAACTTTTGTTTGTTTTATTGTCAAATTAAAGGTCGGCTTGTCATAATGGCTGCTTCCATCGCCCCTGAATGCAACGACATCAAAGAGTAAGTTCCAAGTCGCTCTTCCGGTTTCTACACGGCGTGGCCAGAAAAGACACAGGGAGCTGACCATGGGACCACTAGGAAATATGACACCTGCTTTTTAAAGTGGTATAGTGAGAGTCAGTCTCCGCTATTTTGATTATTGAAGTCCTGCAAGTAGCAAAGTTAGCTGACGACGAGGCAGAATATCTTCGAGGCAACACCTCGTCGAATGACTGCGAAGAGCTGTTCAAGAAGTACAAGACATGCCTGCATGTGTGTCATCCGAGAAGTACGATATTCGATTTAATACATCTGGCTAACTATGTCCTGAAATACAGAAATCACTCAAAGAGAAAGGCATCGACACGATGCTCGATGACGCTCGGAAGAGCAGCAGTGAGACTGACACTGAGTTTCTCAAAAAATCATGAGACCTGACTCCTCTCAACCGATCTGGGCTTTTTCATCTCTTCTCTATGCATTTTCTGTTGGTACTTCTCGTTTACATTTTGATGGCGAGGACATTGTTTAATATACTTGGGCGCAAGCGGCAGCGGGTACATGGGTGTATTATATACAGGCAAGCGTGATCTCTCTTCTCTGCATACCATCATAACTTAGATGCATTCAAAATGATCTCAATTCTCTTCGAAGCGTTCACATCTTGGATACCACGTCAATTGAAAACGTGAAGATATGTCCTCTAGAGAAGGTTCAAACTGTTGGAAGGTGCTTCAAAAGGCGCATATTTATTAGAAGAACCAAAAATACGATCTATAAACTAGGGTATTATTGTAAAAACTCAACATCACCGATGGCCTCGTCGACGAACATCACCCTGGCCGAAATTAGGCGGGACTTTAGGAACCGGATTACCCAAGGCCCCAATTCCTCCCACAGAGCCAGAGCTTCCACTTCCGCTCCCACCTTTCTTGGGCTGGGTTAACATTGACCATACCTCGGCCATGCCTGCACGTCGAGCTGGTAGCATGCTGTATTGCATGCTGTACAGGTTGCGGCGGTGGATGGGTGGGACAAAGCGGCCCGTCATGAGACAAAATATGACCCGGGGTGCTAGATAATGCTTGCGTAGTCGATGACCAAGTTGGAAGTATTGGTCGAACATGGCGCGGAGCGGGAGCGGGATGGACTGGAAACCAAAAATTTAGAGCGATTCTTCGTGAACATAAATTTAATGATTGGACAAACCTCGAGGTGGATGTAAGAAACAGCTGGAGAGTCTTCATCGTTGGGACCTTTCGTCAATGCGTCCCGGAGTTCAAATCGGATACCGCCGGGTAGTCGCCTCGAGTCTTTCACACGCAACATCAACGCGAACAGCGGGAAATGATTCAAAAAGGCCAGGCAAGTATCGAAACCAGCTTTCATGGAGATGATCAACATTCGAGCCGAGGCGAAGGTGAGGTAAAAGACAATCACGGTCGGGAGAAGGAAGAAAAGAACGGTAAACAAGATGGTGCCAAGCAAAAGCTGGTCGAGGTCGTAATCGCATGAGTCTATCCGGTTGCGCAAGACGTTGCGCTTCTTTCCACGAAAGAGATGGAACAGAGAAATGATGATGGTAAGTTGCCAGTTGAAGATTCTAGCAGAGGCAATGTAGAAGGAGTAGATGTGGACAGTGAGAATTGACAGAAGGTCGGAAAATAAGGCAATGGGCATGCTGGCGCCGGCGAAACTGGAGCAACCCACAATGTAAATGATATGTGGGAGGTACGGTTGCAGATTGGCGATACATGCTGCCCAATTTTCAATAACCCACAGGAACAAGTCACCAAGGAAGGCCGCAAGCTCATTGTTCAACTTCAAGCCAGCTGGCCAATCCATCAACCACGAGATGGTGCGCTGCAGGCCTTCCACAGTCCAGCCTGTCAAAACGGTATTGATTTGGGATGCTACCCAGTTTGCATTGTCGATGATATAGGACCCAAGAGCAATGCCAATGATCACGTCATTAGCGACGAGCCACAAGCTGTTGTAGAATCGAATATAATCCGGGTGACTGGTTATTACACTCTCCCAATTGTCTTTTCGTTGCCGAAGTTTGACGTACTGAATAGGCCAGTAACAGAATTGCTGCAAGCGTATATCCACTTGCTGGGCAGTCGCAGAGATATCTTTGAGAGCAGCAGCGTCCGGTCGAGCTCGCCATTCAAGAATCTGCAAGACAATTTCGGCGACGGATCGATGGCCCACAAGCCCTATGACAAAGACTCTGGTGATGATGGGCCAGATCCATTGCCAAAAGACATGAGCTAGGCAGAGGACGATGAAGCCCCACAACGTCGTGGCAGATTCCACCACGCGCTCTCCAACACTCATACTCCGCTTAGCACGAATACCGATGAGATGAGTATTCTTATGCATCAGCTGCGCCATTTCGTATGCGCAGTTGACTTGGTTGATGATCAGCGGAAGTGCCTGTTCCTTCTGTGACGGCGCATGCTTGACAACCGTATGAAACTTGAGTTTCTCAACCAGCACTCGAGCTCGCGTTTTTTCCCTCTCCTCTCCCGACTCAATCTTATCCGTTACTTGGCTGAACTTTTCTGACGCAGCTACCTTGTCACCCAATGCCAGCGAGATGGGATTTAACGACATGTACTCCATGCGGGTCGGGTGCGGACGATCATACATAATGACCTGAACCGATAGATTCGTCCCGGGAGGGCAGTATATTTGTGGAACCTTGGAGGTAGATTGCGAGTTCACGTATAGATGGGAGGGATTGAACAAGGTCGGAGGAGACTGCGGATTCGTCGAACCGAGGACGTGCATCTGAGATCGGCCGCACAAGGTAAAGATGCGAACAATCGGATGTGGACTATTCCGAAAGAGAATACCGGCGCGGAGCGCGTTGTCAACATTGCGCGGCTATTCCGTGGACACAGCACAGTCAGTATGCCGTTACGCAATGCCATATATCCCTCCACCGATAAACGACTCACCTCGACATCTTCCAACACCGTGAGCACGAAGAGATCTAGCTCCGAGTTGCGCCATCCGACAATCACTCCCGGCGACGAGGATCGCGGGAGATCATATGGCCAGAATACCCGCAAGAGCCTATCGCTCATGAGCATATTGTCATCCTTCGCTGGACCCTTAGAACGAGCCTCGGCGGCGCAACTGTTCTCGCGCGGAGACACCGAGATGTACGTGGCGCGGGTGCTAATAAAGCAGTGGATGCATTAGCATACCTGTTGACAATAAAAGACCTTCCAATATTGCAGGCCCACCTCGAGCGCTTCGGATTGAGCTTACCAGATTCCTTTCTCTTGAAGCCAGGTGATTTATTGGCAGGACCAGGAGGAAGAAAAAGACGGAGAGAAACAGGAATCCCTTCAAAGTTCTTGTCTATAGCCAGCCACAGCAAGGACGAGAGTCAGCAAAAAGTCCACAGTCCCGCGCATCGGAGTCCCCAGTGGGAGACGGAGGGAGGGGTGTCCTCTCCGAACCACCAACAACAAAACATACCACAACACCGTGGTCCCACGCAAAGATGGCTAATTCGTATAGGCGGGTTACAAGGTCCCACCGAGCGGTGATGTAGCCCGCGACAAAGATCCCTAGGGTGAGGATGGAAAAGGGGTGCATGAATCAGGGTGGTTCAAGCGGTCCGCGGTTTAGTTGGCGCGCATAGCTGGAGAGGCGAAGATTGAGAGATGGGCTTTTCTGCCAGGACAGACGGTTTGAGGGGAGGTCACAACGATGGTACTGAGGAGGATGAGGGTCTTGGAGGAATCATGAACGAGTGAATGAAGAATAACAGACAAGCTTTTGGACAATCCGCCCGCTTTGGTTACTCCGAGGCGCGTTGGCGTCTAGGCCGGCAGGGTTGACCCACGTGACTGTCCCTGATCTACAGCGAGTTTGCTGCCAGGAAATATTTAGCGATCACGGAGTTATTTTGTATCAATTGATCGAGACAGGTTGATATAAGACTATTGTACCCGAAAACTATTTTAACACAGGTCCTGGTCAGATCCATTTCTCTTGAAACCCCCAATCCCAGACACCAGACTCCTGACAAACCCTGGATCTTCGTCCATTACTCGCATCCCTAAAGAGCTTTGATACCCTGGAACACCTTGTTCGCCTGTAACTTCTCATCTCCTTTGACAAGATCGCGCATTATCTGGCGCTTCTGCTCAGACGAGAGGTCTTTACCTTCAATCTCAGCCTTCCACTTCAACAGCATCTCCTTGAGAAGGACGCTGCCTTCCTCCACCTCCTCTTGTGAGTACTTATCCAATGAGGGAGTAGGCTGCTGTTTTTCCGCAGTCTCGGCAGTTGAGAAGTCCTCCAATTCCTCCGCCTTTTGGCGGGCCATGTTGACAACCTTGTCGGGGAATCGGACGAGCTCGGCAACGTGGATACCAAAAGATTGATCGCAGATACCCGGTTCCACGCGGTACAGCAACGTTACTTGTTGCTTCTTCTTTTCCGCGCCGTCGTCAGCGTCGCCTTCGGCTCCGTCGCCAATGAATGCCACGACGTGTAGGTTCTTCACGGCCTTTTGATACCGATCCGCCAACGCAGTCAACTCGTGGAAATGAGTCGCGAAGAGACCGAAGCAACGAATCTCGGTAACGATGTGCTCCGAAATCGCCCAGGCAAGACCAAATCCATCGTAGGTACTAGTTCCACGACCAAGCTCGTCGATGATAATCAAAGATTCTGAGGTGGCAGACTTGAGAATGTTGGCTGTCTCGAGCATCTCTGCCATGAATGTGGAGACACCTTTGAGCTGCGAGTCACTAGCACCGACTCGGGCAAGGATGCAGTCGAAGATTGTCAGCTCTGCTTCAGTGCAAGGTACGAAGCAACCGATCTGGGCCATGAGTGCAATGACACCGATTTGCCGGATGTATGTAGATTTACCGCCCATGTTGGGACCAGTAATAATGAGGAAGGATGATTCGTCGCGAATCAAAGAGACATCGTTGGTGATGAAGGAGATGTCGTCTTGCATTTCCATGCATGGATGACGGGCTTCCCTGAGCACAGTGTTACCGGTCCCTCGAGGATGCATCTTGGGCCGAACGTATCCCGCTGGCGCATGGACTGCAGCATGTGCAAAGCTCACAATAACATCGAGGTGTGCCAGAACACCGGCAAGCTGTTCCAAGACGGGACAGTAGGAGGCAGCAACGTTCACAACTTCATTAACGAGACCAGTTTGGGTTCGGTTGTAGTTGGATGATAATTGGTCGTGCTCCCGACGGAGAGATTGCATCGTAGAGGTGGTGAAGTACACGCCGTTCTTCTGCGTCGAGCACTCTTGGTATCCCTTCTTATTGCGAATGCAACCCGCTTCCGTGCGAGTCAGACGGAAGCACCAACCATGTACACGGTGGTTCTCCATGAAGAGCTTCTTCTCCATATCCTGGTTCAGATCCTTTGCAACCCGGCGGTGCTCCATGTCCATATCATACCGAACCTTGTCCAGCTTCTTGCGAATAACTCGGAGGCCCTCATCAAATTCCGGCTTGATGATAAACTCGTGGTTCTCGAGCGCAGCGAGGTCAACTGTAGTCTCCACCATCTCCTCCAGCCTTGCCAGGCCGTCCGAGTGACCCCGCAGCTTAGACGTATACTCCTTATCCAACGGTACTTGATATTGCTCATCCATGACATCTTCCAGGGCCCTGACAAATCCAGGAAGCCGGATAGCCACCTGATATACGCGAACAACGTCCTCCAAATTAGCCTGTTTCCGCTGGAAACGTTTAGCAAGACGGTAGAGATCGGGAATAGCACGCAGATGCTCCTCCTGCATCGTCTGACGCAGCTCCGTGTTGACCACAAACGCCTCCACCAGCTGCTGCCGCTGCTCAATGGCGGCAAGATCCATCAGCGGCTGTTTCAACCACTGCGACAGCAACCGACTTCCCACGGGCGTCTTGCAATGATTCAATAAACCAAACAGACTCATACTCTTCGATCCGTCCCGCGGACCAGGCATGAGATTCAAAGCACGCAGCGCAGACGCATCCAGCTTCATGTACTGCGACAAATCATGCTGATAAAGCTGGTACTGGCCGGAATTAGTCGGGTCCGTCATCACGCCAAGGTACTTGATCAACGCAGACGCAGATCCCATAGCAAGCTTCAGTTCCGTCTGCGGCAGGGTACCCGCGGACCGTTCATCACGCAGCAACCGCGTGAGATCTTGCTCGATATCGCGCAGGCCGTAATCTGCGGCCGGCCGCTCGGAGATCGCAATGCCACAGCTATCCGCAATAGCACGAATCTTGGCCAGTTCAACATCCTTCCCGGCCGAATCCATCACAACCAAACACTCCTTCACGCCGAGCTGGATGACCAAAGACTCGAAGTTGGAGTAGATATCGTTATCGAGGAACTCGCTCACGCCGAGCTCGCGTACGCTCGCATCTGCAAAACACACGCCGACGTTCCTAGCCTCCGACGCTCGCGCAGAGATCTTCACGGCTAGAATGATAGGCGCTGAATCCATCGACATGGCACCCACGCTGCCGAGCTCATCTTCCACGTCCTGCAGGTTACCGGGACTAGCTTGCTTGCCCAACTTCCAGTTTCCCTTGCCGGTACCGCCAGACACCCAGATCTCGACGCGCTTGTTGAGGCGGAAGAGTGCTTCGCGGAGGAAATTACGGAATACAGTCACGCTCATGGTGACGGAGGGTAGTCCGTTGGTCTCGCTGCGACCGAGGTTCCGGAGGACGGAGGTGGTTTTGTAGACGGTGCGAGCGATGAATTCGGCATCGGCGCCGTGTGAGGAGTACCAGTCGCCTCGATCGAAGACACGGATGGTCTCATTGTTGTCTGCTTCGGGGAGGGAGCGGTAGAAGCGGATGAAACCGACTTCGTCGTCGACCTGGCCGGGTTGGGAACATTGATTAGCAATGTCTTTTTGGTGGAAATTTGGGCAGTGAAAATTGAAGTAGACAGTACCTTCAAATCTGGTCGAGATGACATCTTGCCGGTGATTCTGCAACTAATTGCCGCAGTATTCTGAAAGTCACCGAGCTTGATGGTGTTCTGACACTTGGGGCTGGCCTCGAGACGCGTTTTGGGAGGACGCGGTCACGTGAAACGCGTCGCGCGTTAAGTGCTCAACCTATCTACTGTAGTCTATAGCCTCGCCAAAGGACTACGGAGTACAGTACATACTGATGTTATTAAGCTAAACGTGGAGGGAAGGAAACCAGTCCTGTGATGAGTGTAATTAAGATTTATTGTTGAGGTAATGGGTATGATGGTAAGATGTATGGTAACAGACAAAATGTCCACAAAAGTACAGGGTATCAGAACAACGCTTCAATGCAAGGTCGCGAGCAAGACCGGCTCGACGGATGCGATGTATACAACACAAATCAAAACACAATCCACCATGAATCGTTCAAATCTTCAACATGGGAGTCGACGCGCAAGCCAGGGGCTTCTCCCACTCGGCCTTCAATAGAGCCACCTTGGCTCCAAGTTCGTTGGCCTCAATATCCTTGCAGGATTTGAGGACGACAGAACGAATATCTTTCACAGTAACCATTGTTACCCAGTGACCGGCCACACGGGGATCTGCCAGGATCTCAAGGCACGCTTCGACTTCGTCCCGAGGGATGGGAATCCGGACAGAATCACGAACATGCTCGACCATCGTCTCCAACTTGAAGGGCTTGCGCTGGCTAGCGAACATGGCCTTGATACCAGTGCCCACATAGGCAGCTGGACGCAAAAGTGCAAGAATCCCGACAATTTCCTCCACGCGATCGGCGGCCGATCGAAGAATCATCTCCTTCTTGGTTGGTGGCGGTGGCAGCTTGGACTGGCGCAGCTCCTTATTCTTAATGCGATCCAGGAGACTCTGTCGACGATTGATCGCAGGAGCCAGGGGCTTGGCCTCTCCAATCTCTCCCTCTGCACGCAATTTCTCGGTCTTCATCCGGATGACGCCAGACCTCAAATCTTGCAGTCGCTGCTGGCCCTTCTTGAACGCAGTAAAGGGCGTGAGCGATTCGTGAATAGGCACGAGACCGAGGGACTCGAGGAAGAGAGATGGACGATCCTCCTCCTTGGCAATCTCGAGAGAGGGTTCTGTCTGTTCCCACAGCAAATCCAAGGCCTGTTCGAGTGCATCCTGCAGGGCAGCGGGCTGTTCATCCACCAGCACGGTTCGTTCGACGCACACCTTTCCCAGGCCGTAATTTGCCAGACGATAGGAGACATCCTTGGCCTTCAAGCTATGATCCCATACCCACAAGAGACGTTGGAGATCTTTCGGCTGCACCTTGCGCTTCTTCCAAATTCTGGTCACGTTGGGAAGGAACTCGCGGAGATCAGCGGGGGAAATGGGGCCATTGTGAGCCATGTGAATAGAGAAAGCCTGGACGAAAGCAGAGTGAAGGCTCAAGAAATCGTTTACGCAGGGTGCGCGCGGTGCAAGTTTGGGCTCTGGGATGACCTTCTCAAAGTGGAGGGTGCGTTGTTTCGAAGGGGTGTCGGGAACCTCGGGGATGTTGGCGACGGTCGACACGCGAGTGCGACGGCTCGGGGTCCGCTTTGGCGAAGCATAGTGACCACTTCGTGGAGAGGAAACCGACAATTGGCTGATTTTCAAAGTCTTGGAAGGCGTATTGGCCTCCTCGTCCAGCGATTGCCGACCGGCACCGTCCACATTCTCGAGCTCCTGCAATTTCCTTTTCTTCGACGGGGAAACGGGCAGAGATGCAGTTTTCTTCGCAGGCAGCGACGGTGAGATACCGGCCTTGGTTGCCCGGCCAAAGCTCTGAATGGCGGGTTGACTTTGGAGCAGGGCGCTCTGTCTGGCGGTACGCGGCATCGCGACTGCAAAATTTGCCTTTTCGGCGGGAGCGGATCCAAGGGGGGGGGAAGTTCAGGGAGTCGCAACCGATAAATGCAGCTGGAAATATAATCAGAGTAAGAGATACCGAGTATTAGAGGGTTAAAATGGGTGGTAAGAGGCGGAAAGTGAGATGTTGGAGAGCAGGGAAGGGAGGAGTGGTGCAGTGATTAAGGAGCAGGTAGCACTTAGCACTGAAAAGGAAAACAGGACGCGAAAAAGGCTCGACGCGTCGCGTGGGGGACGTTAGTCCGTTTCGGGTTTAATCACGCGTTGGAGGAGTTTCACGATCAGTTTCAGTAATAATAGCACCGCGAGATAACGAGAGTCTGTTTGCAACAAGCACTAGTTTTGGAACAAAATAGAATCGATGGTTCTGGAGCACCATTTAAGTAACAAAAAAAAACTTTCGGATGGGCGAGATGATCAGTAGACTGGGGTTGGCATCCTCGTCACTATGGTAATTGTTCGGCATGGGAATGCTGCGTCGGGACTCTCGGGAGTATGAGCTGCAGAACAAATAATACTCCGCAATATGCAGGCAAGATTACCTACAGCAGACGAGAGATTGCAATGGATTGAATTGTCAGTACTCAACCATGAATCGATTTAGAACATAGGACTTCAACAACTTTGATGAACATAAAAGAAATGAAACTACTAAAGGTTCTGAATTACAACAACCCCCAAACAGGGCACTCGACAACAGCATCGGTAAATGAATAATATCATTTGTCTCATAATTGAATTCCTAGCCTCAACTGCCCACGCAGTCCACCGACCTTAAGTAGTCCATCTTGATCACATATCACATCCCCCGTTAATTCAACCCCAAGTAGAGTCCCATTCATCATCACCTATTTTTTACCACCACCAAACCACCCGGAGACAGTACTCTTAGCCTCGGCCGCTTTCTCCTCCACCGTACGATCAACATTGTCCACGGTGGCATTGAACTGATCTCGCGCCTCCTTGCGGTACCCTTCGAGCTGCTTCTTGCCCTCTTCCAGATGCTTCTTACCGTCTTCCAAGTGCTGTTTGCCATTGTCGATGAGGGCGGGGATGCGCTCGTCCAATTTGGCCTTGGAGCGGGCATTGTCAATCTGGAAAAGAATGAGTTAGACAAGAGTTTCGCTGGTGTTCGAGTTCAAGTCATGAGATCGGAAGATATGGGTTGGGATAGATGGAGGCGGTGGCCACTGTGGCCAGGCCAGGCCAATACAGCGCAAGCAAGCGGGCATTCGAGCATTCGAATAAAGAAACAAGGGGGAAAAAAGGAAAAAGAGAGCCATACAGCTTCATCAATATTAGAACCAGCCTCCTTGCCAACGCTCTCGCCGAATTTCTCTGCGCTCGAACCGCGGGGCAACTTCTCGCGCGCCTTGTCGGCATCAACTGCGTGTAAAAAAGAAACAAGTCAACACTCTCATCTCTTCAAATATACGATAATACCAGGAAATGGCTTGAGAGCGATCCTCTTGCAGGGCTCAAAAACATACTCTTCATCTCCTGCTTCGCACCCTTGACATCTCCGCCCGCGCGATACAGGTAGTATCCGCCCGCGCCGGCCGCGGCGAGACCCAAGTACAGACCGGTTCGGTTCTTGGACATGATGATGTCTTGTGTAGGTTTGTGGGCGCTAGAAGTCGTGGATGCTACAGCGTCCAAGTACGGGGTATTCTGGAATGGCTTCAGTGAATGGAGAGCTGTTTTGCTGGGAGGGTGTTATTTCAGGAGGCGAGGAGAAGGTTTGGGAGAGCTTTCGAGGAGGTGTTCAGGTTCAGAACTGGGCGGGTTGCCTGTCACTGGACTATGACGTCTGTTCGGGTTGGCAAACTTCGGCGCTGCAGGTGTGCGGCCAGACCGACCTCTGGGTTTCTTGCCATTGGCGTTACATTTGATAGTGCGCCTTTTAAGGATGGTTTGTGGTTTTAGGTGTTGTGTGCATAGAGTGCGAGTTCATGTATTTCATTGTATACGCGAAGGAAAGCTTGTATACTACATATCAGCTTTTTATGTAACTGGTCTATTTCCTTTATCCTTTGCATTCCTGTCTTCCCCTTCTCGCCAGCTATGGTATCTTTTTGAGGGGTCATCTCATTAGCTCGGCGCTAGGCGGGTCCACTTCAATGCACCCGAACGACGTCACCAACAAGTCATTGCCGCATGTGGTTCCGTTGCTGAAGAGTACATTATTTCGGAGCTTACCTGCCATGGTTGCCCCGACTTGTGAAGGGGGAGACACTCGATCGTGTACTTGGTAGTCCCAAGCATATCAAAACTAGAATATTTCAACCAGCTCAGCCAATTCACTGGTGAGCTAAAGGCAAGAGACAGGAGCCGCTTTGCTGCGGGGTAAGGTCAAGCTGAGAGCTCAGGCCGCACTATGTTATACCACGCGAGTACGGAGTACTACGCCTACTCTCCTTTTTTAATGTCGAATTACAACTTGATTCTAGTCTTCTCTACTGTACTATTCTGCTGCAGCTTCTAGAGGAAGAACATGGACTGTGTTTGTTCAAAATTGGCATTTGCAGTCATATCGAGGTCAAAACCTAACATCATAACGATCCTAACAACGGCCGTAGACGACATAAAAAAACATTGACAGGATGAATTCTCACCACAGGAAAAAAAAAAGTTGAGTATAATAAGACAAAAGCAGAAACTATATGAGACCCCACCACACAAAACAGATTGCAAGAACAGCATCGGGGAAATCGTGGGAAACGGGAGTGGGACAGAGTGAGGGGATGGAAGATCGGAGGAGTGGATGTTGGTGAGTAGTGCTTGAAATGATCAAAGCTACGCCACGACCAGAAGAGAAGAGGGAGGATGGATTGAGAGGAGGGGGGAATGGGATGGATGGAGAACAAGACACCAAACCAAATTGATCGAGGCGGGTATCGCATGCACACACGATGCCATCCATACGCTCCTGCTCGAAACGCCAGGAGATGCAGCACAGAAACCGCGGCCACTCTGAAAAGACCAGACACGAGACTCCTGAACAGGAAAAGAGAACGCAGAACAGATCAGATTCAGATAGAAAAGAGAGAGAATGTTCCGGTTTCATGTATAAAATCATCACGGTCGTTAGTTCGTCAAGGGTGAGCGGGCCTCGAGGAGAGGCCAGCCCGATTTTCCCCGATGGTAAGTGGAAAGATTGTCTCACAATGGATGAGTATTGGGTTTGGGAACGATTGTTGAGTAGTGTCATGTCGAAGTAGAATGAGGATCCGCGGATCCGGTAGAGGACGTCACTCTCGTAGAGAGAAAGAGAGACGAAAAAGGTTGTAGGTATTATAGGCGAATACATATCGATCTCTCGGTATGTCGGGTATCAATTTTACAAGAACAATCTGGTGGCACCTTTGTTCTCACTCGTTGCGACGGCAACCAAGGCCTCGAGTCGGCCCATACCGTTATCTCGTGCAGACGAGTCTGAAAAGACGTCGGGTCGGGGCTCTCGCTCGGCGTGACCCGGGTAGCCGTCGGCGTGAGCGGCCTGTCGCCCACAGATCTATGACGGCATTAGTATCCGGGCCGCGTGCCGTCCGTTCGAAGGAGAGGGTCCTACCGGTTGAGGGTGATCGGATGGTAACGACGAGTCGTGCGCTTCAATATATCCGCTGCTATGCACAATGGCTGGGTGGTACTCGACCGAGGCCGTGGATGGAGTGTGGACCCCCTCGCTGCTGCTGGAGTCTTCGGGAGATGTCTGTGCCGGGCGACTGCTCGTTGACAGATTGGATGTGTGACCCCGGTGCTCTTCTGGACTGCGCTCCGCTGTAGGCGGGAATGTTGGCTGATACGAGGACGAAGGCCGGGAAGACACGTTCTGGAGCTCGGCAATGGTCTGCTGACTCCACGAGCTAGCATCTCGAGATGCTCGTCGGTCTCGAATATCAAGTCCAGTGAGATTGTGGTGCAAGGACATGTCCCACGATACATGACCGCGGCGGTGGCCAGGGCCGGAGATTGGAGGTGCTGGGCGCACTGACGGAGCCCCGTAGTTGTAGCCAGAGGCAAAGCTATGGGTTGGAGGAGGTGGAGGAGGTCGGTGCTGGCTGTCAATCTGCATCGGGCTCGCCTTGCGGGTAGGCGGAGTCAGAGGTCGGTGCTGAGACACGACTTTGTCGAAGCTCTCGATTCCGGGTAGCCGAGGCGGTTGCTCTGCCGAATTGGCTCCTCCCAGAGGTGGTCCCTGGACAGTATCGGGTGTGTGATACTGGCTCAAACCGCTAGTAGATGGCCGGCTAAAGACGGGGTATGTCGAGGGATGCCATGTTCGCCTTCGCATTTCGGCCTCGGCGGGGCTGAGGGTACTCTCATCCCGAGATGCAGGGTAGTTTGTACTAGTTGGGCTCGCAAAGACACCGGCGGCATTCGGATAGGGAGGGGCGGCGGGCGAGCCATATGGTGGGGGATATGCACCGCCAGGCTGTGCGAGAAATGGGTTGCTACTGGTAGGTACGGACAGTCGGCGAGCGGCGGTCTTGCCCTCCCAGAAGCGATGCGTGGCGGAGGCCATGGGGGATGTATATTGGGGGCTGGCAGTCGGGCCACCAGCGTAAACGTTGGACGGCGTGTAAGGCGACCCGCCCGCTGAGAGACCAGGAATACCACGAATCTGGCCTGGAGGTGTGCTCGGGGGCTCTCCCATCGGATCCAGTCCTAAGCGTGCGCGGCTGGTGGGATCGTTGGCCATGATCAGCGGCGGGGGTCGTCGCCGAAGCTCTGGAGGTTGACTAAAGGTGGACGTCGTAGATGCGATACTGGAAGTCGACAAATTCCTGCTATGACCACGGCTGTGAGCACCCTGACTACCTCCCGTCCCAGCGCGAGCCCGGCCAGTCGGGCGCACTCGATCCGTCCGCACCTGGCGTTGGAACCGAGTGCCTGTGGCCGCCAATGAATCTCCCGGAATCTCCTCATTGACATGTACCGTCTGGGCATGTTGTCGTAAATTATCCAGTCGCGAGAATCGTCGGGAACAGTGACATTGAAAGGGCCGCTCGCCGGTATGCTTTCGAATATGTCGCGCCAGGTGCTCGCTGCGTGTGAAGCTCAGGTTGCAAGGTGGGAAATCGGTGCAGAAAAACCGTTGTCCCTTCTTCTTTTTCGACGGGGGTGCGCCGCCCGGTTCGGGCTCTTGGTCGGATCCATCACGTTCTCCATCCGAGTCGACATTCATCGCATCATCTGATATGGTCGAGGCCGTTCGAGAATGTCCGGACACTGTTGCCTGCGTAGGATCATCTCCTCGACTTGACTTTGCAGCGGTATCGGGGTGTTGGTCCGCGGGGGAGGATCGATCTGAGGAGGCCGACACGCCGTTGGGGTTCGCACGGGGGGTGGTCGCACCGTCCATGGCGTGGTCATCGGTCGCGGCCGAGGTGTTGACGGGAAGAAAAGAGGCCATGGAGGAGGCGACGTAATTTTGGTGGAGGCGGGTGATGTCAAGGGTTGATCGCTTCGGAGACAGGGAAAGGACAGAGGCGATAACCGCGGTCGCAAAGCCGGCGACCCTAACCCACGTCACTAGGACCCCGGAATTCCAGCGGGGAGGAGTTTATCTTCGATCGTAAAGAGCCGCAGCGCTACACCGAAGCAGGAGGGCAGAGAGGCAAGACGCGGAGTCGGAGGGCAACGCTCACTGTAAACATTTGCGCAATAAATTTTGGTTTAGTCAGGGCCACTACAAAGATGAAAAGAATATTTGCCAGGTAGAGAGAGAGAAAAAAAAAAAGGCAGGGAGAGAAAGTAGGAAGGTGAATCCAAAAGAGGCGGAAGAATTTCGACACGTACGATTTGGTAAGAGGTTGTGGCGCCCGGTATCCGACCACAGCTCGCTCGCTCTCTCTGGATCTCACGATCTCACGAGGAGGGGAAAGGCGAGGAGGGGAAGATGGCGGCAAAGACGAAGCGAAGGGTGGTGGGGGGAGGAGGAGGAGGAGGAGGAGGGATGGAGGGTCGGAGATTGGAATGCACAACCGGATTTCGTCGAAACGACGCAAGGAGTTGTGCAGGGGAAATATGAGAAAGGAGAGGAGGGAAGAAAGGGAAGGATAGTTAGCCGATCGCGAGCATCTCTCAAGAAGAGGCAGACGAGACAACCTGGGATCGGCCGGGAGGAGAGGGCTGGGGGGGGTGGGTGTTGGTGGAGAATCGGAGAGCAGATGTTTCAGGTTTGTGCCTGGGCTGCCAAGCACGAGAGGGGGGATTGGGAGAGGAGAACCGATCTGATGTATAGAAGATAGAAACGAGGCTCGAGGACCGAGAGGATGGATTATAGTTAGAAGATGATCGGTGATCGGTGATCAAGATGATAGATGATAGATGATAGATGATAGAAACGTGATCCAAGAGAAAGTAAAAGATATCCGACCAGCCAGGGTCAGTGTGGATCCTCAGGACGAAAATGGGGAGATATAGATATGATGACGATGACGATATATAGAATGGAGTATATTGGACGAATAAGCAGGAAGGAGGGGTAGTATAGATGAGGATGACACCGAGGGATCGTCTGCCAAAGGGACAGGGGAAAGGGGTAGAAAAAGAAAAAGAAGAAACGAAAAGTATAGCAGGAGGGCAGCGGATCGATAAAAAAAGACTCGAACGGCCAGTAGACGAGGAACATCCCAAGAAGACCAGTGGTGACGACGAGAAGGCGGCTTATCGGAAGCGAGGGGCAAAAGGACCGACCACCTTCACGGCCAAGTGACGAGGTTCCTCTCGGACAGGAGGATTCTTCCTCTGAGAACGAGTCCCTCTGCTTACGCTTCCAGTAGCTTGGGGCCTTTCCGGGCCTACCGATGCAAATCATCGTTTCACCAGATGACTTGGACGACTGTCCGCTCTGCAACTATAACCGTTCGTGCCAGGGCCCCCATCTCGCTCATTCTATGATTCTAGACTCCAGGTCCCTCTCAGCTCATAAATATGGTCCCAATCCATCGATCCTGGGACGAAGCCCCCTCTCGCATTCTCCGTTCTACCCATCCATCTTGATCTCCCAGGAACGCTAGGCCAAGAGCGGCACCGAGCACTGGACCCAAACGAATCTCGACTCAAGGTGCAAAAAGGTAAAAGGCACCAGGGCCCAGGCACCAGATAGCCGCCCTCGAATTCCAAGTAGATGATTCATAGGGCTCCAGTTTTGCACCCGCTCAACCAGTCACCAGGGTCCGTTGTCTGGTCATGGAGTTTCTCGGTCCCACGGTTACCAAAGGCCCAACCCATTCCCCAAGCTCCCAACCAGGCTGAACCAGTGGTGACTCTGGTGAAGGGTACTCGGCTGAGTCTTTGACGTTCACCATCCCAGAGGACCCTGGCAGGAAGCCGGCAAGGCTGTCGGGCAGTTTGATACGGGGCAGATCGGTCGAGACCGTTTGCCTGGATTTCCCCACTTCCACTTGACAAGGACTCTTGAGATCACGAGTAGTGACGAGTGACTGGTTCGCGGCTTTTCCTTTTGCTTTTTTTTTCTCCCTGCCATGCGACCCCCTTGCATTTGACGGCGTGGGAGTGGATGTATCATATATCTCCATCTCGTGTCTCATCGAGGGGGGTGGAGGGGACACACGAAAATCAGCACCTTCATACTACCAAAAAACGACGGATAACTGTCCCTGGAAGATGAACCTGGAAAGAACATGATGTGCTGGAGAAACGCAAAATGAGAAAATTCAGGTCATCCTCCAGTTCCAGTGCCTCCGTCATCCTCTCCAGTCGTCGTTCTGGGCAGACTTTTGGGATGGTTACGCGGTAGGGGGTCGATTCCGAATGGTCCGCCATGATACGAAGAGAGAAAAATCTCCGCTCTTCCTCCCCCCTGGTCAAGCACTGACAGCACAAGTGACAAGCCAAGTCAGTGCCGAATTGTGTAAGACTCCGTAGTCAGTGCTGGCTCTTGTACGCCAGTAATGCCGGTTGGCTTGAGCCCGTTCGGCATGCGGCGGGAGGTATACGATCTAGCATGGACCCCAGCCAGAGGTTGATGTATACTTTTGAATACTTTGTATTCGGTACATGATAGTACGGGAACCTGAAGTATACGGTGGAAAGTGCCAGAGGAGACAGAGCTTTGTTCTCTCATTGGTCTAGAGGTGTATCATTCTATATAGCCGATAAGATATCTATACTCTGACGGGCATCACAGAATCTGATCCGCAAGAACATGTACTATGTCCTGATCCTCCCGGTATACTTGCTAATCAGGAGAGGATGAACGTTTAGATAGCTAATTTATTATTGTCTAGCGTCTAGCTTCATCAAATACTCTATTTCATATTCGCCTCCCAGCAAAGTTCCCTCCATTTCTTCTCCTCTTTCCCCGCGTTCAACGCAAAAGGCAAAAAGAACTCCCCCCAATTCCAACGTACACTATTTCCACTTAAAAACCCCTCCATCCCATCCCATAAACCTTCAGGGCCCGGTGCCCACCGACTCGCCCGTTAAGCGGATCTCCGTGCCTGCGTCTGAGCTTCTCGCCTCCCCCACTCCACTTGACACTATTCCACAAGGAATACACTTTGCCCCCCCCCCCCAACCACCAACCACCAACCACCAACCACTAATCCCGTCCGGCCCCCTCCTCTGTCCCTCGGTTTCTTTTCCCCGCTCTGGCAGTCTCGACTGGGGTCTGCGACTCTGCAAACGGCAAGACTGGCGGGTTATCGGCGAGATCATGATATCGATGATCGGCGGGCGGAGTTGCCAAGAGAGCGGGGAGAGGCTATGACGATGGCTGTATTCTGGCGTCCACGGTACACGGGGACTTTAAAACGCTCTCTTCTTGCTCAAGTTGAACTCTGTTAATGGTCTTTCTGGTCTGCGGATATCGTTGCCCCGGCACCGTTATTTTGTTCCAGCTGAAATTTGCGAGATAAGTATGGTAAGTGCCATTTAACTCGATCGCTATGAGTTTTCGTGACGCCACTCGCGAAGTAAATGATGTGCTCCATTTCTTCCAGGGCAGTTGGCAATTAATGTGCATCCGTCAATATCGAGCTAGCATTTACAAATCGTGCCGCTAGATTCGAGTGGAATGTTTCATCTTTACATCTCTTTCTCTCTAGAACCTTCATCCAGCCCGCTGGAATTGTCCGGCGGACGTGCGACTCGGCCCTGACTTGGTGGCTGATATCTCCGGGCCGCTGATCGACCTCTGCCCCTCTTTAATTCCTGATCCTTTACCCACTACCCACTAGGATAAGGGTAAGTCGCGACTGACTTAGTACTACAGTACTTCACATCCATCCATTCTACAGTAGAAGGCTGGAAGAGAGGCGGGGCAACACGTCGGATGGAGATTATGACTTGACCATTGAGCTTCGCCGTTACGGTGGAGCAAGGAGATCCTCACTGCGCGTCCTCCTTGTGACAACCGTTGATTGGGGAGGATCTGTAAATAGTATACGTAAGGCGGGACGGTCTGTAAGGGCCCGGTACCTGATGATACATACTCTGCACTTCGTGCACTTACTCCACAATATACTATGCGGTGGGTTCAAAGTGTCCTCACGTACACCATACCATCCTCCGTGTCTACCCCTCCAAGTTACACATCAAGTATAAAGTACTTTGTAGATAACCCCCCCATCTGCACGCCACCGCAGGGGGCAACTCCGCGAGGCACCAAGAGCCCAGTGAGCGACTCCAAGTAGCGCCAGGTACCTGCAGGGCTTATCGATAACTGGGTCCTTCGATCAGCCTGAATCATGGCTGGATCGGCGGGGGAAATCGTATCTCCGCTGACGTCGTCGACTCAGCCGTCCTCTCTAACTGGCTGTACATAGTTTGACTCATACTACTGTAGACGATGGCGCGCTAAGGGACCCCCCTGGGAATGTGGCCTACACAAATCACATACTTCATTCCGACTTCATATTTATAACAGGTAGGGTAGTTAATATGGTATTAGCCAATATATCCTCCGAACTGGATTATTCTCACGACGTCCCCCCCAACATCCATCTCGGATGAACGAACCCGAATACGTTCCATCTTCTTGGCCTCTTCTTTCTTGAAAATTGTCGCTAGTTTTTACTACTTCTCTCTCGTTTCGAGCGCCGTGTTTCGCATTTCGCCCCAAACTCCACCCATGAACTACAATACAGTCATCGCCTTTGAAGCGGTCAAGCCAGTAGCCTACCACTTTCCCCTTCTCACTTTCGCCGCACAGAGGCACAGATGACAGGTCCGACCATCTTTGTAAATGGATTCGTGCCACGAGGCCAATCACACGCGCTCTGCATGCTCTCCCAGGAGGATCCATGTACCTGAGGGGAGCGGGCGTCGTATGAAAGAAGGCGTGCCTGGAGGCCCCGGCCACGTATGTCCTCACCTCATCGTACAGAAACATTTGAGGAGGAGGAGTCGTTCAGCTGGGTCAAAGATGACGAAATACAGCGGGTCTAACGAATGGGATTGTAGTTTTGTATTTTCTAGATTGTCAGCTTTGGTGTTGTTCTCTTGTGGTCGGTGTGTTGTGTGTAGGGGTACGTTGGATACATGTCGACTACACAGGTAAGGAAGGATGTTGGGTCCAAGATACCTATTTATAGTTGGTAAAGATGAGGCTACTCGGGCCATCGCCGACCGCACTGCTCTTACTGGGAAGACACATGACAATTCAACATCGATGTAGTTTTGTAGCCAACTGTAAACAACCCAAAAATCGCCAAAATAATAATCAAGATTTACTCATAAATCGATAAATCGATAAACCATGTATATCAACAATACCCAGATACATACTCACCCTCCTCCACAAACCCAATTATAACCATATCAAGGCACATGCATACAACAATCCAACGCACATGTGATCTCAGAACGGCCGAACAAGGGCCCAATCCGCAACACAGAAAAGCTCACCACTTAAACCACTACAACCACAAACCTCTTCCCTTACCTTGACCCCCTTTCACCCATCCACCTTTTCACGGGAGCCTAGCCCTGTACGCCTCAAAGCAAGGCAAGGCAACCCGAATGCCCATCTACCAGTACCTGACCAGCCACCTTAGCAACAACAACGCACCACCACCACCACCGTGCGGGAGTCATCTGACCCGACTTCGTCAACCCCCCTGGGCGCCGTCATGGTAATTGTCCGAGATCCGGAGGTTTTGGCAGATCTTGTCCTCCGTACCTGCTGGTGGCCCAGGGACATTGGCTCGAGACTGAAGGAGGGTGGGGGGTGGGGGGTTGGTCTAGTTCGTGGTTGGGTGCTTGCTTTGCTGTGCGGTGCTGCATTTCGCTGGCCCTGGTGTCACCATGGCTTTGCTTTGTTTGGTGCCCTAAGGACGGGCGTTCCGAGGTTGTTACCGCCCCCGCCAGGCCTGGTACCTGGGTCGTGGATGTGAGATTGCCGATACATAGTTCCTGGATGCTGGGGCTGGTGATCCATGGGGCATACCTAGTAGCATGAGATGGAGAACCATAGGATGAGGGAGTTTGGTTTGGAAATGTAGCGACCAGGGCTGTGGCCATTGTGTAGACATTGGCATAGAAGTATAAAGTTTGATATGTAGTTTTATATTAGTGAATACCCGCTCCATCCACGTTGGAAAGTTATCTATGAAGGGTATCTTGTATTTCCATGCCTCAAAAACTTATATCACGTCCAGTTCGGATGTCCTTGCTATGATCGACTTGCTAACTTCACCGGCCTAGCGGCCCAACAACCGAGCTCACCATGACGGCTGCTTCGCGCTCCCAGTTGCCCACGCTGACAGTATCTGTACCAGAGCGGCCCTTCTCGGCCAACAGGCTCGCAGCAGACACCTGAGAAGCGCGCAGAACGCACTCCTTAATCTCCGTCTTGAGTCGATCCCGGTTCGATCGCAATGTCCGCGCGGAGACGCCCCCTCGACTTATGATTTCTTGGACTCGTGATGTGAGGGAAGATGCGAGCGAGCGCCAGTAGTATGAAGGCAGTGAAGAGGTGTCCAGGGCAGTGAGGAGGGGTTGGAGCAGATTGGTCCTATTGACACTTGCTGTAGTCTCCGAATCGGCCAGGGGTTCATCGCCGCCGGTCGATCCCAGAAGAGGGTGTGTTGGTGCACGGAGGTTTCTGAGGAAGGACTCCAGCGCGGCGATATCTTGACATCGAGAGGCAACCTCGTTCAGAGTTCGGTCCATCGTGGGGAGCTGCGAGAGTGACTTGGCAAGACCGTTTACAGAGGTCATGATGGCCGTGTGCATGTAGCCCTGCAACGTCGAGAGTAGCAGCTCGGGCTTGTAGTCAGATACAGTGGCGCCGCCCTTGGGAATGGGTGAGAGGAGGTATAGAGTTGCGGCAGCAGGACCCAAGCGTGCTCGCGCATCACGGACTTGCTTGTAGCTCGACGGAACCGGCGCGTGGCCATTGGATGGGGCCATAGGGCTTGTCAAGGAGAATCGGTTGATAGTCTGCTGCGCCCTTGCCTTGACCATATTTTCGGCGGGGATCACAAATTCGTTGCGCAACGTGCGCATTACCTTGACCTGCTCTAACCCATATCCCTCATCGTCTTCCGTTGTAGCGGAGAACATCTGACGCAAGTTCAAGATCGTGTAGGCCGCTCGTTCTAGAGCTCGGAATCCCTCTCGTACGGGTGGAGCCCCATCAGCCCCCGTTGTGGACGGTTGCCCTGTGCCTCTTCCTGTAATTTCCCCAACCTGACTCTCCAGTTGTCGACCCAGCGTCAAGCATCGTCCAACGGCCCGTGCCAGCCGGACCGTAGCTAAGGAGTTCTCTGCCGCGATGCGCGCTTCGTCCGCGGCCTTCCATTTTTGCACCACCTCTTTCTCCAATCGCTCGTATCCTTGAGTCACGGACGTGATCTGTGTCCCAGTCTCCTTTAGTATCCGTTCTGCAGCCTCGGACTGATCTTGGGTGTGCGATAATAGGGGCAGTGCGGACTTTGTGGTCAGGGTATGGATGTGGCTATCGATTTCTTGCAGGTCGAACAAAACTCGCGAGAGTGGGGTAGATAGATCGAGTGGTGTGTCCGTGGCATTGTTGGTGCTCAAAACGAGAGTATTGGCAAAGCTAGCTGGCGAAAAGTCGGGGTCGAGGAAGGCCTCGTAGTCGATGTACGATGGCTCCCCTTCTGCCATCTCGAGGATTGTACCACAGTACTGTCCTAGACAATCGGGAGCCTGGCAGGAATGTGTATGAGGATTCAGGAGGAACAATGAAGTGGTTTTGAGTTCCGGTTGTGCTCTTCAAGATGGGAAACACGCTGGAATGAGGTGGTAATTGTGTCAACGGGGTTTGTTCACAGTTGCGGGAATTTGATCATGAACGTGATATCTCATGGATTCGCTGTTTGTTCTATCGAAATAGCCTGCAAGATGCAGGAAGCCAATTGTGGGCGTTCAAGGTAGTTGGGAAAGACAGCTGTCGCAAGCTCCGCGATTAGTTATCCCACATGGACCGATAACACAGGTCACGTGTAGATATTATGGCCTGAGGCGTAAAGAACTACCAGAATAGGAGACTAGTGAGCAACCGAGCCCTCGGGTGCTTGTACCCGGCCGGGCTAATAGAGACCGGGTACTGTCTACCGATCTTTTACTTCTCAATGATTCTGTATGTCTTGGAGATGCATTCGTCAAAAGCTACCAGCTTAAGCTGCCACCATTGATTTTGTCAGTAAGCATCATTCTGCTTGAAAGACCTACTCATAAGTCGAATCAATTGTCAGAGCCGCCTAACAAAATCCATGTAGGTCTTCGGATCTGATGACCAAAAGCAACGCTCTCTGACGTCGGGTTCGTCGGGAAGCAGTCCGAACTACACGGGCCCGCCTTCCAATAACACTCGGGCGGGGGTTTGGGGGTGGGGCTCACGTAGATAAGCGTTCAATTAAATAACAGGCTTCTTTCTCCCCAGATTCAAGTGATCATAAAATTAAGCAGAAAGGTGAGTCTTAAACATTATGTGAGACAGTCTTTAAGCTACTGACCACTACTCTTGACACTTGTGTAGACACTTGTCGTATTATCAGAAGATTAACAACATGTCGACATCTACAGTGACTACCCAGCAGACACAGAGATCTTTTCGCCTGGCTGGTGAGGAGCAAATCAAGTCGGCTGAGAGCGACGCTCAATTCCAGTCTGTTGCCCGTGGTGATCGCAATGGCACCTTGAAGCTACGCGGTATCCCCACCTTCTCGGACCCGCTGGAGAAGCGCAAATGGATGAAGGAACACATGGCTGCTGCATTCCGTTACTTCGGCAAGATGGGATATGCCGAGGGTGTTTCTGGTCACATCTCTATGCGAGGTATACTTCAACCCTTTCAATGGGAAACATCTTTACTGGCAGCTGCTAACTTGTCACTCAGACCCTGTTCTGAAAGACCACTTTTGGATGAACCCCTTTGCCAAGCACTTTTCCACCATCAAGGCCTCCGATCTGGTCTTGGTGGACAGTGATGGATATGTCACTGAAGGAGGTGCCCAGTTGCCCATCAACGAGGCTGGATTCATGATCCACTCTGAAATCCACAAGGCCCGTCCGGATGTCGTTGCCGCGGCGCATACTCATGGCGTTTACGGCAAGACATGGAGTGCTTTTGGAAAGCCAATTGAGATGCTGACCCAAGGTCCGCCTTTTCCCAAGGGAAACTATCCTGCCTAACCTGGACCATGCTAATGAATAACAGATGCATGCAACTTTTACGGCCAATTGAGCGTTTATGATGATCACGGTGGCGTCGCGCTCTCTCAAGAAGAAGGAAAACAAATTGCGGCCGCACTCGGCAAGGATAACATTGCATGCATTCTGCAGAACCACGGGTGAGCCTCCTTTGGTATATTTTGCTTGTTCTTGCATTATTTGGAGGTCTAACGTGGCCCTTATCTAGCCTTCTCACTGTCGGACGAACGGTTGACGAGGCGGCTATTCTATATTCAATGCTGGATAATGCTTGTCACTCCCAGCTAATGGCCGAAGCGGCCGCCGCGAATGGTATTCCTAAGCGTATTATCAACAATGAGGTGGCCCAATATACTGCCGAGTTCGCCCAGAACCCCGTAAGTGTGGTCTCACGAATTCGCCTGAAATGCAAGATTACATTGTGCTAATTAGCTACAGCACAACCTTTATACTGAGTTCCAGCCTGAATTTGACTTGGTGGTCGAGGAGTGCAACGGGCGAGTACTTCAATAGGGGATGTCCAGAAGTGCTCTCAGCATGTTATGAATTCTCAGGGAGTCAAGTTTGTCCTTTCAGATTGTGGGCATTTGTATTCTGAGTTGATTGGTAATATACCTGCTTTCTGTATCAATTGGAGTCAGGACCCCTGTAGGGCCACGGGTGGGATGATGTAAAAGGCGAAGAACCGGGGACGTGGTATCTAAACCTGGGTCATCGAAGTAAATAAACTGCAGGCGATGCCAATCCTTTTCTAGCTCACGAATCGGCAGGCGGTAGTAGAAATATATGTTGAATATATACATACCTTTCTGGTAGTCAATAAGCCCCGAATAATGATTGATGATAGATAGATACTAATAAAAACAAAAACAAAAAGGATTAATGGAAAATCGCCGCCCGGCACGGGGCTCGAACCCGTGACCTTGAGATTGTAATCCTTTAGTTGTGACTAAAAGTCTCACGCTCTTCCAACTAAGCTAGCCGGGCTTTTTGGCGGTGAAGAAACCTTCTTAAATTCCATTATGAACATTTTCCTCGCTCCAAGTCTCTTTCACAGTATGATGGTCCAAAAACAGCGAGAATAGGATAAACGAGGTCCAGGAATTACGAGAATGGAGAAATGAAAAGTACTACATCAAACAAGAAAGCTCAGGAAATACTCGCTCAGATGTCCACGGTACATATTGGGAATAAGCTTAACGCTGTCACAGAAGAAGTAGTGTTTGACTTCGTGTCAAGGGAAGCTGGTTTAACATGTTTAGTTTCTGAAATAAACACGACGACGAGTTCAACGTCACTTTTTCTGCTGATATAGCAGACCTGGGAGTGGGTGTTATTTGTTGCTGACACTTTTTCTCATCGAAATTTGACTAAATTACAATACTCCCGATTTCCTCGCCAGTTACAAGTCCGACAACGGGAGTAATATGCCAAGGGTTACTAGAAGGCGGCTGGTCAGGGCTTGCTATCTATAAAATGACAATCCTTCGTGGCTCTATTGTCACAGCAAAAACACGCTGCTAAAATCGCCTAAAATGACTCTACGCAGTCCACCCCAACATGCTTTTTATAGACAGACGTCGACCGCGTCATCCTACCGCATTCAAGGATAGTAGGCGATGCCTACTAAGCCTTAGGTGAGCTGAACCGTCAGACACTAAGTTTCACCTATCGAGTTTCTATCACTAGTTCACGAGGGACCTGTGTCCAGTTGATGGAGACTATCTTTTAAAGGCAATACGGAGGGACCAAGCCGCGAGTAGAGTACAGATTGAATAGATTGGAACAATATATTTGACGAATGAAAAAGAATATCTATAAAATCTGGCGGACGCGCCAGCGCAGCCCCTGGCCTTCCTGTACTAACGGAGCTACCAGCCATGGAAAATATCAATACACCAAAATGATCTCGCCAGTTCTCTGGAAAAGTAGTTGGCGCTGCGTGCCCAGTGAGGCATTAGCTTGCGCAAGGAAGAAGGAATTCGATAGGGTAATGCGGCGGAAACGGGGATCCAACCCGATTTCTTTCAAGCTGTAGGTACAAGTTGGATTCCCTCCTCGAGGTAAGCCATCCGTACAGATGCAACACGCAACAATGGCAGGGTATACGGTAACGAGACCAAAGTATACAGAAACTCCTCAACAGACTTGGGCAAAAGCCCAAGGAAGATCATAGCCTAAGACAAGGCTGCAAAGGGGAAAAACATAGAAAGGGAGACAGGTCATAACAAAGTCTCTCATGCAGTACGCTCGCCGGGCTTCATCTCATCCATTTCGTAATCGCCCGTTCCAGCCTGGAGACTGCGCTCGCGGCCTCGACCTCGGCCAAACCCAGACTCTAGCTGGCTATCGCTGGCGGGTGGTTGTGATGAGGAGGCTTGGTTGCTGCTACTACCTCCTAATCCTGCGAGTCCACCGAAGCTGATCGGCTTGAGCTCGCGGTGTTGGCATGCCCACATACCAAGGAAGATCATTATCCCTGCACTGGCGAACTGGAGTCCCCACCAGAGCAGGTTGGAAGGGACAGAGTGGGTGTATAGGATGGTGGCGACGAGATGGAGGAAGTGAATCGTCAGGGCGAAATCGGGAACCAACTTGGATCGGGACACGAAGAGAAGCAGGAAGATCACGCTGAGGATTTTGAAATGATGAGGCGGTTAGTTTACTTGCGCAGAGTCTCGAGTGTAGGCGCTTCTTTATGGGAAGCTCTAAGCAAACTCACCTGATAACACAATTCAACATCCACACCAATCCCAGCATCCAACCAACCGTAGTGTCACCTCTCAAATACTCCCATCCAAAGATAAGATTCAACGAGAACGGAGTGCCGTAGATAACTGTCGTGAACAGGATAAGCACCGTAGCGCAGACATAATAGGCAACCTGGAGCAAGAGGATCTTGCGGATGATTTTCAATGGCGGGAGGTCGGAGCGCGACCCCGCTGGAAGGCGCCGGCGCCCGGGCATCAACTAGGAGGCCAGGGAGATCTCCTCTACGGCCGTTGTATGGAGGCGTGGGAGATGTGAGCGGTGCAGTCGAGGCGAGGCGAAGGGCCTAGGAGGTTGGGGGGCCGAGGGAGGAAACATGCAACGGTGGCGGGGATCGTAAGTGTTGTGATGACGTGCGCAAGACAGAGACCCGTAAAAGGCTAGAGTTGCGAACTGCGTATAAACCCCTCTGGAGTGAGCTGGGGTAGTAATATCGAGGAGTCGTGAGGATGTGGGAGAAAAAAGGGACCCGGACGACGTCGAGCACTGCTGATCACTGATCAACAGTCTTGGCACCGCCGAGCCCGCGGGAGCAACGACCACCCGCCGTTATTTCCTCTCGCATACCCACGAACCACATCTATCTAAGCTCTTCCTAGTCACCACGCACCATTCGCTCTTCCAATTACCCCGTCAGCCCATTCGATACAATCTGCGAAACACTAAATAACTCGACAACATGGGTTGGCTCCCTTGGTCTTCTGGCGACTCCAACAAAGCCTCTGACGGCGGCCGCATCGCCCCGGATCGCACCAGTCGCGCACGCTGCTGGGAAGGCAGGGATGCGTTCTTCGCCTGCTTGGATCGGAATGATGTTCTCGACGCAATCAAAGATGACAAGGAAGCGCGCCGGAAATGCGCGAAGGAGGTTGCGGAGTTTGAGGCTGCTTGTTCGGCGACTTGGGTGCGTGCATTTCGTCTGTTCTGGGCCATTTTCCTCGTTTGTTGGAGAGGGATAGCCAATGTTGGCTGACCAAATATTGACGGTGGCTGTTCTCTGTTTAAAGTTCGCCTTGTACTGACTGGCTGTCTAGGTCAAATACTTCAAGGAAAAGCGAGTGATGGAATATAACCGTGACAAGACGATCGAGCGGATTAAGAAGGAGGATGCGGAGAAGGTGAAAGAATTGAAGTCTCAAGGGTGGAAGTCTAGCTAGATGGCACCGAGATAAAAAGTGAAGGAAGGGCAGACGGGCTACTTTTTTGTACATTATGTACCATATCCACTCTTGACGTATTTCGATGAGCACTCCATTTAATGCTATCTCAGTTCAAAACGGTACTTCAATCGTACGAACCTCATGCAACTTGTGCATGTCTTTTCTAGAGGGCAATATTTAAATTTGGGACTAGATGTGCTATCGCGTGGGCAAGATTGGTGACTTAATTCTACGTTGATAAGACATGACTCCAAGTATCAGTCACTCTTCTCTTTAAAAATCATGAAAGAGTATTAGAACCCAAAATGGGTTTAGAGCACCATGTCCCAGAATCAGGACGAGTCATATTATATCCACCTTGTCCAACAAATAGATACTCCGAAGCTATTAGCAAACAAAAGCTTCGTACATGGTGGAGATGGTAGACAGCTTGTAGAAACCAAAAAGAAAATTCACAAGACAACTCCAACCTAGACACCGCCAATCACCAGTATCTAGAATCTTGTTGCCCTAAGGGGCCCGAAAAACGCCAATCCTTGCAATGTCGCTGGAATGTTAGAGAGAAATTCCAGCCATGAAAATGAAGCACACAGACAGAAAGCAAGATCTGGAAAAGAGAAATAATAGTAGTCGCCGCTTTCCGATTTTCCAAAAAAAAGGCGAAGAAAACACCAAGCTAAAAAATGTGAAACGTAAATGAGAAAATTGTATAGAAGAATCGTTATATCATTGCTTCCACTTGGTCAGATGGTTCATAAAGTTTTGCATATTAGAACCAACTGGGCCTTGTGCCTGTGGCTGCTGAGCCCCAAGGCCTTTGGCCAAGAGCGAGAGCAGATTTGGGTCAGTGACCATGGGGGCGTTTGGAGGTTGAAGATTATATGGTGGGTGGAGAAGAGGTTGCTGAGGGTGAAGAGACGGCATAGGAGGAGCCCGGGTCGCACTGCTCAACAGACTGGCCAGGTCGGCTGGTTGTGGAGGATTGGGAGAGGCGAAAGGTGACTGTGTGGCCGAGACTGGCTGTGAGGAGGCACCAGGACGCTGTTGGAGAGCTGATAGGAGAGATTGGAGAGCAGGCCCATCAAGAGTACTGATGAGGTTTGCGATGTTGGGAGGATTCGAGAGAGTTGGCATGGTTGGCATTGTTGGCATTGTTGGCATGGTTGGCTGCGGAATTGACAAGGATTGCATCTGGGCGAGACTGAAGGCAGGGTTGGGCGCGAAAGTGGTGGTCGGTCCACGTTGCATAGCCTGGGCTTGATGGAACATCACCTCCGCAGCGATATTGGGGTCAAGCTCAGGGTAGTCTAAGGATCAGATTAGCGCTGCTTCGTAGTGTAACAGACGGACAGTTGGATAGAACACACCAGTGAAGCGGACATTGTCAGGGCCCGCGCTTCGATCAAACATTTGCAGTGGAATCTTGCGGGAGAATTGATTGGGGCGCGACAGCCTGACAACTGCAAGAACACCTTCGACATATTGGCGGTGGACGGCTGCGCCTAGAGGGATGCGAGGGCCAAGCACCAACACATCTACCCGCAGGCCACGGTTGCGAAAGGCGTTCTCCACGTGGAGAATGAAGTTGCTTTTCAAGAAATCAGTAATAGTCGCCAAAAGGAAAGGCAATATGTGCAAACTCACCGGTCGACCTCTTCCAGCACAAGAATTTGCACCTCTGGCACGTCCCGAGGTGCTCGACGAGGTACTGGGAGGTCTGCTTCCCCTTCGTAATTACCTCGGGGTCTCGGGCTAGGGCTTCGGTACCGCCGATCGCGCGCATAGGGGGAGCGAGGAGAGCGGGGTGATCGAGATCGTCTGCGCTCACGACGGTCAAATCGCTCCGGTGTCCTATCTCGCGATCGGTAGCCATCCCGAGCCCGGAAAGGGCGAGGTGAAGGGGACCGGGGAGGGCGATAGTCATCACGCCTGCGGTGAGAGGGTTCATCACGGAAGTCACTGAATGGGAGCCGGCTGGACTCGTGGGGTCGATCATAACGGTCGCCTGGAGTACGAACAGCACTGCGGGCAGCAGTAGTACGGCTGAATTCGGGCGACCTGGAACGACGAGGCGGGGGTGCGCGAGATGCCTCTGCGGGACCAGGTCGAGCAGTTGATCTCTGTGGCTTCGAGATTTCAAGGTCTATGGACGATTAGGGAAATGATTGTGGCGATCAGATAAGACGACACTCACGTATCTTTCTACCTCGAATCAAGGCCCCCTGCTCAGTCTGTAGTGCTGCATGACATGCGCCAGCTTCCAAAAATTGGATAAAGCCATAAGCCTGCTTGATCGAGATTTGGGCCAATTTGCCGTAGTTGTGGAAGATATGGAACATGTCTCGCTTTGTTACTCGTTCGGTGGGAAGGTTGCCTAAAATTGATAATTGCACTCAAAGTCAGTCCTATTGGTCATGCCGGTAGAACCGTTGAAGTATGGGCAGATACTGACCGACAAACAGCCTCGACCCAACAGGGAACCGGTCCCAGAGACCTTCGGTCACATACATACGCTCGTCGTGTAGGAACTCGTCATACTTCTTTTGCACTTCTGGGCCCCATGGTTGATCTTCATCACTCAATGGTTTGCCCCCGCGCGTTATCAGCTTATCAAGGCGGCCTCTCTTGAATGCTGTAGTAGTGCTCTCCTCTTGAGAACCCTGTGACTCTGGGACTGACGCAGGTCCTTGCTGTTGGAAACTCGCCATGGGTGGCGGTGGGAGATCTCCAACACCAGACTCGGTACCGGGAGCGACCGAGGGCATGGATGGGGGATCGATCGGATGGGCATTGTTACTGGAGTGGGCTGCATAGGCGGAGGGAGCAGCGTTGGGGGCGGTAGGGGCTTGATGATGATGGGCATTCTCATCGCTTGGGCCGTACACTTGGGGGAGGGAGGGGTCTTGGAGAGAAGGGCGGGCGGGGAGGTCCACAGACTGAGTATCCAATGTGGAGGGTATACCAGGATGAAGAGACTCGTCCGTGGGGGCTTGAGGGAAGGACGAGCCCTCCGCTAGATTTGGGGCAACCCCGGTAGCGTTGGCGGTGGCAGTTGCAGAGGCAGAGGGATGAGAGAGGTTGTCGAGTAGCGTCTGGAAGTTGACCCCAGCAGCACCCGATCCCATGTTCTCCTTTCCATCATCTATGTGATCGGACTTCAAGGACGAAGCCGACTGACCGGCATTGTCTATGTCGCTAGCCGGGCCAAAACCTTGGGAAGCCGGAACAACCGGAGGCGCATGGGAGTGACTGGGAGCTGCAAACGCGAAGTTGGGGTTCATGTGCATATTCATGTTCATATTGCCCACCTGCTGCTGGGTCCCTGCGGTAGTGGAAGGATAAAAGTGCGCTGTCAAAGCAGGCATATCATTCATCACGGGCTGTCCCATGGGCTGCGCAGCCTGCAAGCTACCTGGGTCCCTGCGCAGCCCGAAGCCTAGATCCTGGCCATCCTGCGCGATCCTCGACCATCCATCTTGAACTTGTGTTTGCACGGATTCCTGGGGGTACTCTGAACGTTGATATGTCGAAGTGTCGTTAAAGACGGGGTCCATTTGATTCTCCAGGACAGGGATATTGGCCGGCTCCGGGATATGCAGTGGGCGCGGGCTTTCCGGAGTCAGTGTCTTTCCGCGGAAGTGTAGCGCCTCATCAGGAGGACTGGGCGTCATGTAGAGAGAGGGGAGGTGGGCGTGTCATCTACAGGAGTAGAAAGGGGGGCGTGGAAAGAGTTTTAAAAATAAAGGCGGGGGGGGGGGGGGGGAAGGGAAGGGTGACGAGGTGAGGTGGTGGAAGATCGGAGATCGAAGGTTCGAGGTCACGGGCCGAGAGGGTCAGATTATAAATTTAATTTTGCGCAAAGCTCAAGTGGGGCGAAAGAAAAAAAAAGTAGAGTACGGAGTACTAAAAGTAAGGTATGGATGGACCAGGACCAAATGATGGGTCCGGAAGGGCGGTAAAGGGTCCCAGATAAGGACCGACGGGGCCGACGCAGGCAGCACGGAAAGAGAAGGAGGGGGAGATGCGGTTCGGAGGGGGAGGAGATAGAAAATACTGTACAGAGGTGACGAGAAAAAGAAGACAAGATGAACTGGAACTAAATGAGGATCGCGTAATATCAAAGAATCATTTGGTAAGAATGCGCTGATATAATCCGTGGGCCTAGACTGGCCGTAGTTACTGGCAATAATACGGAGAGTATAACCGTCGGACGGTAGCAGTGTAGTCTGTTTCGCCGTCCATCCAACTTGCAGCTCTCGACCAGGTACTCCGTCCGGTACATCGTAGATCAGACAGACCAAAACGGGCCAGTCCAAAGAGAATAACCAGTTTGGCGTCTGCGACTCCGCTCAGAAAGCCGTAACTCCTGTATGACCACTTTCCGCCAATTAGAAGAACAAGAACAGCAGCAAAGGGCAGCTCCCAGGTCAATCCCCAATCCTCCCAATCCTCCCCGACCTTCTCCCCACCAGTAACTGCTGCAAACCGTCAGAGGATGAAACGAAGGGCCCTACCTTATATTACTAGTGGGAACCACTCCTGTACGGCCACGCGGAGGGGCTAAGCATCTAGACTGGCCAGTGGCCAGTGGCCAGACCACCCCCCCCTCCTCCAGCGCCGCAGCACAACTACACAACGAAAATCGGAGAACCTCCTTTCCGCGGCAATGGCCACTACCAGCAGAGCTGCCTCCTTAAGTGTTGATTAGGTCAGGGCAGCTCCACCACGTTCTGCTCCTATTTACCCTCCGGGTTGACATCCTCCTCCTACAACTCACGTTGTGTTCTTTCTCTCCTCCTCGGCCGTTGGGCACAGGAACCCCCCAAATGCCACTCCGATCACGGTGGTGCGCGTTTCGCTCGTGGACCAGAACGCCATCTGCTCCAGTCTTACCGGTCTTACCGGTCTTACCATTCACGGCGCGCATTTCGGCCGGCCGGACTGCAAAGTTTGCTTCCAAGGGGTCATCTGACCATCAAGACCCTCACGACCTCGAGCTAGCGAGGACGTGGCTGAAAGCCTTCGAGTCGGGCGTCACGTCCATTCCCCGCCAGGTCGGCCAGGTCTCGTTCAGCCGTTCAAGCGGCCCTGGTGGTCAGAACGTGAATAAGTCGGTGCAATTCCGAGATACACTTTCCATACTTTCTGCAGGCTAAACCTTGAACCCTTTTGACAGAGTCAATTCCAAAGCTACTTTAAAAGTGCCACTGGCCACGCTATTCCCTTTGGTGCCGCGTCTGTTACATTCTCCATTGCGCGCCTCCCGCTACGCTACCGACCGTTCCCAGGCGTTGGTCATTCAATCGGACGAGTCCCGGCAGCAGGCCACCAACGTGGATCTCTGTTACGAAAAGCTTAATCGGCTGCTGGTCAGCTCGGCTAAAGAGATCATTCCAGGTGAAACCTCCCAGGAACAGCGAGATCGCGTGAGCAAATTGTACAGGCCCACCGCTCCTCTTTTTTTTTTTTCTCTGCCCAAAATTAGAGGCATCGCCCATGGTAGTGGTATTCTTCTAACCAATGGCTTATAGACAGCGCGCCCAAAATGAGGCCCGACTCAAGTCCAAAAAGTTTCATAGCAGCAAAAAAAGCACCCGGCGGGGAAACAGCTACGATGATTGAAGGGAAGGAGAGCTGTTCTTCCTCGTCCAAAAAGGAGCTAACATTATGACTAGCACATATACCATACCACATAATACACTATCTTCCCTGGGAATTCTTTTTTTTGACTTCACGTCCAACCAAACGCCTTTACATGTGCAGGAAGAATGTCCAAGTACGCTAAAAAAAAAGAACATAAAAAATTGTTTACTCCTTGGAGGTTGCGCGCTCCGCGGTGCGTAGTGTGGCCTGAATGACCTTCTTCAGCGAAGGATCCAGATCCTCCGTATCTGCAATGGGTTGCAGCCAGCTCACCACCTCCTGGGCCAGGTCATGGGTCAGAGGCGACTCCTTGAGACGGGCCAAGGAGCTACCGAGGGCTCGTGGGAACTCCGCAGATGTGACATGAACGCCCGCAGTGGGGTACTTGATGTAACAGATCTGCGTACGGGCGCTGGTAGGCTTGTGCGCTCGCATCGTGTCCACCACGTGTCCCAAGATCTTCTGCAGACACGGCGTATCCCGGAATTCCAGAACCATCTCGTAGAATTCGGCACCGAACCGGTCGTCATTGTGGAAGTTCTTCATCGCGGCATCGAATATGGCGATGGGGATCGCACCGGTCAGTGCTGGCGTGGAATTCAGATTTTGCAACGCTTGCTCGTCGACTTCACCATCATTCCGGGTCGGGTTGACATCTTCTTCGGTAATGTCCGGAAGCGCAATCATATCGTCGCCCATCTCATCCCCAGCCACCTCGACTTTCGTCGGCCGTTCCTCGTCCAGTCCCAATATCCGTTGACGAGCGACTAGCTTGGCGATGTAGATCAATTCCAACTTGGCATATTGAAGCCAAAGGTTTCTTGAGCTCTTGCAGAACCGGAGACCACGTTGCATGTAACTCCGCGCCTGAGACATGTCCGCATGGTCATCCAGAACATAGTTGGCTGCGTAGATCCATAATTCAGCACTGGTTGGGTGGAACCGAAGGGCGTCCGTGAAGATGATGGAAAGCTTCTTGTTTGCTTTTTGTTTCCGCGCGTATTCGATATATTGAATCCAGAGGTTGAGATCGCCGTGGAACTTGCGAGTGGCACGGTCAAGAATGAAGTAAATGCGTCGCTGGCCGCTGTGTCCTGCGGACCGGATTCCCAGTCTCTTGACTCGCTTCTTCCGCAGGGTCTCAAGGTTCATCTCGTACTCGACATATCGCACAAAATCGATGGGAGCCGCTCCGCGCGCATTGAGCTTGTGCTCAAAGTCGGACCGCTTCTTGATGATCGAAGTGATTTCATCCTAAAACACAGGGGAAAAAAAGTCAGCATTACCGCGCAAGCCCAACAAAGTCACCGGCACAAAACCCACCTTTGTGAAGAGCTTCTTGCGTTCGTACTCCTTGAGCTCGGGCACCGACTGCTCAAGAAAGAATCGAGCCTTATCTGTGGCGGCGGACATGGTTGACGTTGTGAATCTTCAGGGAAGAAAAAAAAGTTGTCGGCATCCCGCATTGACCAAAGCACCGACCACCAGGACCACGCTAAACCCCATCGGGTTAGCCAGGCAGCCTTGCCCGTCAAGGTGACTCTGAAGAACCGGTGCATCCGAATGTTTTCCTTTCCTTCCTCAGGGGCCCTTGCTCTCTACGAGTCGTCGTTCTCTTATCATTCAATTCTTCACACTCGTTTCAACCGTTTTTTCTCTTCCGTCTCCCTATATATCTGTGCAGAGTTTCGACCTCCCTCTGCGCCGCCATGGCCCCCAGATTCAAGGACGGTGATGCCGTGGTCGCCGTACGTGCCTTGACACACGCGATAAGATCCTCGGATAGCCACTGACTCAATTGCCAATGCAGATCAACGGAAAATGGATTTCATGGACTCACACTTTCTTCGCGTATGCCGCCTTTTTCAGCGCGCTGATAGTTGGCTGCGCGTTGCATTATCACAAGATCGTTCAGAATGAACACTACGGCTACCCCGACGAATGGTTTCCCTCGGTCTCCGCGACGATTGGTGATCGCTATCCCGAACGCTCGTTCTTCCAGGTTTTCATCGCCATCACCTCCGGTCCTCGCTTCGCCCTCGTTTTCCTGTGGTACGTGCTTACCGCGCGTCCGAACTCGTCTCTTCCTAAGATTGTCGCTGGTGTGGGTGTCTTCCGCACCTTGACCTGTGGTGGATGGACCTATGTCACCTCCACTGATGATCATGACTGGCATGATATCTTCATGATCTCGTACCTTGTTGCGACTCTGCCGTGGACGCTGGGCTGCCTTGCTCTCAGCCCCAATAACCGTCGGGCCGTCAAATACCGCAAGATCGTAGCAAGCCTTTTCTTCGGAACCTTGGTTCCATTGATCTACTATTTCATTCAACACAAGGTCCACAAGGTGGCTGGAGGTAAGTTCTGACTCGGTTGATATCAGTATTATTCAGATGCTTTTTCTAAAACCTTCGTTTCTTAGCATACACCCGCTACGCCTTCTTCGAGTGGTCCCTGATTTTGTTCGACGTGGGTTTCGATGCCATTACCGTGCTCGACTTTGAAGGATTCGAAATTGTGGTTCGGGATATCAAGGGTATCAGCAGAGGGTATGTACCGTGGCTTCCGAAATGACACCCACGACAAATTGTATAGTGCCACATGTTACGTTTGGTTATGAGAAAAAGACATTTCCTGAGTTGGCATCTATCAATTTAGACAGTTGAAAACGACCGCGGATTCTGTTCTTGAAAAAGAGTGCGTATATCCCATATAAGTCCATTTTTTCGGCCCCTACGGAGGCTAACATGTAGTTATAGGAAGGGCAAGACCGTGGGCAACACTTTTGGTGAGGGCTTTTTCTGGACCGAGGTCGTTGATGCTGCCGCGGATGTTTACAATGGGGTATGATTTCCGGAATTGCAATCCAAATCTTTGCTTCATCGGCTGACTGCGGGCTACAGTTCGTCTTCTGGACTATTGTGACTGGTCTTCCTGTGCTTGTGTGGTGTGAGTGACCTTGTTTCTCGCTCTTACTGCAAACTGTGCTAACTATAACAGACTTCCCTCTCTGGCACATGGGTATCTCGGGCTACGAGGTTGCCATTGTTGCTGTCGTTTCGCCTTTCTTCTTCGCCATTTCGTCTCTGCGGCAGCTCGCCGTCAGAAACTTGCGTCTCCTCCATCTGATTTCGCTGTCCGGTCTTCTGGCCTACAAGTTCCAGAACCCTGCTCACCGTCTGTTCGTGACTACTTTTTCTCTCGCGGTTACCTGTGCGGCATGGACTGCTACCTTCTTTGCCGAGCGGGCTAACACGCCTCGCTTGGAGACCCGCATCATGGCTTGGGGCATTGGCCTGATCATGTCCGTCATTGCCAAGTTCGCTTGCTCCACCAACAATCCCCTCTGGCCCGTCATGCATGTCGAGAATGGTGGTTGGAACAAGATTGGTCTTTTCCTTGCCATCTTTGCTGTTCTGCGCTCGCAGCGCCCCTCGACTACCAGCGGTGGTGACTACCTACCCGCTGGTGGCAAGAAGGGCTCTGCTCTCCTCGCCGGTCTTGGCTTTGGAGGTCTTTTGTTCGCGATCGTCTCGCTTCTGACTGACTCCAGTACCATGATTTCCTGGGTTTGGGAGGGATATCCCGTTCGTGGACCCATCGCCGTGCCGCACGGCGCCGTCACCATCTTCGTTATGGGCGCTGGCCTTGTCTATGGTATCTTCAACCCTGCGATAGCGGGTACCTGGACGGCCTTTGGACTTGGCTCCGTTGGTGCGGCTCTCCTGACTTATTACCACCACTGGACTGGCTTCTACGGTGCCTTGGCCTTTGCTTTCTACATCATGGCTGTGTCTCCGGTTCTCATCACTTCTTGTGTTCGGCACGGTGCTGCCAGCACATTCGGAGTTGGTTTCCTCTTTTACGTCTTCCTCCTGCTCTTCCACGTCTGGGTTGTTGCCTATGCCTTCGTCCCTGGTGGTCCTCTCGTGCGTGAGCGCACTGACTGGCTGATGATGACTACTATGCTCGCTATCGGTGCTGGTGTTTTCTCCGCTGCGACTACCAACTCCGCTCGCTCCTCTCGTAAGAAGCCTATTAGCCCTAACAGCAAACGCCAGCGTTCGTACTACGTTTACGTCCTGGCAGCGCTGCAGCTGCTCTCCGTCTCTGTGGCTTACCTGCGCTTCCCCACGAACGACTACGTCCCCCACCACAAGGAAGACAAGGTTGTGACCGCCGGTATCTGGACCGTCCACTTCGGTCTCGATAACAACATGTGGGCTTCTGAGCGCCGCATGCGAGATGTGCTGGGCGAGCTCGAGCTCGATGTGATTGGTTTCCTTGAGTCCGACAACCAGCGCATCATCATGGGTAACAAGGATGTCACTCAGTACATTGCAGAGGACCTCGGCTACTATGTTGACTTTGGCCCTGGCCCCAACAAGCACACCTGGGGCTCTGCCTTGCTGTCCAAGTTCCCCATTGTCAACTCCACCCACCACCTTCTCCCCTCACCCGTCGGTGAGCTGGCTCCTGCCATCCATGCCACTCTTGACATGTATGGCGAGATGATCGACGTCGTCGTCTTCCACTCCGGTCAGGAAGAGGACCCCGAGGATCGTCGTCTGCAGACTGAGTACCTGTCCAAGCTAATGGGCTCGTCTCCTCGCCCCCTGATCCTGTTGAGTTATCTGGTCACCAAGCCGCTCGAGGGTAACTACAACACCTATGTCAGCGACTTGAGCGGTATGAAGGATATCGATCCCACTGACTGGGACCGTTGGTGCGAGTACATCCTCTACAAGAAGTTGAAGCGTACTGGTTACGCCCGTATCAGCCGTGACACCATCACCGACACTGAGATTCAGGTAAGCTACTATCCCGCTACGCCGTCCCAGAAATATAACATGACTAACTGGTGATATAGGTCGGAAAATTCGTCATTGGTGAGCCCGAGTCCGAGGAGGAAGTTCGTATCCCAGAGGAGCTTGTCCCCGTTGGCCGGCGCTTCCCTGCGCTCTTCCGCGGCGAGGGTGTTCGTGGCCACCGCTACCACGTCTTCGATGAGCCAAGGTATTGGCAGTAAACTTGGCTATGTGTGACTCGCCTGGATAGCCTGATACTGTTTGACAGAAAATAGTTGCTTGTTAGAGGTTACTAGGATTTATGAATTTGTGATGTGTGAATTACTGTGGAATAGGAATGGCGGACATTCCAATGTTCTTGTGGACTGATCGGCTGCACAGAATTACTCGTTTGTTTTCACTTTTCAGATGTAAGATCCGACTATAAAGTGATCGGGTTATTTGATTCAGGATTTTCCTATATATCGCACCATCGACGGCTAAGGCGCAGTACAGCGCAGGAATGGCCTGCGCCTGCTGTATCTTTGAATTTGTAGAAAACATTGCTTTCCGCGAACCTGAGATTTGTCTTACGGCCAAATTGGAAGCTAAATCGTGTACTAATCCAGCTCTTTGGCTGCGACACCTCGCGTCAAGATCCAAGCGCTCTTTGTTCCAAAAAAATTACAACCGCGGGAGATTTCATTCTTTCATGTGCACCGTCTGACTATAGAGTATAGTTCCAGATGTTACCAAGGGCATCCACCTCGATCTCATCTCTTGGGGAATCTGCATAGGTTGGAATGGGCCAATGCATTGGCGGGTATTTATTTTGACCCACAAGGTAGTTGCATTCTGCCGAGAATCTCGCCGAGCCACCATCGCCATAAAAGATGCCTCTACAGTGCTATGCCTCCTTCAATCGTCGTGATTTATCTGTATTTATCCATCTATCCTGTGCGTGATAATACCGTCTCTAATTGCACATGGGTTACAACCATGACACACGCCAACCCCCTAACGACCGACAAAATCATCCTCTTCGGCGACTCCTTGACCGAGCAAAGCTGGAATCAGGAGTTTGGCTTCAACCTCGCGCCAGCGTTACAACATGAATATTTTCGCAAACTACAAGTCCTTACACACGGCTATGGTGGATACAATAGCGAGCATGCCCGACACATTCTGGATCCGATGCTGGACGCCGAGACTGCCGGGGGCAGTCGAATCAGGCTGCTAGTGATATTCTTCGGAACTAACGACGCCGTAGAAGTGGTGAATACACGGCAACATGTCCCTATCTATCGCTACGCAGAGAATTTGCGGGTTTTGACTGAGAAAGCACTGAGCCGTAGTATCTGCGTGGTCTTGGTTGGGCCCGCTCCCGTTGGGGAAAATACAACGGATCGGTCGAGTGAAATCACCAGGCAGTATGCTGATGCTGCTAAGGGGGTCGCAGAAGAGCAGCAGGTTCCTTTCATTGATTTATGGACCGCGTTTTACGAGTCCTTCAGATCGTCTCCTGGAAAAGATTGCCTAGGGGAACATTGCAGTAAGGTCGAGGAAGCGAGTCAAGGCGCAAACAAAGGAAAAAACATGTCCAACCTTTTCTCACCAGATGGGGTGCATTTCTCCGGTCAGGGATATCGCATTTTCTACGAGCTACTGCTACACACGATTCGGAAGTCATACCCCGCCCTGCGGACGGAGAGTTTACCTTCGGTCCTGCCGCATATCTTCAATGTCGATCTGGACCATCTGCCGGAATCATTATGGGGCCCTGGACCCGCGGGGACGGATTAAACGAGCAGAAATAGATATTGGTTGTTGGCTGTGGACATTGATGGATTGCCTAGGCTCGTTTGTGCACCTGCAAAAGAATGGATTGAGTCTAATAGCACGCCAATCGCAATGATACGGTGTTGAATCCGAATCTAATATTGTTGCATGGAATGGCTGCAGTGACTCTCAAGGGCTAAAATTAATTTACTTTTTTCCCTTTAGACAACATATTATCTATTGTTATTGATAGGACAAAAAGCTGCCAAAGCTTATCCAAGACGGATGCCAGTTCGTTACCCTGCTACGTTGGCATGCTTTGCAAGCATTATTGCATTCAGTTAACTAAATGACAGTTGAATACCCTTTTTTCGAGGAAGACTACATTACAGACACATTTACACCAGTCCGTTCGGGTTAAGGGTTCAATCGCTTTGGCGGGCGGGGAATTTCCTTGCTGAAGAGTCGACCACGGATCGAATCGTAGGATCTAGGTTATTTTACTACTACGAAATCAAGAATGGAAGCTTCCCTATCCATCAACATATTCCTTAGGTCTCTTGAGGAGCTAGAGGAAAGAACGACAGGAAGAACTATGTTGGAGGAGAGGAGACGAGAGCAATCAGGACTGATCTACACGAGGGCGTACAACTGACTCTGTGCGGGGTACCCCGCAACAGGGACCTTTTTGGTACCTTGGTACCTTACGGAGTAGTTACATTTTACAGTACGAATGACCCCGCCCGAACTACCAAGATTGAGAAATTACAGAACAATAAATGACCGTATAGACTAAGAATGTTGCCCATGGAGGGAGCATTTTTGGTCTAGCGGTATTATACCCCATATTTGTGGGACAAGAAAGCTTAACCACTAACAAGATATCAGAGCGGTTGAATACAGTATTATGCATCTTGAGCGAATAAGATCAGACGGAACCAACTAAGCATGAATTGATTGATTGATTAGAGAAGAGACGCTAAGACTATCTGTGCGATGGACACGTTGAGGTGTCCTCGCTTTATGGAGTTGGGACTTGCGGGATGCATATTCCGAATCCCGGAGAATCGAAAAATAAACATAAAGATAAATACAAAAGTAGACTAACCACTCCTCTTGGTTTCCTAGTGGTAATGTACCACTCCACTTTCCTTGACACAAGACAAAAGGGAGCTACACAGGATGTACCGTAACGGACGATCGAATTCTCACCTTTGTTCTCCTTCTCTTCATCTCAGACCGTCTATTCTTCTCTAAGCGCGCCCATGTAATCTACCTAAAAATGGCTTCAAAGCGCGCTTGCGACTGCTGCAGCATCCGCAAGGTCAAATGCAACGGCCAGCAGCCATGCGAGCGTTGTTCGCAGCATCTTCTGGACTGCACCTACCTACGAGTGCGCCGGAAGAGTGGCCCAAACCGCTTGAGACACTCATCACTCTCCAAGATCTTGAAGCATCAGCGATCATCATCGGCCCACCCGCAAGGCCAAGGCGAGCCCCAAGCCCTATACAGTCCGTCTGCACAAGATGCCTCGGGCCTCAACCCCCTTCGACCGCCTGTTACACTGTCAGCATTGCGGCGTGTGTTGTGCATTTACCAAAACCAGCTATATGGGATATGGCCGCTGCTGAATGCAGATGAGCTCATCGTACAGCTGGAGAACAATCCCACTAATCCGGAAATCCTCACGTTGGCTGCTGCATTATGTGCAGCTACTCTATCCCACCTGAACCAAACTGTCTGCGATGACGCCGAATCCAACACACGGAACTCCCCTGATATTCTGACTGCGAACTCATTTGCTCAACAAGCCCGACAATTGCGATCGACCTTTGACTTCACGGAACATGTCACTCCCAACTCTGTCCTCACCTCCTACTTCCTTCACATATACTACGGGCGAGAACTGGCGCGCGAAAATACCGCCGCATTTTATATTCGTGAGGCTATCACTTTCGCCAATCTCCTGGATATGCATATTGAGTCGACCTATCTTAACCCGCAGTGGACTGTCCGGGAGCGGCATACCATGCGCAAGCTGTATTTCCTCCTTATGATGACGGAGCGATTCTTGTGCATCCGGTATGGCCTACCTACTGTATTGGAACCAATTGCATTACCCTCAATTGAGAATGAGGATTACCCAACCCTGGTCTCCGGATTTATCAATCTTATCGCGCTGTTCTATACTCCCGGCAACGAATTCTTCCTTAAGTGGACCGCGCAAGGTGCAGGGGCCTCACTAAGCAGTAAACAGCTCCTCCTTATCCAGCGCGAGTTAGAACTCCCAGCGGATATTCCCTGTTGCGTGAATGATATCCAGAGAGTAGACATCATTGCCACACAGCACTGGATGCGGTCACTTGCCTGGAAACTGTCCATCCAATGTGGCTACATTACGCCACAGGCACAGTCGACCTGCCGTGAGATGAGCCTTTCATACCCTGTGCAGATCGCGCTGGACGCGCTGGCCAGTCTAGTACCTATCTCACTCACAGCTTTCGAGGTCCACGGACCTGGTATGGAATCGAAAATATACGAAATCACAGACACGTTAGCAGACTCCATATTATGCGAAAAGCCGATCGAAATTGTATCTGGCATGCAGGTGGGGCCGCGTGAAACGCTCAAAGGCCTGAGCGACTTGCTGTTCTCGACTACGGCCCTGAACCTGGAATTACGGGATTCTCTACTTCACAAATTGGAGCGTGTTTTCGAATCCGCTTCGATACCTGTCGTGAAAGAATATGTGGATATCGAGGATGATACAATTTACCTTGCAGAAGATAGTGAAGGGTATCTACTCGGTGAAGTTTCTTCACTTCTCACTTCTAATTCTGCGGCAGTCATCGCAAGTAGTGAAGAAATTGCCTTTCATGTGGTGTGACTGCTGGTATATTCTTCTCTAATGCTGAATGGTTTTCTGCGCATAAAGAGGTCGCTATTAGGCTTTGCTTTCTGTCTTTGGATGCAATATGATATATTCGTGCTGAATCACAATGTAGGACTCTTGTGTCTTCCAATAGTTGCAGAGACTCGCACCCAATTCAACCTTGTTCTATATGGCAGCAGGGCTTCGAATTGAACTTCAACGTAATTACATATATATAATATTCTCATCAACAGGTAAAAATCAAGAATTTCACTGACACCAGACAACTATGAAGTTTCACCTTGGATCCACTACGGATAACGACGGATAACGCGTCTCGATACTGGAGCAATCGTTCATTTTCTTTGACAAACTAGTCGTCCATACCCTCAATGACATAATTCTTGAATTTCCGCGCTGGCACCCTTTTCTCAAACATCAGGTCCAGCTCCTCGTAAGTCCTTGATTTTGTTTCAGGCAGCCTGAAGTAACACCAAGTTAGCGAGAAGACAGAAATCCCCCCGTAAAGGAACTCTATCTTGGCTCCCGCACCAGCAGCCCCGGGATTAAGCAGATAAGGCCCGATGACAGTCGTGACTAGTCCGGTAAGTGCGTCGATTGCAGTCGCTATGGCGATGGTCTTCGACCGCAATTTTGTGGAGGGGGTTTCGCAGACAACCACATACGTCAATGGGCCAAGCGTCATCTACCAGACGAAGCTAAGGACAATCAGCAGTGTTGACTGTGTCCAACGATAAACGTCATTTGTTACGTAGTCATGTGCTAAGCAAAGGAGTGCAACAATGAAGAGGATCGAAACAATAGAGGTGATGCTAAATAGGTAGCAGGAGCGCCGGCCAAAGTAGATAAGAGGAATGGCGGACATCAAAGTGCCAACAAATCCTACGCCATTCAGGCCAACGCCTATGTCGAAGGCCTGTTTGCTGTTGAGACCGGTTTGCTCGAATAGGTACGTTGCGAACCCGACAGGATTTCCCGAGAAGTTCTGGATCACAAAAAGCATGACGCATATTTCCATGCGGCGACGATTCACACCCTTCCAGCAGTCGGCATATGTTGTACCGATATCTAACTGAGCCTCAAGGATGTTGGTCTTGACCATCATTGCCAGGGTTTCTTGGAGATTGATGTTGGGATGGGGCTTAGAGAGCCGACGCAGGGACTTGAGCGCGTCTTCCATGCGATTCTGTCGGATCAACCACCAAGGGGACTCAGGAACATATGCTAGGCCGGCCAGCAACACGACAGGCTATACCCACTGGATGGCGAAAGGGATACGATAGGCCCACTCGCTCGTCCACGAGATGAACCCCCGCATCACGCCGGTCTGGATGAACTGGCCCATTACATAGGACAGATTAATGTAGCCCGTTAGGAAGCCGCGTAGACGAAGGGGAAGCACCTCCGATGCATAGGTTGTGGAAATGACACAATAAGTACCCCAGACAATACCGGAAAGGTACTGAGACGCGGTTAACACCTCGATGCTCTGCGCAAAGAACTGCATGAATGTTAATGCAGCCGTGCAGCAGAGGGATACTGCAAATGTTTTCTTGCGCCCAAACCGCTCCATCGGAAATGTCACCAAATAGGCACCCAAAATCTGGCCGACCAGAGAGCCCATGGACATTGCGACTTGCCACTTAGCGGGGATCTGCCAGCCGGAGCCCTCGTAATATACACCGAATCGCTTCTGGAATGCCGGAAGGGCGTAAAAGTTGCCCAGAATCTCGATGTCTTATGCACGCATGATGATCGACAAGGAGATGAACATGGACCATAAGGCACCCTTGCGGTAGATGACGAATGCTTCCCAGTATCCCATGTCGTGCTCGGTGGCTGTACCGCGTTTAGCCATCTCTCGGCTGAGGTCATTCATCTTCTCATTTCTCATATCTTCCATATCCGGCCCCTGCTCGGGGTCGACGGACACAGCGTGTTTGGACAATGCCATGCTTTCAGTACCGTTTTTCTCCATAGTGCCGAGCGGATACCATATAGAGTAATGTGGAACATATATATATATATATATATATATCCAAATAAGAATGATCGAATTATTCCGTGGAACTGAGGGAGTCTTATATGGCCTTTGGTAGAACTCGAGGCCGTCAGTCTGTACATGTGTACGTGACCAATCCCATTCGCCCAGTTGCAGAGTGATCAAAAGCGGGGGAATTTGCGGGGAAACTCGCGGGTCCCCCAATCACACCTAATAATGTACAATGTAATAATCAACCAGTAGGATAAATAGGTCGAGAAATATGCACAGACAATCCGAGCACATGGAGTTCGCCGGGAGAATCATCATTACTAGGTGGCCGACTCTCTCTTTCTCCTTGACCCCGCCCTATTCCGCCGAGAATCTGGCCGAGAAGCCCACACTTGCTCAAACTCAAGCCGTGCCGAACGATCATATCGGAGCGGGCCAGAATCTACTCGACTGTGGAGCGGATATTTAAAAAAAACTAACTGCAAAAAAACTAACTGCACTCGACCTGGTGAGGTCTTCGGGCCAAGTCAGCGGGACGTCCAAATTGTCGACGTAAAACAGCACCGATGGCATCGGAATTACTTTGGTACGATACTCCAGCAACTTGCTGGTAAGAAGGGCTACCTATCGGCAATGGCCGCATTGGAGCCGTTATAAAATCTGCTCTACACCACAAGATCTGGGATTTGACTGAGGTAACCTTCTGGTCTGGTCAAGCAGAACAATCGTCAGTCAACAGCACAAACATTGTGACACAAGCAGAAAAGTTCCCAAGTGTTCCTATGCCCAATTTCCTAAACTTTCTACCCATAATGGAATATGTTCAAAACATATCAAGAAGCCAATCGTTCGGACCTGAACATGCTGTTTAGTGTCAACTAATGTTTCTTGCCAGTACTAACCGCACGGTGGCCAAATCGGTCCCCAGGCCCTTTGTACTCAAACGTGGCAGGGTGGAAAGCAAATTTGCTGTCTCAAATGACTATAAATCTCTATTAGAGACGATGGATCGACATACTAAGAAAGACATGCGGTAAACTACAGACATCATCTGCATTCCCCTACTCGAATCTGACATGAAGATCATGATTCTCAAGAATGTTATTGTAGTTCTTGTGGTATAAAGTTGATACGGATAAGGAACAAAGCCTGCCCCATCTATATAAAGATCCAAGTTGGTTGAAAATCAACTTGAAATTCGTATTAGATATATGGCCAATTATATTCCCTTGGAAATCATAATAAACCATTAAAGGGTCTATTCATGTGTACCCGCAAGAACCCAAGAGCTGGGCTGTGAGTGCAAAAGCCCGCACATGTTACTCGTGGGCAGGCTTCGTTTTGGCGAGGCCTTGACCGTAAAGGGATTATGAGACTTACGAGTCGTGTAAAATAGAAACACCAAAACTTATTGCATTATCGACTTATTGACTCCATTGCTACCATAGAACGTTGTGCCTACTACGCTCGATATCGAGTCTGCATGTGGCTAACAATATATGATCTGTTCCTTGCTAGAGGTGGCCAGAGTAAAAAAACAGTATAGCAGTGCTAGCATTACACGCGACAGTAGTCTTTCGTGTCCTTACCCAAAGCGACTGACATATGTAGAGCCGAAATAACGTTTGAGAAACAATCAGTGGCGGAGTTCTGACGGGTAATTAAAGACTATTCACCCGAGGTACGCAAAAGTCTCCACCGTGGAGGACCGTGGAGGAGGAATGAGTCATGTGATGTGTCTGCCAGTGTGCTTTTGACGCCAGGGGTGTGGGTAAACCGGATGCCTCAAAGCCGATAATCCCCGGTGCGGAGGATATTTGGATACTTAAGCATATGATTCTCTGCAGGCCAGAAGGGTTGCTACAAACAACTACAATCATTCGCTCAATTCTGCCCTAGCTATAGAAAGCAGCAAAAGTCACAACCTGAAACATGACGTTCGACAATGTCAGCGTTGGTGGAGAGAGCGCCTCAACATCTGCATTCGCTGGATCGAAACTGCCCATTGATGATATCAAAATCATATATTTCGAGGCATACGGTAAGGTGTACTAATGAATTTCACCTCTCTCCTCTTATTCCCCATGTCCTTTTCGGGTATAGTCTGACATGGGCTGGAAGAAGAGAAAGTACTGCTCGCTGACTGGACAGTAAGTGTGCCGGTGAGTAAGCAGTGACTGAGTGATCACTGAGCGATCACATGACTGCACTGACCAGATCACCGAGCATGAGCCCGTGCTGACATTTACTCAGTGAGCCTGAGCGTGCTTGCCCTCATGAAAGCGGCGGGAGCCCAGATAGAAAAGCCCCATCCGGCGGACATTATCCTGTGTATATAGTCACATATATCTTTGTCCCCGAAAGCCAATATTCATGGAGGGTTTCCCTTTATCAAGAGGTATAGAAACCAGTTGTCCACTTCAGAGGAATACATGAAAGTTTTCGGTCATAAATCAGACTCACTATACGAGCCAAAGACAACACATCTGACCTTTTCGAGTAAATACGACCTGTTTCTTTGTTTGACACTTCTGATTACCTAAATGAGAAGCGAGAACCATTCTGTCCAAATTGTTTTGTTTGATGCATCCCAACTTTCCTCTTGTCATTAGGCTGCACGAAATTGGAAGGGTCACTATCTTCGTTTCGAGCCTATCCTCTAGTAGTTCTTTTCCATCGCGATTCTCATTAGTTAACGTACCTTCGCAGTAACAATGTGGTCCCAACACATGAGTGGCCAAGCCGGACGATTACTGTTCCAGGAGTGTGATACACTCCTAAACTTCAAACGTGATGCAGTATACCTTTGCAAGTTAAACCTAAGTGAAACCCATAGATGTCGAATTTGTGCCGCAACTCGGTCTCAGAGATTTCATCACATTCAGACAAAGAAGATTGGAACCTCGAGAGCGAAGTACTTTTGGTCGTGGCTGAGTCTTTGCTGTTGGAGCGACAGACTCGGGAACAAAGAAACTTTTAATCGCATACATCCTTTGTTCAGCCGAGTCACAAGAATCTTAAACTGCCATGATCTCCTCATAATTAACCGCTTGAAAAACTGATTACATCTCTTTCCATCAGTCCGAATCAATTAACTCTCAACCACTCCTTGACCCTTTGAAACGAAAGCTCCTTACTCGAGTCAAGCCGCAAAGGAAAACTTCAGAAGCAAGAACAGGTAATGTTCTACCTTCCAGTATTCGCTCATTCACCACTTTGAAAATTGGCTGACTATTAGTTGCTAGACTAAGTTAGCATTATGCCACCGCGTCAAACAAGATCCATGACAGGTGCTTTAGTCAAAAAGGCCATTGCAAAGACGTCAGCACGGACTAAAGCCTCGGAGGGTAGTCCACCAACGAAGAGACAGAAGACAAAAAAAGTCGAAGATACAGTCGCAACGATTCATTCGGAGAGTTCTACGAAAAGGTCACAACAAGATGTGAACGTGGCGAAATCTCCGACTGCTCCAATGTCGCCGGACCTCAACAAGCCTTTTCGCATTGTTGCCTCCTCCGGGATTGCCTTGGAGTTCCCCGTTGCAGCCGATGCTCCATGTAAACTCTACTATGGAGAGGATGCACCATACCCTCGTTGGAGAACTCTTCTGAACAAGTTGCCTCTCGGCAAAGATCTTGAGAAAGATATGATCAGGACACACCCTGGCAGGACCCATATCCCAGGGGTAGCACCAGGTAGTCATCCCAGGGTTAATGACTACGCTGTTGGACTAGGAGCCCTTAAGTGGAGCTTTGAACCAGGTCCACATACAGGCTGGGCCAGCTTGACAGGCCAGGAACTTTACACGCATGCCTACAGTCGTCTTTTAGAGGCCTTGGATTGTCCATTCTCTCGAGGGCAATTACGAGAGGCAATACGCAAAGGAGAAAATGCACACTATATCGCCTATGTTGAAGACCCGCTGCCAGCCCCGCCACGTTTGGATAGCGTGGGCACAACGCCTGCACTCGAAGGTACCTTCAACCGAATCGGGGATTCTGCAAATCACCTCAACAATAAGTACATCATGTTCCCTGGCCCCAACAGATATGCACGCCCGGAACTCTACTATCGACCAGGCGTGGCCTCGACCAAGTGGGAAGGGGATGTGGGCCACCTTTTCTCAACTTTGAAGAGGAATAGGAAAGGCACATTTGGTCCTCTGGATCAACAGGATATTTCCTTCGACCCAGTTGCTGTGCCAAATGTGAAGGCTACAAAAAAGCGGGCTCTCGCTAAGCGGGCAAAAGCAGTCAAGAAGCTGGCTACAAAGGGTGCAAAGAAGCAGGTACTCAAGGTTGCAAGGAAGCAAGCCCACAAGGGCGCGGAGGTCCTGGATATCAATTCGGAACAGACAACAATTGGCATTCCGCCAGCCTTGCACAGACAAACTCGGGAACCTTCTGAGGCAGAAAGTGCAGCTGAAGGCGAAGGCAATATTACAGAAATCGGTGAGTAAAGTGCATTTTTCTATCGTCAACAGTCTTAGTTCAGAGCATGTTTCTGCCTCTTTTCCCGTGTTCTCTCAGATTTCTGCCATGATTTTGTGAGGAATGTGGCAATGCAGTCCTTGGGAGAGGGATCCGCCCTGATGAAGGACGATATGGAAGCTAGATATCTCTCCATCTTTGGATGCATTCAATGCAACGTGATTGTTGCATGAGGCTACAGGGAGTTGATCTTGCAGACATTCTCCCTCATGGCCCCTTTGCATACGGTATTCCTGTCTGGGGAATTAGCTTCGATGTTGATCTTGATTGGCTACTGATACTGACCCTTCTACGTTGAATAGAACAACCATTATCGGATATCGAAATTGGTGAGTCCATTCGCTACTGCTCTGGGAAATTGCACCCTATGCTCGATTTTACCTCAGTCACTGACAGGACTCGTCATCAAGTGGAATCTGTACACGAAGCACATGCACAACATCGTGGCCCCGGTAAAAAGGAAAAACAACCTGTCCCAGTCCCAGTCCAAGCTCATGCTCCAGGTTCGAGTCAGACAGCAGATGGTGCCGGAGATGAAATTTCCAAGATACTGTTCCCGCCATTGGAGTCAGACGAAGCTGCAAACTATATCCGTATGTGCAACGCGATCCTCGAAGATCCTGAAGCGCGCCACAAACATTATCCGAAGGTTGAAGCTTTTCGTCGGATACGATCATGGGCCGGCGCTGTGATGCCCGATGGAGTCGAGAGTTATGTCAAGGCGAATGCGTCTAAGGTTCCCACAGCCCATAGACCATTTCGTAACACGAAGAGGCCACGGGAGGTAAGTGATGAATAGAAAAGTATGACAAGAAGTGTCACTGATGATCAATCTACTAGGTCTCTAACGATAAGTGAAGCTTGAAGCGCTACCTAAGTAGGTGTGCTACCGGGTGCCTTGTGGTCGCAATTCCCAGCAGCAAGCCACAGGTTGGGGCATGACACTGAGCGGCGTGGGAGGTTGATACCCAGGATATATCTTGTGATCAGGTCGAGAAGGGATAGATTAGAGCAGGGTAGGAGGAGGGAGTTTGAACATTTGTTCCATAGATTCTGTTCATTATGTTTGTTGATGTTATTGTCGTAAATGAATAGATTTGACATTTTCTTCTTCTAGACATTCAGTAACTCGCTGGTTATCAGTGACTTCGTGGTTTGTACATACTCGCCGCAGATCACCTGACCATGGACACAAACAGCACAAACACCACCACCGGGCCCGACAAGGGCAGCTCTGAGTGTCACCGAAAACCCGCTCACTTAGCTTTGCCTAGCCCCTTGTTCTTGCTTCGATTGAGGGAGGAAATTTTTGCTGATCACTATGAGACGATGAAATATCCAGTTCATTGATCGTCAACTCAATACCCGGCTTGATTGTGCGCTTCTCGTCGCAGATCCATCCGCGCGTGCTCCCGTCTTTAACGACGAGCAATCACAATGTTCACATTCACTCCCCTTCTCGGGGCGCAGTCGTCATCCTCGAGGGCCTCACAGTCGATTCTTGAACTGGATGGCGGTATCAAGATTCTGGTGGACGTTGGTTGGGACGAGTCTTTTGATACTCGTGACCTGGCAGAGCTCGAGAAGTGAGCTAGAACCCGAGCCTCTCCATGCGACTGAAGAATTGAAGCTGACCCAACACTTCAAATAGGCACATTCCAACTCTCTCGTTGATTCTTCTGACCCATGCGACCCCGGCGCACATTGGTGCTTTTGTCCACTGCTGTCGAACGTTCCCTCTGTTCACTCAGATCCCGATTTACGCGACAAACCCTGTCGTCGCGTTTGGTCGCACGTGTTTACAAGACCTCTACGTCTCATCGCCACTTGCGGCAACATTCCTCCCGAAGGCCTCAATCTCAGAACCTGGTGCGTCGTCAACAGCATCCGCCGTAGGCTCGGTGGGAGACGGCGAAGACAGCACCGAAGCTGCTGGCAGCTCAGGTCGGATTCTTCTCCAAGCCCCGACAACGGAGGAAATTGCGAGATACTTCTCCCTCATTCAGCCTCTCAAATATTCACAGCCACACCAACCCCTCCCGTCTCCGTTTTCACCGCCTCTGGACGGACTCACCCTAACTGCTTATAATGCCGGACACACCGTTGGAGGAACGATATGGCACATTCAGCATGGAATGGAATCTATCGTTTACGCAATGGACTGGAATCAGGCCCGAGAGAGCGTCGTGGCAGGTGCTGCATGGTTCGGTGGCTCCGGAGCGAGTGGCACTGAGGTCATTGAGCAATTGCGAAAGCCAACGGCTCTGATCTGTAGTGCGAACGGGGGTGACAAGTTTGCAGTTTCTGGCGGCCGCAAGAAGAGAGACGATCTCTTGCTGGACATGATTCGAAGCAGTCTGGCCAAAGGCGGTACCGTCCTTATCCCGACGGACACGAGCTCGCGTGTACTGGAATTGGCGTATGCACTCGAGCATGCTTGGCGTGATGCGTCGAATCCCGAGAAGGGCGATGTTCTTCAAGGTGCTGGTCTCTATCTAGCTGGCAGGAAAGTCAACACCACGCTGCGACTTGCCCGAAGTATGCTTGAATGGATGGACGAGAATATTGTTCGAGAATTCGAGGCGGCAGAGGGTGCCGACGGCCAAAAGGCTGGCGGTCAAGGTCAAGAAAAGGGAAGCGGGAAAGGCGTCGGTCCCTTTACTTTCAAGCATCTCAAGACTGTAGAGCGCAAGAAGCGCCTCGAAAAGATTCTGGCTGAGCAGGGGCCCAAAGTCATCCTGGCGTCCGATACCTCTTTGGCCTGGGGTTTCTCAAAGGAGTCACTCCGGCAAGTCGCGGAAGGTCCTAACAACTTGCTCTTGTTGACTGAGTCGTTCCGAAAGAGCATGTCCGATGCAAATGAGGAGCTTTCCAATACATCATCTCTTGGAAGCATGATTTGGCAATGGTATGAGGAACGAAGAGATGGAGTCGCGCTGGAGAAAGGGCCCGATGGAGAACTACTCGAGCAAGTCCATAGCGGCGGACGGGAATTGACCTGGACCGACGTGCAGCGAGCTCCTTTGGACGTGAGGGACCAATTACTCTACCAGCAGTATCTCGCTACAAAACGACAACTCCAGGATACTTCCCAGGTACGAGGTCAAGATAACCTCGAGAATGCGGCGGATGCACTGGACGACCGGTCTAGCTCTACGTCTTCTGAAGACTCCGATTCCGAACAGCAGGGTCGAGTTCTCAACTTCTCTACAACGCTCGCACACTCGAACCGGAGTAAGCTGGCTCTGACTGATGAAGACCTGGGTATTAACGTCCTTCTCCGACGCAAGAATGTTTACGACTACGACGTGCGAGGCAAGAAGGGACGCGAACGCATGTTTCCATACGTGGCGTCGCGGAAGAAAGGCGATGAATACGGAGAGTTCATTCGGCCAGAAGAGTACCTTCGCGCAGAAGAGCGTGAAGAGATCGATATGCAACAACGGCGATCGGACGCGCAGACAAAGCTTGGCCAGAAAAGACGTTGGGACGAGGCAGCTGGGACCGGTGGACGAAGGCTCTCCGATGGTGCTGGAGGTCGCAAACGCCAGCAGTTATCAACAAACGGCCAGAAAGTCGATTCGGGCATTCCCGATGACCTCAGCCTTCCGTCGGAGGGCGAAGGTGCTGATGCGGCTGCATCCTCGGAAGACGAGGCGGACATGCAATCATTCGAGGGCCCCGCCAAGGCCGTATATAATAAAGAGACGATCACGATCAATGCCCGCATTGCCTTTGTGGATTTCATGGGCTTGCACGACAAGCGCAGTTTGGAGATGTTGATCCCTCTTATCCAGCCACAAAAGCTAATCCTTGTCGGTGGAATGAAGGATGAGATTTCAGCATTGGCAGACGAGTGTAAGAAGCTGCTCACTGTGAAGGTTGGCGGGGATGTTTCCACTACAAGTGCGGATGCTGCCGCTATTATCTTCACCCCTGCAAATGGAGAGGCCGTTGACGCCAGTGTCGACACCAATGCCTGGACAGTGAAGCTGAGCAACACTCTCGTCCGACGTCTCAACTGGCAGCATGTCCGCAGCCTTGGTGTCGTCGCTTTGACCGCACAACTTCGGGCGCCCGAGCTTCCCGTGGAGGAAGAGGACGTTGACGTCGACGCGGCTGGCAAGAAGATGAAGCTAGTCAAGGATGAAGCGGCTTCGTCTGCAGTGGTCCCGTCCATCGACGATGCCGCCCAGACCACCGAAAAGTCTGAAGCCTTCCCTCTTCTCGATACATTGCCCGCCAGCATGGCTGCCGGTACTCGGTCTATGGCTCGTCCACTCCACGTCGGTGATCTTCGTCTTGCTGATCTTCGCAAACTCATGCAAGCTGCTGGACACACCGCAGAATTCCGTGGTGAAGGTACCCTTCTCATCGACAAGTCGGTTGCTGTACGCAAGTCAGGCACTGGCAGAATCGAGATCGAAGCCGCGGCACAGGCGGCAGCGAACCAGGCGGCTCTTGGCCGTAATGCTGGGAGCTTCCTTGCGGTGAAGAGGAAGATTTACGAGGGCTTGGCTGTTGTGGCAGGGAATTAGGACGGAATGATATGTATTTTTATACTTTATGATGTATAACTTGAACAGCATCGCAGCATTCAGAAATTTCCATCATTTGCACGTAGGGGCCAATATGGCAATGATGATCAATGAAATCGCTATCTCTGCCGCCTCTTTTTATTTATTTAGGGATTGACTTATCGTGGAAGCGCGTGATCCGCGAAAAGGAACGCATGGCGAATGCTGAGTCCAAGACAAACCCCAACATCCCTTCATGGGGTCGTGTTATGGTGCCTGCTCCACAGTACGGGTAATACTTTCAGAAGATGACGTAGCGATCTGGCAAATTTGGGCAAGATTAGTGGGTCCTTCCCTAGACTGTCCACTGTCATTGATGCAAAAAGCAAGTGCATGTAACCCCTATGCACCTAATGAGATTACGAATCAAGTATGAATGGCGACGATCACGCTCGTGTGTTATTTTCAGTATCCTTGTACAGTATATCATATCAACGATGAGCTTATTACCATCTGGCCTCGGAGCTTAAATTGAGCCAAAAGTTCCGTGATTGGTGGTTTCCTTATCGCCGAACTGGTCACGGGATCAACCCCACACTCTGGCTATCTTGTTCCGTCAACGACTGCAACTTCAGGCCATATAACAACTCTGCAAATGGAAGTGGAGTCATGGATCACCGAAGACGTGCGACTCGAGCGTAAGTATTAAGGAATATTATAAGATTGGACCTTTATCTAATATATTGCTCACAGATGTGATGAGTGTCGGCGTTTGAAAGAGAAATGTGAGGGTGGGCCCCCTTGTAGGAGGTGTCTCCATTTCCGACGCCCATGTGAGAAAGGCCCAGTCCCACGGACGCGTGAATTCAGGGCATACGTTCCAGAGTGAGTGCTCGTGATGCGCCTTTGGGGTCAGAAAATCGCTAACATACATAGGGAACGAGTGGCCAGGTCTGACTTTCAAGAATTGATCGACCGCTCAAGATATATGGAACGTATATTAAAGCGTACCATTGAAGGAATTCGACTTGATACAAAGAGCCTTGCCAAACTCGCCGATACACTTGATGCAGACGGCAGTAGTGCGTGCGTTGTTGCCCCGGACGCCCAAGAAGTCGAAGGATTAGTGATGGACGATGAGGCCTGTACAATGGATCCGGTAGGAGATAACACTACACGTCGGTCTACTCAAGTAATCTCAAATTTGGTTTGTTACTGACTTTGTCTAGACTTTTCCGGGGAGTTTTCTTATTGGAATTTCTCTATGCGGCTAAAGCAGCACATTGAGCAAATGGGGGGATTGGAGAGCCGGGTATGCTCCATTCAAACTCTGGAAATTGAAGCAAGTTGTCTAACTGAGGTGTGATATCAGACAAATGGATCTAGCCCTGGATGGGATTTCCCACGAGCTCACCAATTGCGTCCAGGACGTGATGACCTCTCGGCTGCAATATCGTGCTGCCCCCCTCGTCCAATTGCCGAGTTTTTAGCGAGGAATTTTTTCAAATACGCCGAGACTCATTACTTTTTCGTTGGAAGAACTTGGTTTATTGACAGAATGAATCTTCTCTATGGCGATCCCAGCAGTTTTGCCAAGAAGGGGGGCGAAGTGATCATCAGCATCCTGCTTACAGTATTTGCGATCGGGTCCCAATATGCACACCTTGAATCCTCGACACATAGTTCGACCAGCATGTCAGGTCAGAATTTCTCGGAAGAAGATATCGGGGCGACATTTTATCAGCAAGCGATTCGATTACTGCCTGAGATTATCGAGCTATCCTCCCTTGAAAGTGTCCAAGCCTGTCTTCTCTTTGGCTACTATGCACTACCTGTTGATACTTCGGGCTTGGGGTATATTTACGTCAATCTTGCAATCCGGCTTGGAATGCAGAACGGCATGCATCGGAGATGCAAAAATGATGCCTTCAGTGCGACTATGGTTGAGACGCGCAATCGTGTATGGTGGACGGCATACTTACTTGAAAGGTACAGTATCTACAGCTAATAGGTACATAGCATCGCTCACTAACAGAGGCTAGAAAAATTTCCATCTTCCACGGCAGACCTCTTTCAGTGCTCAGAACCGACGTTGATGCGGCACTCCCTACTTACCGGCCTGAACTAGCATTGGACGACACTCGCACAAGCGTCGCGCGCGCCGAGGCCTCAGTTCAATTAATTCACTTTCTAGAAGACCTGTTTTGTGATGTGTACGTGCTGATCGCCTCGGTATATGACCAAGACTAATACACCCATAGAAGCAATCTTCGCAATTGCCACAAACAGCACATCCCTAAAACCATATCCCATCTCTTGACCAGCAAAGCGGCACTGAAAGAGTGGTGGAGCTCTCTACCCCAAGAGGTTGTCAGCAGCGGCTTGCAGCCAATAGCGCAACTCCGTTCAGTCATGCATCTCCAGCTGGAATATTGCTTGGTTCGCATGTTTATCGGGCGGCCATTCCTACTAAAGAAAGATATTTCCGAATCGATGAACAATTCACCAGCGGACTCGGAACCAAATACTGCCGACAAGAATTCAGTCTCCGATGGTGCAGGCTTCAAGCACCCATTGAGTCGCAAAGACTTGATTGACGATTGTATCGAGGCAGCAACAGAGGCATTGGGCATTCTACAAGAATTACGGGACTGTGGAGCCGGCCTTGCACGAGCTTCGTACATTGAATATAGCTCATGCCGAGCGTCGTTGCTTGTTTTGATTGCCTACTCCATACAGAACTTCTCCGAGCAATATCGGACCTTGCTGTACAAAGGACTGGACATGATTCGAGAGATGTCTGCGGCCGGAGAGTCGGCTCAGTCGGAGGTGTCTTTGATCGAAACGCTGGAGCGTGCACTTGCGCGTCTCCATGCTGGAGTCCAGCAGTCTCGGAGCGGGGATGTGGCTCTAACGGAGCGTCCCATCTCGGATTACGAGGCTTTCAAGCATTGGGGAGCTAGACTCAGAGAAGGGGTCGTCCTTGAAGCAGCCGGTAGTGCTGCAGATTCTTCTTATGGCCAGACTGGGGATCCAGGGCTACCACCTGACCAACCTTCGGGGTTCTATACTCAGTCCAATGACCGTCTTATGAATATGGACTACACGCAGGCATCTTTGGCTGTGTCTGATCGAGACATGGGTATGCTCGGTGTTCTTGACCCCATCATCGATATACCATTCTTCGGCGCTGAAAACGCATCACCATCAGCGGCGTGGCCCACTTGGACGGAGACCCAAGTGCTGGAACAATTTCTCACAAGCCCAGAATATGGGGCAACCCAGGGTATGGACATGAGCAGACATTGAACGGCTTTCTCTGAGCTTGTGTATACATCATATTGTACAATTCTATACATTTCATTTGGTGTTATTCTAAATTACATAAACTTCTTCAAATCGAAGCCGCAATAATCTTATCGGCCATTGCGGGCAGTGTATTCTCAACCACCTCCAACTCGGCATCGAAGATCTCGGCACAAGATTCGCGCTCATAAACAGTACAATAAGCACCACGGAATCCCACCTTCACAGCAGCAGTGACATCCCACATATGTGCCGCCGCAAACCACTTTGCGTCCTCCTTCTTAAACTGGGCCAGAGCAGGCCTATACGCCGCCAGTGCTGGCTTCGCCACACCAGCCGTATCACAGCTAATAAAGTTCTCCAGAGGCATGTCAACACCACCACGCTCGAAGTATCCTCGTACACGCTTAGTGTCACCGGTCGTCAGACACCACACAGTGAAGCCAGCATCGCGCAGCTTAGCAAAGCAGTCTTTGGTTCCAGGACGTAGCTCCAACTCCGAGTATCCCTGTGCGCACTGATCTCGCTCAGCTTCAGTAGCGAAGCCACGAGGGTCCTCGACGCCCATCATATATAGCGTGCGGAAGAAGAGGGCCGACATGACTTCTTTATACGGTTTGTAGCGCTCGGATATAGAGAGGAATGTAAACTCCAGCTCGGCGGCTGTCATCCAGGTGAAGCCGAAGGAACGAGCGGTGATGTTTCGGGCTAGGAGGCGGTTGCCGATGACCTTGTCAATGCCATTGTAGAAGGCGTCGAAAGAGACGCATGTGCCGACTACGTCGAACACGACTTGTTTTTGGCCGGTCATTGCGAGGGAAAGAAAGTGATTGAGCGAAGTCTTGATGAGGCTCTATTGATATTCAGGCGGTGCGGGGTTCAAATAGCAGGACGTCACTTGCGTTGCCAGGAAGCAGGAAGCGATCTGGATTTGAAAGACTCAGATACCTCGCAGGATAGTAAAGTTGTTTTCCTTAATCCAATTGCAAAGTTTCAGGCTCAGTGCAGGAAGATAAGCTTCGTAAACTAATCAAATGACTCTTTGGTGGTCACTTGTCCTTTTTCTCCACCGCACTGGAAGCTCCCAACTGCTATCGCAAGCTCCGGTGCCACTATTCCCAATTGGGAAGCTCCGGTCCGGTCAAACCGTATTGGATGCTGGAAATTATCAACAGCTCTGCATGAGGATGGCTTGTGAATTTCGACCCCTATCTACGGAGTACATGATTGATAGAAGAAAGGCTAGATTTCCTATCCATCCTGGGTATTATTCATTCTCTTAGAGCACGAGAAAGCACCTTTGTTACGAAGTGGAGCGTATTGAGATAACTCAGATAAGCTAATCTCTCCGATTTCGTAAGCTGAACAAAGTAATCAATCGCTAACGACATCGTAACAAAACAATTGTAGCCTTGGTGGTAACTCAACGACCGATGACACTGAGTATGGTGACCGATTAGTGTCTTGAAAATGCACCTCATTTCACTTAGAAACATAATGAAAAAACATTTGCAAAGAGAGGATGCCGAGGCATGGCATATTGAGAAGTTTTCGCACGGATCCTGCTTGATATCTATTGAACTTCCGTGCAGTTCTGTTTAACCTAGGTCCAGTATCGAAAGTGTTAGGTACCCAGTATTGTTTCAAGGTACTTGGTAACTCAAGCGAGCAAATTTACCATAATCATGTTCTATACTGAAATAGAGAGAATTGCATTTGCTAAATATTTGACAAGGTATGTCCCAACATCAAGACCATAGAATGTTCAATCGCTGAATCCCACGCTTGGGAGCAGGCTCTGGCTCAGGATTCTGCTGATAATGCTCAATGAAAGGTCGAATAGGAATGTCCTCCAAGGGTATAATCTTCGTCTTCATCCAAAACTTGTAACCAAAATACACGATCAGGATAAAAGGCAAATTGAAGTAGGAGGATATGAATGTCTCTGTTGACCAATGCCCTTTCATAAACGTAGAGTAACCTCCAGTGAGGAAGAGTAGAACGAAAACGACCAATGAGATCCATGACCCATACGGCTGGAAGGGAGCCGCCCAAGGGAGCTCTCGCTTTCGGTCGATACCCTGCTTCTTGCAGCCGTATAAAAATCGAAGATAGACAACCAGGATAGTTATCCAGTTAACTATCGTGGAGATAGAAACGAGATCTTGGAGCCACGTAAATGCCAATGAAGCACCGTCGGATAGACTCATATAGCCCAAGGCCATAAAGATGCCGTAGAGGGCGACCGCGACGTAGGGAATCGAGAAGCGGTTGAGACGCTTGAAAACAGCTGGAGCATGACCTTGCATTGCCATTCCATATAGAATTCGAGAGCCGCCGAGCATGTTGGAGTTACCCGATGACCAAGCTGAGGTTAGGACAACGGCGTTGATGATTGATGGGACTACTTTAATACCGGCATCCTTGGCGGCGATAACGAAAGGAGATTGTGCAGCAGTACCACTGTCTCGAAGAAGCTCAGGGTCGGCCGAGGAAACAACAAGACCAACCATGAAAATTGTCAGAACGTAGAATAACAGGATACGGACAAAGATACGTCGTGCAGCCATTGGAATTGCTTGCCGAGGGCATCTAGTCTCTGCAGCGGCAACGGTGATGTTCTCAATGCCCGAATAAGCATATAGAGCATTGCTGAATGTGGTCCAAAATCCGAGGAATCGACCTAATGAGCCTTTGATGCCGAGATATTGGACAAACGGGCCGTATGGAGCTTTCCAATATTCGAAGCCTGTAGTTTTGTGGTTTGGCGCTCCGCCACATGTAATGACCAAAGCCATGATGTTGATACCGACGACCAACATGATTTTGAGGATCGAGAAGCCGAATTCAAGTTCGCCGTAGATGCGCACGAAGAGCAGCGCCGTGACTATCATGATTAGGCCAAAGACAGTGATCCATATAGCGCTGCTGACAGTGATCCAGAACTCGACAATGATTGCGCATGCGACCAATTCGGCCGGGATAGACACAATATAGGAGTAGACTTGGTTCCATCCATTGGCGAACGCCAGGGCCGGATCGAAAAAGATCTCCGCATATCGTATCACGCCACCGTTAAGTGGTGCCAGTGCGCCCATCTCACCCACGCCCCCGACAACACTCCAAACACAGAGGCCGATGATGGAATATGACAGAAAGGCACCTAATGGACCCGCGTGAGCAATGGCCCGACCTGAGCTGAGGAACAGCCCCGTTCCCACAGTGCCGGCGAGGGCAATCATCTGGATATGTCGCTGGTGGAGTCCCTGCTGGAAATTGTGGATTTCCTCCAGTTGCCCAGCAGCATTCTCCACGTCTCCTTCTTTGGTCATCTCGGCGTTGTAATTCGGGTATTTCTCTTTGGAAGAGGTAATGCGTATATCGTGGTCCTCCGACATGGCGGAAATGGACATGCTTGCAGAATAAGCAGTCGAAGCAGAATTTTCTTGGAGAAGACTGAATAATTGGAGTCGTCGTGGGAAATTTGTACTGTTTTCCACTTCCATGCATATTGCTTTTGGCAATCTGTCGGGCACCAATCAGGATGCAGGGCAGCAGCTCAACTTGGGGCCATTGGTAATCGCCGGTTTGTCGTTGGCTCAAGCAACCGGATTCATACCGGCAAGATAAGAATGAAGCTCAGACACTGAATATCTTCCAGAAAGGAGGTTGAGCACTCACTGACTGCGTCGTCTCTGTGTCGTGGCTTCATGCGGGGAGGTGCATGCGTGAGCCATGGGTGGGGCGAGATTAGGCTTTAGAGTTGCAGCCCGAATAGGAAATTCCGGTCCGGCCGACAGGCGCGTTCGGCATGAGTGGCCAGTTTCCCTCCCCGATTGCTGATAGCCACTCCGGTCTCCGGACTGTCGCGATAAAGCCACTCAGCACTATCAAAATCGTGGGAAACTTAATTAAGCTCTGACCCATATGCTCTGACCCATGTGCTCTGTTGATTGTTCTTCCCTGTCTTTCATCTACATTCGTTATCGGTCATCCTTCCATCATGCCTGCCAGAACTCAAGATTTGCCCACTCGAATTAGAGCTTCGCCTCAAACCGCAGGGACATCCCATTGTCTCCCTGCCAACAATCCTGGCGAGACCTTTTGGCAAACAACACGGCATAACCTGCATGATCATCGTTCAACAGAGCAACTGCCAGAACGCAGTGATATCGTGATCATCGGCGCTGGATATGCTGGTGTCAGTACTGCCTACCATCTCGTCAAGGACCATGGCGATGCGAACAGGTCCATTACAATCTTAGAAGCTCGAGGCGCATCCTCAGGAGCAACGGGACGGAATGGCGGTCACGCAAGGCCTGATTTCTATGGACACATCCCCACGTATGTTGACCGAGCAGGCGCTCGAGCAGGAGCTGAGATTGCCGAGTTTGAAATTCACAATCTACGCGCCCTGAAAAAGACCATCGAGCATGAGAAGATTGATTGTGATTTCACCCTAACCCGATCGATCGATGTGTGGTGCAACGCAGAAGCGGCCGAGAAAGCCAAAGCTATATACGATCGAATGGTTGCTGAAGGATTCGAATACATGGAGGATGTCGTTTTTTACACTGGTGATAACGTTGAAGGAGTAAGTGCATCGCTCATCTATGTTCCAGAAAAGAATAGCGACCTGATACTTGCCTAGATTTGCGGTGTGAAAGGCGCCAAGGCCTGTGCCAGTTTCACTGCCGGGACAATGTGGCCCTACAAGTTCATCATGCACCTAGTGGAGCTCATTGTTGATGCAGGTGTCAACCTGCAAACGAACACTCCAGTCACGTCAGTAACTACCGACCCAGAAGGCGGGTTTACCGTCGAGACACCTCGAGGCAAGATGCACGCTGGGAAGGTCGTATATGCAAACAATGCCTATGTGTCCGGTATTCTCCCACAATATAAGAAGAACATTGTTCCGTGCAAGGGTATCTGTTGCCGGATAACGGTTCCAGATGGAGTTACACCACCCCTTCTTAACAATTCTTATATCAACCGGACCGAAGACAATGTTCTTTCATATCTGATTCCTCGGGCCGACGGCAGCATCGTTGTGGGAGGTGCTGCTGCCGTGTTCCGAAGTCACGAGGATCAGTGGTATGACAATGTGGATGACAGCATCCTCATCGAATCTGCAAAGGACTACTATAACGAATATATGCAGAAGACCTACCGTGGATGGGAAGACACCGGCGCCAAGATAGACAAGATCTGGTCCGGCGTCATGGGCTACTCTTACGACTCCAACCCTCATATTGGCACTGTGCCTGGCAGCAAGGACCAGTACATCCTTGCAGGTTTTAATGGTCACGGTATGCCGGTCATTTGGCTGTCCTCGAAAGAGCTTGCCAAGATGATCACTCAAGACATTCCATTCGAACAAACTAGCATGCCTCGATTATTCCAGACTTCTCAGTTCCGTATCGACCGAGCTTTGAACGGGAAGACTGAGGATGGTGATATTTTGGGCAGCGGTAAATTCCCCGCCACAAAGCCTTGAGATGAATACACGTATATTTAGAATTGATCATCCCATGGAAGAAAGACTTCAGCCGCTGTACCGAAATAATTCAGTAATCCTCTGGTGTAATCATCATCTAACAGGTGCCGCTAAGTACAGCCCGATGGGTTAATGATTTCTGAAATCTCATCGGAGTATCAATATAATACATTGCCACTATGCGTGCACTACTTTTTCTCCTATCACAATCTGTAGGATTCAATGTTGAAATCTCTTGAATGATGTCTCAAGATCGGAGTAAGTATCATCATCCCTACGAGGCTATTTTCCCCGAGTCTTGAAATTGTACGCCTCTATCTTACCACAGGACTTCTGCTATTATTCCTCATTCTACGCGAAATGGAAATCAAAGTTTTATTACATACGTTCATGATAACCCATTTTCGGCATTATCAGAACCATAGAATGAGGCTCAGTATACACACACACACATACACACCATTCTGCTAGGTTGGTTTTACATGAGGATTTCCTGACGCAGTAATCGAATGCATCGATTGACGCAAATTCATGTTTGATTGAGGACAAACGGACATCCCTGGTTTCAATTTGTCAAGTTGAAACTATAAGGCACCTCCTCACTGGCATCAAGCATATCAACTTTGTGTTTGCTGTTTGCTCTCGCTTGCTGCCTTGGCCCCCAGGCCACCACCAGATATAAAAAGCCCCCCCCTCCACCTATTCTGGATTCTCTTCTTCCTCTTCAAACTTCATCTTTACATCTCCCCTGCTAATATGCTTCCTCCACCCCTGCTTCGCCTCCTTCCGCTCCCTCCTCCCTGGCCTCCCCCCATGCTCTGTCAACATCTCTCTGGGGCTCACAGTCTACTTCGGTGGCTGTGATGGGGTTGTTCTGAAGTCTCGGCCGGCCTTACTGCCGAGACCTCATCCTCTGACAAGCGTCCCTAAAACCCGGGACACACGGTCTGCATCGGTGACTGTGTCAGTGCTTTTCTGTGGTTCGACCGGCCTGACTGCCGAGCCCCGTAGGAACTGCACTCTTCTGGAAAACTACAAACACCCAATCAACCAACAAAACCCTACATCTCTCACTTGCCCTCCTTCAGCACACCCAGCTACAGAAGCCCTTCACCCCCTATCCTTCCTCTTCCTTTTTTTTCTTATTCACCACTCTTTTCTTTCTTTCTTCAACCACTCGTCCACCCATCCACTCATCCATACACAAGGTCAGTAGGTTTCACTCCTCATCAATATACAGAGTCAACAGATTCCCACTCCTCATCACCACATAGAGTCAACAGGTTATGACTTCTCATCCCGAAAATGGGAAAGCAGAAACCTAGGCGTCCCCCGAAACTGCCTGATGCAGGGTCCGGCCAGTTGGAAGGGACTAATATTCGCGACTACCTTCCCCAGTCTGAGAAATGCCAAGCTCAAGTGAGAAGTCTCAACTCTGACGGTGAACTGCTGAACGACTGGAATGTCGATCATCGTCAACCTGGTGTCACCACGAAGCTTGTGTTTAGACATGACGACCCATTTCCCTGTGCCGATATCCAAGCAACTATCACCTACATGGAGAACTGACCAGGGACCATCTTGAGTGTTGACGGAGACTCGCTCTCTCATCCTGACCCCTCACTGTGTAGAGTCTATTGACATCAAGCAAGTCCACGTTGAGACTGCAGAGGTACGTCTACCTGTTTCTTGTTCATTCGATCCCATTGGTTCAATACCAAATGACTTACACAAAATTACAGACCCAGTATCTGATAGGCATGGTCTTTGAAACTCAAATGATGACTTCCTTCGAAGGAAGAGAGGACCTCTTGAGCAAAGAGCTCCGGACTCATCGCCAAGACCCACAAGCCGTTCTCCTTCCCCATACAATGAAAACCCTCCCAAACATTGAGGAACTTCTTGCCACAGGCGAGCTCCATGTTGTAGCTATCAAGATGAAGGACGTGGCAATTCGCCCCTGCATTGGATTCAAGAGCCGCGGTGTCTATCACGCACAAGCTGAAAAGGTGCACGATATTGAGAAGACCCTCAAGTTCAGCAAAACGATCTTCCTCTTGATGAGATCTCCCAAGAAGAGCCGTTACTATCTGGTCACGATGCTCTCTTCTTGACTGCGTGAGCCCGTCATTGCACCTTACGCACCCTCTTGGAAGCTATATCTGTGGAGATCTCGACAAGAAGGCAAGTAGAACTTCAAGAGGCAGTTTGAATATCTCCTCCAAGTCACTTTGGAGGCTGCTGATGTCGTCGTGGGTACCCTATTCTGTGTGGCCCAACATTCGAGCTACTCGGTCTTTAAGCCTGTGGTGGTGATGATTGACGAGGCAGCGCGTTTGATGGAAACATTGCTTTAACTCCGACTTAATGCAGTACACAGTCTTCCTGGCTCCTGCATGAACCCGATCTTGTCCGTAACGACAAATCAAACTGCACGACTGGGGATTCGCCACGTTGGAATCGATTGACCGTGTCTACCTTCACATCATGGTAGCCAAACCCTGGTTTTGCCAAGTCCAGCTCTTGCAGCTGCTTCTCGTAGAGTCTGCACTGATCTCTGTATGGTGTCAAGATCAAGATATCCTTGGCAGGGACAATACCATCGGAGGGACGAAGGAGCCAGCTAAGAATAGCAATCGTAGCTACCACGTGTGCATGGTTCGACGCAGACTTGTCCTTACTTTTCCATTCTTAGCTAGTGCCGTTCAAGTTGATCGCAAGGAGGTTCGAATCTCTGCGGAACGAATCTCTGCGGAACATTCCACTGTTCACTCTCCAGATCAAGGCAGGGGCCGGATTGTTGTCATGATGGGTGCAGCGGTTGGTAGCCAAAGTTCTGTGATAGAATACACGATCCACAGGGTCGGCAATACCGGGTTGCATGCGACACTGCTCGACTAACTTGTCTAGCGCCGAGTCATCCAGAGCCGAGTCACTGCGGTTAAGACGCGCCACCATCGACATTCGCAGCTGGTGGTACAACACTTCATCCTTTGGAATACCTGTGATAGTGGGACGAGTTTGGTAATGATCACCCGATCTGAATGATTGTCAAGCATACTGATACGGAACCGGAGTGTCGAGGGTTAAATAGTATTGATTTTTGCCTATGCTTCTGCGAGCTATTTGCCACGTGTGAATTGGCTTTCTTAAGGGGCTCAAGCTTGGATGCACTTCTACCAAATAAGAGAATAAATTCCATGGACAGAGTGCTTAGGTCGGATCAAGTGCGCAATATATGCACTATGCGAGCCGGTGACTTCAACACAGTATCGTGGCGTATGTGAGTCTGAAACCTCAACACATGTTCTGACTCGAAGTCCTTATCATTTTCCTTAGAGATATAGAAAGATTTTTAGAACGTCGATGAGATATAATCTTTCAAAAATAATGTGGTAGACGTAAAATATGGCTGAACTTTTCATGTTTGTTGTATCGGAGTTCTCATTTATCACAAGCGCCAGGAAGACATTGTCAACGTGACCATCTTGAAGATTTTGAGCCCGAGGCAGTCAAAAACAGACTATACTAAACTCCAAACTTCCTTCTCTAAGCCCGTGTCCGTCTATTCTAGCAGCAGCAATTCAATGTAAATTTAGATCAACAGGGTTATCAGTCGGACAAAATGTGGTAATTCAAACAGAAAAGTCGTCGGGTTCTTCACAGTCCTCACCATTGTCCTCGCTCGGAATTTCGTTAATGATGTCGTTAGTCTGGGGACCAGTATATTTGCTAAATCAGTTGTTAGTACTTGCTGGCTCATCCAGACGAGAATCATGTCTTACCCTCTAGCTGCAACCCACCACCAAACCAAGGCAAATATGGCAATAAAGGCTGCCACGCAGATTGCATAGTTCCTAGTAAAGCAGTGTTAGTTTGCAGAAAGTCCAATTTGCGTCGAGGGGGCTCCTACATGTTCGCAGGGGTAACAGGCAGCTGTGACGGGAAGAAGAGGATTGTACTAATGAATAGCACCCAGACTACTGCGATGTAGTTGACAAGAGTGCCCCATCTTCCGAGGGTGAATGGTCCCTCGATAAACTTGACTTTGTCCTTGTAAATCTGATGTGCCAAAATCACAGACACATAAGATATATCCAATGCAGGAGCGGTGACACTGAAGATCGCGAGAGCAGTCTCGGTCGACCCGATGGCGATCAGATTCAGGGCAATGCTGAAGAAGACCACAAACCAGACCGCGTTAACGGGGGTATGGGTATGACGATTGACCTTCGCGAGGAAGGGGGAGAAAGGAAGGGCATTATCTCGAGCAAAGGCATACGCCATTCGAGTATCAGCGAGCATAGCCGAGCAACCAGTGAAGAATTGGACAAGAATGGCGAAGGCCCACATCACCGTGCCGCCCGTTCTTCCACCCGCATTCAAGAAGATCTGAGCAGCAGGTAGACCTGTTGGAGAGTTCAGGATTCCCTCGAAATCAGTCAAGCAGAAACACATGCAAACGGTAAGGAGCCATCCAAAGGCTCCAGATACAAGCACAGCAGTCTTGATAGCAACTGGTCCACGAACAGCGGCATCATGGGTTTCCTCGGACATGCTAGAATAATTGTTAGAATGACGTTGTGACGCTTGAGTATGACGCTATACTAACTGTGTAGTCCCATCGTAATCGGTCATTGTCCATGCAACGGACAAGAAGCCCAGAAAAAATGAGAATACCTTAGATCCCCATCCCGACCCGTCGGTAAAGTGAGTAAAGACCCACGCCGCCGGCTGCTTATCTGGGGTAAGATATAAAAGTGCCACACAAATGCAGACCGTAGCCGTAACTATTGGTTATAAGTAATCATGATACAAGATGCATGAGGTAAACACGTACTGTTAATAGGAGCGAACCAGAGGATGATGTGATGCAAAGTTTTGGTAGTCAATGAACAAATGACGCCGAGGACGAGCAGTATTCCAATAGACACTAGCACTGTCTGCAGAGCAGTCCTAGGACTTTGTTAGGGCGTAAAATAATTCAATGATGATGTTCACTTACGGTGAATATGAGTATTCGCCATTGATGAGATTCGAGTTCATGCTAACGCACGCAAGCAACATCTGGGAGACGGTATATGCGACCGACGACACACCAGCTGTTTGACCCAGCAGATTGCACCATCCTTGAGTCCACGCAAAGAGTGGGACTTGATCTGGAGGTACCACATGCTTTGTCACATAGTACATGCCCCCTGCGGTGGGATATGCAGATACCAATTCCGCGACAGAACTGCCGATTGCCAGTGCCATACAAGAGCCGATTAGCCAGCACCACACAGCAGTGGCGGGACCACCGACTATGAGAGGCTGGCCCAAGGTTGCTGGGACGGAACCAAGAACTCCCAGTATACTAATGGCATAGGATACCGTCGACCATTTGGAGAACTCTCTTCGAAGCTCCTAGATACCGGGGAAATAAGGTTAGCGGCAGTACCCGCGGGAACCATGGGAAACTGCGGGCGCACGCACCTGCTTGTAGCCAATTCGCGCGAGCAGAAGCTCGTCATCATCTTTTATTGTTGCCATTGGTGGGGATACTGGAGGGATAGTGTCTCCTAGTGAGCTGCTCTTTGGTTTACGATCTAGGTCGAGGGGTTTAGCCGTCGGATCCATCATAATGAGTGGATGGGAAGGGATGGAAGGAGATAAAGTTGGGGGGGGGAAGGAAAAAGCAAAAATCAGAAGATAGAAGCACGCAATAATTTAATGGGAGGCGACTTACCCTACACACTAGGATAATATGCTAGGGGACTGCACGGAAAATGTATCTTGGTGTCTGACAGTGACGCCAGATGGAGGGGCTAAATTCCGATTTAGGAGGCAGCAGACGGTGTGAATGGGACGCAAGAAAATCCTCACGAGCCCTAAAGGGTTAGGAATATGTAACTACTGGGGTATGTGCGCAATCCGATAAGCGCGATTTCGTTGATTCGGTTAGGGGCCAGTGAGTCCAGCGATAGGGGGTTCGTGAACAAATGACAGGGTATGGAGGAACTAAAGCTGGCCACTGAAAATCTGGGGGCGATCAGGGATGAATATGCATCGCTATCGCACGCTTATAGGAAGCTACTCAATCCTTTCAACTGTAGTCGGATGGTGGTTCCGGCCTGTTGACTAACCCAACTCAGCACGGAACACGAAGATTGATGCATTGGTGGGCTGCAATGGTGCTAATGAGGAATGACATAGCTGGTGCTTTCTCGACGGAATGGCGGTGGAGGGAAATGGCGACAAAGTTATCGGGATGAGACCGCCTAATGATGAGGTGAGCCTAGAAAACAAAAGTTCTCTATACAAGAAAGATCAAAAACTATTCGACACATTCAACCAGACAATGGAAAGCAAATAGGTATTCAAAGGTTGAGGAGTGTCGTGAATCTTAATCGACAGGGAGGGAGGACTATACTTTTAACGGTTCCACACGTGAAGCCTCGGAGCCACTTATTTCCGCGACGCGGGAGGTAAAGGTGGTCAGTCCGATCGTCAATATCGTCAACATCGCGGGGTACAACGCCTTCTAACCTCCTCCGTTATGCTCTGCTGATCGCTAGACTCCCTGTCCTTCTCGCCTCCGGATCCACCATGGCTGACCCAATGTATCACGCAATGGGCCAGGCTGGGTACGACCCCTCCAACCCCCAAGCTCAACAACACCTTCCCCCTCAATCATCGCAGCCATACCCTGCTGCTGGTTACCCCCGGGTACTGCTCCTCCACAGCCGGGAGCTGGCTATGCCAATCCTTCGCCAAATCAGTGGCCTGCATATGGCTCTCCTCAGCCGCCATACCAGGGCCAGAGCCCCGATGCCGCATACAATGCCGCGCAACAATCGCCAGTGGGTGCCGGAGGAGATCCCAATATGGCTGGGTTGGCCTCTCAGATGACTGGCCTGGGAATTGCAACGGATGCTGGAGCTAGGACACACCGAAAGAAGCAGCACCGTCATGCCTACCATGACATTGGAACCGGTTCAGCTGCCTCTGCGCCGGGTTTCAACAATGCAATGCCCCCCGCGGGAGGTGTGCAACCAACCTCTCAATTCTTCAACACCGGTCTGAATCAAAGTCCACCACCAGTGGCTCCGGGTGGAGTTCCCCAGCCTGCACTCTCTGCGCCAGGAATCACCTCGCAGCCTGGAATGCCCACTGGTGCGGGCTCGGTGCCTACACAAGGTCGGATTGACCCTGAACAGATCCCTAGCATCCCCCGATCTCGAGACCTTCCTGCCCAATATTACTTTAACCATGTCTACCCAACGATGGACCGGCATCTACCTCCTCCTGCCTCAATTCCGTTTGTGGCTCATGATCAGGGCAACTCGTCACCAAAGTACGCCCGCCTGACGCTTAATAACATTCCCTCGACCTCCGACTTCCTCTCCTCTACTGGTCTCCCTCTGGGCATGATCCTACAGCCACTCGCGCCATTAGATCCTGGCGAACAACCAATTCCCGTGCTGGACTTCGGGGATGCGGGTCCCCCACGCTGCCGACGATGCCGCACATACATCAACCCGTTTATGTCATTCCGGGCTGGTGGCAGCAAATTTGTCTGCAACATGTGCACATTCCCCAATGACACTCCCGCCGAATACTATGCCCCTGTGGATCCGAGTGGTGCGCGCGTGGATCGGATGCAACGGCCGGAATTGATGATGGGTACAGTCGAGTTCTTGGTGCCCAAGGAATACTGGAATAAGGAGCCCGTGGGTCTGCGCACACTGTTCCTGATCGATGTCAGCCGCGAGTCATCACATCGTGGTTACTTGAAGGCTGTCTGTGCAGGTATTGCGGAGGCGTTGTATGGAGAGGATGGAGAAGTAGATGGCTCCGAGGGCGATGAGTCCAAGGCCCGCAAGCTGCCCGCTGGCGCGAAGGTTGGCATTGTCACTTATGACAGGGAGGTGCAATTCTACAACTTGACGGTAAGTGAGCCCGGACTTGGCCAACTCTGCGTGTTGATCTAACACAGGGACCAGTCAAGCTTGAACCAAGCACAAATGATGGTGATGACCGACCTGGAAGAGCCGTTCGTACCACTCAGCGAGGGTCTCTTTGTTGACCCGTACGAATCAAAGTATGTTCGCTAACCCATTACTCTTCCACTTTTCACGACACTAACCGCAGAAAACAGATCTGTAATTTCGTCTCTTCTGGAGCACATACCCGCCATTTTCTCCCACATCAAGAATACCGAGTCCGGATTGCTTCCTACTTTGAATGCCGCTCTCTCAGCGCTGCAACCAACAGGTGGCAAAATTGTCTGCGCGCTGGCAAGTCTGCCGACATGGGGCCCCGGAAAGCTGTCAGAGCAACGGGATGACCGGAGCCTTCACGGAACCGATGGAGAGCGGAAGTTGTATACTACCGAAGATGCGGCATGGAAGAAGACTGCTAGCAAGATGGCTGAAACGGGTGTGGGTGTGGACTTTTTCATTGCGTCTCCCGGTGGCGCATATACGGATGTGGCGACAATTGGTATGTTTGGACCTCACATGAAGGTAATTTGAGAGCTCGATGAATCTAACTCCATGGTTAGGTCATGTGGCAGCACTCACCGGAGGTGAAACTTTCTTCTACTCCAACTTCCATGCGCCCCGCGACGTCGCCAAGGTGCGGAACGAGTTGGCTCACGCTATCACCCGAGAGACTGGTTACCAGTGCTTGATGAAGGTGCGATGCTCCAACGGCCTTCAGGTCTCCTCTTACCACGGCAACTTTGTACAGCATGCTCTAGGTGCCGATCTTGAGATCGGTAGTGTCGATGCGGAAAAGGCTATCGGTGTCCTCTTCAGCTACGATGGAAAACTGGACCCCAAACTGGATGCTCATTTCCAGGCCGCCTTGCTGTATACATCTGCGGATGGCCAACGCCGGGTCCGGTGTATCAACGTTGTGGCTGCTGTCAATGAAGGTGGCATGGAGACGATGAAGTTTGTTGATCAGGATGCTATTGTGGCAGTCATCGCCAAAGAGGGTCAGTCAAGAGTCACACAGCCAAGTGGTCTTTTTTTTATCACATTGCTAACTTCTTCACTACAGCTGCCTCCAAGACACTCGACAAGAGCCTTAAGGACATTCGTGCCAGCATTACCGAGAAGACAGTTGATATTTTCAGTGGATATCGCAAGATCTTCTCTGGGTCACACCCACCTGGGCAGCTGGTTTTGCCCGAGAACTTGAAGGAGTTTTCGATGTATATGCTAAGCCTGGTAAAGTCCAGGGCATTCAAGGGTCAGTAATTTCATTTGCTTGGGGATAACATTCTGGCTAATCTCGATTTCAGGTGGTAATGAAGCAATCGACCGTCGTGTCCACGAAATGCGTATGATCCGGTCAATCGGCTGCACAGAAATGTCTCTCTACCTCTATCCCCGCATCATTCCCATCCATAACATGCAACCGGAAGATGGCTTCGCCAACGAGCACGGACAGCTCCAAGTTCCGCCAGCGGTAAGGGCAAGCTTCTCCAAGGTCGAGGAGGGCGGTGTCTACCTGGTAGATAACGGTCAGGCCATTCTCCTCTGGCTGCATGCGCAGGTTTCGCCCAACCTATTGGAGGACCTGTTCGGCCCCGGGCACAACTCCCTCCAAGAGCTGAACCCCAACATGTCCTCACTGCCCGTGCTGGAGACGCATCTCAACGCCCAGGTCCGGAACTTGTTGCAGTACTTCTCTACGGTCCGCGGATCCAAAGCCGTGACCATCCAATTGGCCCGACAAGGCCTCGATGGGGCAGAGTATGAATTCGCCCGGCTACTGTTGGAGGATAGGAACAACGAAGCCCAGAGTTACGTGGACTGGCTGGTGCATGTTCATCGGCAAATCAACCTGGAGTTGGCCGGCCACCGCAAGAAGGAGGAGTCAAGTGGCGAGAGTACATTGGCCAGTCTCTCGGCTATGCGATCGCCGATGTGGTAAATCACCGGGAGGGGACCGTCACGGCCTAGGCTTCAAGTGATAGTCTCTAGGTAGAACTTGGGCACCTTGCTTAGGGCCAGTCAGTCGGGCCTCCGTTGCCCTTTCCCGACGTGTCCTGTCCCATTGACTCCGCTCCAGGCCCTCTCTTAGTGTCCGGTCGGACTTGATGGACAGCACATCCCTGTCTACGAAAAAGGAACGGGGAGACTCAGCACCAAAGCAGGAAGGTGACTCGAGTGGCTGTGTGATGGTGGAGTGGATCCCACACCAGCCAGGCACGGCGGGGGGTGTCACACAGAAGGGCCCGAAAGATGGAGAGATCGTTCTGTACACAGTATACCAAATAGTTTTTATCATGTCATCCTTCTTAATCAGTGGCTTCTTGTCCCTTCAGTGTGAAGTAGTGGGCACATGTGACTCCATCATGAGTTTGCCATCTAGACCCATCACCGGCCCACTGCGATGTTTGAGGCGATGAGTAAAAAAAGAACATTCTCTCGTCCATCGAAGATCCTCCTCAACTTCCAAGCAGCGAAGTAAATCGAGAATGTCATTGACATGCCCACCTGGCCGGTAGCACCAAGCCCTAAGCCCATCCAGGCCCA